ACACAGAATTACCACGGAGCATATCAAAGTCCTGTCAAAGGATCTATAAAAACCACTGCATTGCTATGGTAACTGCCAGCTCACATTGACGCGAAGCCAGTCCTCCTCTCTGACAAAAGAAAACACCTCCAGCAGAAATAACCTGAGAGCTGAGAACAAAATGTCTCCTCTTCATCGCATTATTGACTCCTGGTTAAACAGCAAATCAATGACTTCACTCAACGCAATATACGGGTGTGAATAGGAATTTCAATATGAAAAGGTGACAGTCAAAAGGGTCTAAGTGAGTGGTATTAAAGGTGAAACTGAGTTGTAAATTAAAGCTAATGTTGAGGTATGTTCTCTCGCTTCTCTAACTACTACTTCTCTAACTGTACTTTGCAACTTTTGTCTCTATGGAGATGTCATTGCTTTGCCTGGAATGTTCCGTAGTATGACTTTAAACATTTCCATCTATGAAGACAGGTAGGTGCAGATTACACAAGTTTTGTAATAGACAGTGGAAATTATAATGAAGAAAAAATGAAGATAAAATTTATTAATTTGCTTGTGATAAGTTTTAATGTCTATAACTGGCATGAAATTAATCTAAAAAAGGGGTCCCCAACCCTGGGGCCGTGGGTCGTTCAGAACCAGGTTGCGAAAGCGTGAACCCCCCCACCGCGGTACGCTGCGTGGTCCGTGTCTTCTCAGGTATGCTGCATGGACCGTGCCTTCTCCCTTACTCTGCGTGGACCGTGCCTTCTCCCTTACTCTGCGTGGACCGTGTCTTCTCTCGTACGCCGCATGGATGTGTTTTCTCGTGTACGCTGCGTAGACAGTGTTCTCTCCCGTACGATGCATGGACGGTGTATTCTCGTGTACGCCGTGTGGACCATGTCTTCTCATGTACGCTGCGTGGACTGTGTCTTCTTGTGTACGCTGTGTGGACCGTGCTCTCTCATGTACGCTGCATAGACAGTGTTTTCACCCGTACGATGCATGGACGGTGTCTTCTCGTGTAGGCCGAGTGGACCATGTCTTCTCGTGTATGCTGCGTGGACCGTGCCTTCTCCTGTACACTGCATGGACATGTCTTCTTGTGTATTCCGAGTGGACCGTGAATTCTCCTGTACGCTGCATGGATGTATCTTCTCGTGAACGCTGCTTGGACTGTGTCTTCTCGTGTACACTGCGTGGACCGTGTCTTCTCCCTTATGCTGAGTTGACCGTGTCTTCCTGCGTACGCTGCGTGGACCGTGTCTTCTCACGTACGCCTCTAAACCAGAACTAAAACCAGGACTAAACCGCCGGTCTGGGAAAATATTTTCCCTAAGAGCACTGCCGCAACCACCCCAGTCCACAAAATGTTGTCGGACATAAAACCGGTACATGGCACAAAAAAGGTTGGGGACCACTGATCTAAAATGTCTAGAAAAGTTGGTGACTAATGGACAAACTAAGATAATTAAAGGTATATTACCATCCATCCATCCATCCATTTTCATCTGCTTATCCAGGGCCGGGTCGAGGGGTATATTACGTAACATTTTAGTTGGGGGTCTGTCACCTGCTTGTTTCTATGGATATGTCCCTGCACTGCCTGGAATATTCCACAGTATGACATTAAACAGCTCTGCCTTACATTTATTCAATTGCAGGTGGTTGTATAGTTGAAAAATACCACGAAAACAGGCATTCTAACTGTGACCAGGGTTGCCTCTCCACAGATCTGACCTGTAAGTTTGCCTGGTTTGGTCTCCATTAAGGTAAAAACTTAAATAAAATGGAATAAAAGATACGATACTGTAGTGTGACATTCCAGACAAAGCAATAACATCTCCATGGAGGAAACCATTTGATGGACCCTCCACCAGAAAAAGTTACACAATGCACCTTTAATTTAGAAATAATAAATATGTTTTCGCAATTATATGTTGTTATAGTTGAAAGTAATGCATTACTGATATAACAAGCAAACATACAGAAGTATTTCTTAAAATGTACTCTATGTACAAATGGATTCAAGGCTAAAACCGCAGTGTGTTTGAATAAGCTCAACTCAAAGCAATATATTGTTCACTATTTAAAAAGAACATTTCTGTGAATAGGTCAGGTCATGGTCAGGGTTACTACACAGAGATGCACCAGTATCTCACCATTCACGAAGACGAAGAATGAATACACATACACAATACAAGTGGTATCTTTAATCTATGACTGAAATGTTCTGACATAAAAGAGAGGACAAAAACAAGAATCGTGAGAAGAAAAAAGAATACTTACTAGAACAATTTTTATGTTTACACAAAGCCTAAACATACTATGCCATGACCAACATGAGTTTTATAGTAAAGCTGGAGTGAACTATTAACTCAGAATAAATTCAGGTCTAAACCAAGGGGCAATAAACTAGTAAACAAATAAATAAAATAAAATAATGTTCCTATATTACACAAAATTGACTCTTGTGCGCCTTAAACCATGTTATAATGCTGTTAACTCATCAAAAACATACCTGGAGTTATGTTTTGTTCATTCACACCTTTCAGTAACCTTTTATTATTACCCTGTCTACATCTCTCAAACTCAAAATGCTCTGTTCCACCTTGTGATGTCATGAAGCGATAATTTTCCAGTTAACAGCTACCTTTTACATTCAGTTCAGTAGAGATGGGCAATTCCAGAGCTGAAATTATCCACATGATTCTTATGAAGGTGTATGGAGTTTAAAAACACAGTAGCACACTTTCTGTATTACCAAATGACATCACAAGGTGGAACAGAGCATTTTCATTTGAAGAGAAGATGCAGGGTCTGTGTGTTAACATGTGTGAATGAAACAAAACAAAACACAACTTATGTTTTTTGATGAAGATGAGGAAACATTATAAAATAAATTAGAAAACAGCTTATGGACTCTAATATTTGGAAGGTGGGTTGTGGGGCTGTTGTAGACCTATTGAATGTTCTGATCTGTAAACCAGCCATAAAATAAAAAAAGATGAAATAAAGACAGAGTTAAGATCCATCCGCCTCCATGTTGCCTTAGCGTGGGCGTATTCATTGAAAAGTTAATATTATGTTCATATTGTGAGCTATAGTTTGATAATATTAACTGTCATGTGATTGTGTGGATTTGGCCTTTAACTGTGTGTGTACAGAAGAATGTGAAGAATGAGAATGAGATCACCACAGCTTAGTCGGACAGAGGAGGTTTGGCCCTGGTCCTGTGCACAAAGCTCTCTCTCTCTCTCTTCTGTGGATTCAATTGTACCAATGACAACAAGATCTCAAACAGGATCAAGAAAGATTTAAAGGCGCATCGTGTAACCTTTCTGGTGGAGGGTCCGTCAAGTGCTTTTCTCCGAGATGTTATTGCTTTGTCTGGAATGTATCACAGTATGATATTAAAGCTTTCTATCTTCATGGAGACCAAACCAGACCAAGTTACAGCTTTTCTGTGCATTTTTTAGTTATAAAACCTGTAACTGAATGAAGAGATGTATAGTAGAGCACTTTAATGTCATACTGTGGAACATTCCTGGCAGAGCAGTGGCATATCCATAGAAACAACCAGATAACAGACCCCCATCTAAAAAGTTACATAGCGCTATTCTAAATTATTTTGTACTGTGTTGTGAATATATGTACTGCTTTAAACACAAGAAAATTTAGGTTGAGTGGCATATTTTGGATGTACCTTTGCCAATACTGCAGCATATTTATACTGAAGCTGCTTGTGAACACATTAATAAATAAAATAATAATACATTTTATCTATATAGTGTTTTTCAGGACAATCAAAGACGTTTTAAAAAACAAATATTAAAACAGTCAAAAGAGCAATAATCAAATAATACAGTAAAGATAAAGCAGTAAATCATACTGAGAAACATTAAAGGTGCAATATGTAACTTTTTGGTTGGGGGTCTGTTACCTGCTTGTTCTATGGATAGGCCACTGCTCTGCTCAGAGTGTTCCACAGTATGATATTAAACAGCTCTATCTTACATTTATTTAATTACAGGTGATTTTAGAGCTCAGAGATACCAAGGAAAACAAGCATTCTGACTGAGCAGGGTCGCCTCTCCACAGACCTGACCTGTGGTTTAATGCCATAGTTTAATGCGATACTGTGAAACATTCCAGACAAAGCAATAACATCTCTATGGAGGAAACCTTTTGACAGACCCTCCACCAGAAAAGTTACACAGTGCACCTTTAAAAATTAAGAGCTATTCAAAATAAATGCGTATTGAGATTTTTTCTTAAAGGTGGTGAGATTGGTGCGGTCAGATTAGTGATTAATATGCACTTTCCCAATTCAAATGCATAAATATTTAACCGCAATAATAAAACATCTAATTTGATTTCAGTTTCTGTATGTTATGTTTATACCTTTATTTGTAATAGTTTACCAATAGAAATGTGTAAAAGCTTTGTAAACTGTAATTACGTCAATCATGTACATTTTAATTGTCAATTGTTTAAGACAGATGCCCTTCATAGACCAACCTCTCAATCGTTTTCTGACAGGAGTGGGCACAGAGAGCTGCTAGAGATGTTATTGTGATCACTGGAATGTTCCATAAGTGGAGTTAATATGATTGAGTGAGATTCAGAAGCAGGTCCACGGCTCAACCGTACCTTCAGTTATCCAGACGCCCTCTTTATACAGGCCTATCCTAACAACACCCTTTGTCTCCACTCTCTCGACCCCCTCCCTCCCACCTCATGTCTCCCTAGTTCATCTTTCAGCCTGAAGACATCATCTACAAGGGGGAAGGGGAGCATCCTGCTGCTGAATCTGCTCTGCTGCGTTGACCACCTGAGACAGAGCTCCCATCCTGAGTCTCCACCCAGCCATCACATCTATCCATCATCAATAAATATCTTTATCGTATTCCATTGCTGTGGCACGGTCCTAGCTCGTGAATATGGCATTAAACTGATCAATAAAAGGATGAAAGTGCTGCACATCCATTATAAATATATTGAAATCAATCACATTACAAAACTGAGTACATGAGACTTTAATATGGGTCCAAATACAACCAGTGCAAAATACATTCTGTAAAATCAAAATCAACGCAAAAACAGTTAAAACACTTTCTCTGCAGTTATTTCTTGTTGGAAGCCTTTGCGTTCACAGTACAGTTTGTAATATGTTCATGTGCATAGACTATTCTCTTTAAAACACATTAAAACAGATAAAATGTCAGTTTATGCCATTCAAAGATAAACTTAAAAATAAAAAGGACCAAAACATTTCAAAATGAAAGTCTATTTACAAATGAAGCTTTGGTCCCATTACATTTACATACAATGAGCTTGAAGAAACATTTAAGGCTCAATATTATTTTGAAAAGTACCAGGGTGACATGTTGTAGTGTTTTCCATTTAAAAAGGTGAAAACTGAGTGAGTCATATGTTTGTTATGTGACAAAAATCCGTTAGTAAGCAGTGAGTCATTTTGGACCATTGAAATGAATTATAATGACGTTTTTCTTTGACCCTGAATATCCTCTAAACAGTCAAACATCAAGGGATAATAAAAACAAGCAATATCATTAAGATAATACCATTTAAATGCCGTGACTATACACACACAACATGCCTAGTAGATTTCTTTCTGTTTTACAATAATGACACTTTGTAGCTGATGTCATCAACATTCCCTGGGGTGTGATGCTAACTGGAAGCATTACTATGTCTGAAGATCTGTTAGATTTTAATCTGACCTCTGTTTTAACACAATCTGACCACATAGTAATTACTAACTAACTTAGTTACTTTAAGCTTAACTAGAACTACAACAGGTGAGCTGATCTTCGCTGTCAAGTCCCGCTCAAATAACATTACAGTCACTTTTTTGTTGAAAATCAAACACCTAAACAGGACCATGAACAGGCACCTGAAAATGTGTTGTTTAAATCCATTTTGTATTTTTTCTTGAGCATGTAGAACACCTCCAGCACAATGTCACTGCAAAGTATCAATAATGTGTACAATTATTTGATGTAATCCTTAATTTGTCCAGGAGTGGTCCATGGTAGAAAAGGTTTCAAAGGTAGTCATCTGGACAGTGTGTTTTTTCTGTAACCAGTAGATCCAAAATGGTTTCTGGATGGCAGCCAAAAGAACTTTATATATTAAAAAAACAAAAAAAACAAAACATAGACCATTGTAACCTCTACTTTTGTAAAAAATATTTGGGTTACACTGTCACAAGTTCAGTTTGATTTTGATTTCCTCATATAACTAAAAACACATCATCTTAGTCAGTGATTAAGGTGATTTTGTTGGGTTTAAGATATCACAACATTCTGTAGACCAATAATATTTAAAACAGATGGCGTTGGCAAAAATGAATACTGTTAAAATGCATTTTTTTGTAATATAGTGAGCTCTTGGGTCTAGTCACAAATAGAAATGATCAGATCAACATTTGTGCACTTTCCTATTAGATACTTCATGGCAAAGTTCAGTCTACAGGAAAATCTGGCTCTTCCCATTTGGGATTATAGCATCTTTACAAAACTGTCTTAGATATCTATGTGTATGTATATGTTATTTGGCCAAGTAAAACAAATTCTTTTTGTAATTTTTCAATAATATTTGTTACAAAACACTCAGCATTTTTCCTTTATCTTGCTCTCCCCTCTTTGTCAGTAACTGTCTGTATGTAGCACTCTCACTCAGTCTATTGCACCAACCCATACAGACTGGCCCTAGCTGTCCTGCTGGCTCTGGATCATCCGGAGTTTGGTTTTTAGGCCCTGGTGGTAGGACGTGAGGTTGCTGTGGTCCTCCTTCAGTTTGCTGTGCTCCTGGATCAGATGGGAGGAGGTCTGTTGCTCCCTCTGCTCCTGCTCCAACTCCAGAGTCAGCTCCTGTCTGTCACACACCAAAAAACTGCTCCAAAACCATGTATAGAGTGTAGAAAGTGTAGAAATCAAACCCAGGAACTTCTAACCACCACATTCTAATACAGATCACTCATCATTAGCTTACTCAAAGTTGTATTTCACTGGATTCATGCATGTTTGAGAAGTCCTGTATTTTTCCCATAGACTATATATATATAAATGGACATAACCCACTAGCTGTCGTGTTCCAAATTGGAAGTGAGCATGGGCACGCTTCCGGCTCCATCGACTGGCTCCAATTGATTTTGTATTGAAAAAAACATCATTCCTCTTTCCATCAGGTTTTTTTTTTATCTTAAAATGTTCATATTAATCAGCTCTACATGATCCTGGTGTTTTTATTTCGCTATTGGAACTTGGCTCCAAATTTGCCCCTATAACTGCCGACATCGCGATGGGTGATGTCAAACTGCCTTAGTCCACTTCTTTATACAGTTTGTGATTTCCCACATTTACCTACCCCCTACCTCCACCGACTGCTCTGTCCTTACATGTGATTATTCAAAAACAAGACTCAAAAATGCCACATAGTCATTTTTCAGTAATAAATATAAGTGAACTAAAATGTGCTGCTTGCTATAAAATGCCTCTCTCAAGTCAATGCCCCAGTTTCTATTACTTTTAGATCACTATTACAGATTACAAAAACAAAAAGCATAATTATCTATGAACATTATAGTTTAAAAGGTGCATTGTGTCTGGTGTAGGGCCCGTCAAATACTTTTCTTCATGGAGATGGTATATTCTTTGTCTGAAATGTTTCACAGTATGGTATTAAACCTTTCTATCTTCATGGAGACCACACTAGACCAAGTTACAGGACAGATCTGAAGAGAAGCAACCCTGCTCACAGTCAGAATGTATATAAGAATAATTTTGAGCTATAAAACTGTAATTGAATAAGTGTAAGGTAGAGCTGTTTAATATCATACTGTGGAACATTCCAGGCAAAGCAATGACATATTCATAGAAACAAGCAGGTGACGGACCCCCACAGTACACTGCTTACTTTTTCCGGACAAAGTGTGCGATCTCGGCCTGGATTTTCAGATACTCCTGGACCATCCTCTGGTGCTGCTCATAGATCGCCATTGACTCTTTGGAGTTCGGACACGGGGTCAAAGGCTGAGGGAGGAATTATGGAAAATACATTAATGCATTAATTAATACATTATTAAAAATAATGACTAAAATCAGAGAAAGTATTATTGATATTTACCTGTAACTGGATATCTAGCCTCAGGTTGGCCATGGCAGTGTCTAGACCATTTGTAGCTAAACAAATAAAATATAGAGTTCAATATGAGTCATAATATATAATATAATAAACATACATACAACAGTTACACAAGCAATGTTTGACTGCACAGCTCTGCCCTCTAGTGACGAATACTGAAAAGTGCAGTCAGGTCTAAAATACAGTATTTGTATTAATGATTGCACTTCAACAGTTTAATAAATTGTGTAAACATTTTTTAAGTACAGACTGAGCAAGATGTATGAAGTGAAGCCAATAAAACTTTATAGCATCAATACTTACAGGAAATTAAAGTACATAACAGTAACATTAACATCTGTCACAATGAAAAATAAAAAAGATCCTTCATTGCTAATTCTGGCATATTTACAGAAATGCTATTTTTATGCAGTGTCCCCAAAATAAATAAATACATTTCTTTAAAAAAATGTGTGCCATTGGGTGGTCTATAATTGATAAAAACAAATCTCTCTCTTTTTTTTTTTTTTTTTTTTTTTTTTTTTAGAATTATCTGTGACGCTTTTCAGTCAGTATTAAGTTCATGAAAGATGTGCTAAAATATACTGTAAATATTGTAGTTTAGGTTAGGGTTAGTATTCCACTAAAATGAAACTGTAAAAAGTCAATAGTTTTTTGGGGTTTTTTTCTTATATCCTAGCTGATATAGAGATATTCTTATGTCTCTCTATTTCTTCTATGTTGCTCTACTTCTATGTTGAGTGTGCTATAAAATGGAAAAACAGTCGCTCTGTGTGTTTCAATAGTGACTAGGGATAAAACTAGGTCCCATAACCAATTGAAATCCACTCATCCATTGAGCAGTCCATTAAAAGGTGTAATTTGCATGTTTGTGGTCCTCCTGGGGTCTGGGTCGTACCTGGGGGGCTGATAGACATCCTGAGCTCTGATTGGCTGGAGGTGGCTGCAGGGCTGGTGCAGTGGGTGGGGCTTTGGGAGCGCTGACTGTCCACACTGGAGACTCGAGACAAGCTGGTCCGAATAGTAGTGGCCTGAAGAACAATAAAAAGAGGATTTTAACCATAGACTGTAAACATTATTATATGATTTAACAAGCAAGACGTTTTATGTGATGTTAATTATCTTGATGCTTGATAATTACCTCCAATTAAACAGAATAAATGAATGAATGAATGAATGAATAAATAAATACATACATACATAAATAAAATTACCTATGAATACCACAAAATAACAGGCATGGTTTTCAGCAAGTTTCATATACTTAAACTGTTAAAACTGTTGAATGTAAATACTAATATGGATCTATACATTTTCATTGGTTCATGCCTGTGTATAGGATTTATCAATCATATAATTATATATATATAAAATAATATAATATATATATATATATAAAAAACATTTTTCACAAAAACTGGAGTCAGATACAAATCGGCAAACAGTGAATAGCAGTGAATAAATGCATCTCTACTGTTGTTGTGTAAATAATACACTGGTGGATTTAGTATGAAATCCTTGGCTTCTACTGTTTTTGGCTCCTGCTGTTCATTTCCAAAGAATCATTTTGTATTCTTTTTTCTTTACCTTAGCAGGCCAGAACTGCAGTGGGAATTTGTTCTCAAAGCTTTTCAGAGTCTCCTCTCTCCCTCCAGACGTCCTGTAGTCACTGGTGTCATCACTTCTGTTGCTGCTGATGGTGCAGTCCGCATAAGAACCTACAAAACAAAACAAAATACTGCTTACCCCTAAAAGTTAAAATGCAACAATTACCCTTATTTCACACATATTCTACTACTACTACTTTTGAACTTCATCTTTTGCTGTTTATTTTTTGTAATTGTCTTTATACTATATATTGTTAGCTATTGTATCAACTATGTTTCCAAGACTGCATTCAGATGTGCACAAACACTACATTAAAATTTGCAATAAACTGGGACTAAAACCAGAACTAAACCTGAAGTACATCAGGATTAAACCAGGACTAGAACAGATAACCAAACCAGGATTAAGTTAGGACTTGAAGAGATCTAATCAAAGTCTACATCAGGAGATAGGAAGTGAGCATGGGGACGCGTCTGGCTCCACTGACCCTGGTTCCAGTTGACTTTACATTAAAAATGGTCATTCCTCTCTCTCTAACTGCTGCAGTGAACCTCATCATTTTTGTCTTAACACGTTTGTATTAACCCGCTCTACATGATCCTAGTGTTTTTATTTTGCTATTTTATGTGTGAATAATTCCTATTCCTAAATGAACCTGGCTCCAAATTCACTCCTATAGCCACTAGGCTCAATGAGCTTTATTTGACTGGAGCCGAACTCTACAGGTGACTCAGTCCCTTACTCCACTTTATACAGCTTATGGTTCAAACAAGGTCCAAACCAGACAAAACACACTGCTTAAGTTTATAATATAACATACAGGCTACACACACAAAGAGCTCTGTAGTAATCATTATAGCTGTGATTACCTGTGCTTGTGGCTGATGAAGAGCCACTTCTGTTTCCGGACGAATAGTGAGAGAGCTTAAGAGGTTCTTCAGAGCCGGGGAAATACTGCAAAACACAACACGGTAATTTCAGGTAGAATAGTGTACTGTTATATCATTATACTACAGTCAATTGGGGCTATTCAGCCAATGGAGAAAGGCAATTTTAAAGCAGAGGTCGAATAAACTGGAAGTAGATTTTACATTGTACTGGGAGTAATTATTGGCTTTTACAATATTACAACATATAATTTCAAGTTGTCAGGTATAATTATTGTTTATTTATTTGCCAGGTGCAGTGTTTTCCTCTTTTTACAGTTGCATTTAGCTCTTGGATAACAATCTACAATGTTTTGTTATGGCTAGAACGTGATGGTCTGTTAATATAAAATCACATCTACATATCTCAAATGTCAACTAAGCTTTAAGTTAAAGTCTATTTTAGCTGTGTCTTTGGTTTGCAACAAAGATGAGTGTCTATTATGGGACTATGTTTGGTGAATAGTATTTCATAATAATGATTTTTTTGTCTGTCTTCAATTGTACTTATGTCCGAGGACTACAAATAAACTAAACCAGGCCTCTGAAGTAAATATAGATGATAAACAATAAACCCCAGTTTAAACCACATAAACACTGAAATGTACAATACTGTAAAAAAAAAAATAGCAACCAACTTTAGCACTCAATTTGCATCTGTAATGAGTCATAGAAGTTATTAATTCAACCTCAAATCTTCTCTTATAGCCAAAATATTTACAACAAATTTCTCAGTAGTGCAAAGCAAATGCACATACAATTAAAACTGACCCTCAAAAAATATTGTTCCAGCTTTCATATATTGAATGATAAGTCAATATAGTAATAATGCAACAGGCCTATGTGTAGTACCTTCATGAGGCTGCTCATGGTGCTGCGAACTTCCTCCATAGAAGGTCTGAGGCTGGGCTCTTTGTCCCAGCAGCGTGTCATCAGGGACTCAATGGGCTCCGGCAGGTCTTTGATCAGAGGGGGACGGGTGCCTGCACAGGTTTTATATTGGTAACACTTTATAATAATCAAATTCACACCACAGTTTTCATAGAGGTGCAAATGCCTGGAGCAGCAACACTAAAAGTGAAAAAATGCATAGCACACTCAGATGGCTGATGTCCAAGATTTTTTTTTAACATGTTTTAAAATTCCAGATTCTTATTCTTGCTTTGGACCACAGTACTGTGTGTAGTTACTCGGTCCAAAGCAAGAAAAATTATCTGACAAAGGCTTTTTGCCAAAACGTTTAAAAATATATACAGCATATATAGTTTTGTACATTGGCCATCTGAGTGCGCTATGCATTTTTTCACTTTTACGGTGTGTCCATCACCTACTTGTATCCATGCAAATGTGTTTATTAATGTCATACCATGGAACATTCCAGGCAAAGCAAAATCATCTATTTAGGATGTACTCATTATGTGTATTGCTGCACAAAAATACAATAATTCTCTCTGTCAATAGGGTTGCCTGTCCACAGATCTGAACTGTAATGTACTGTATAGTTGTAGTTTAACTAATCATTTACCCATTAACAAGTGGAGTTCATTTACAAAAAAAAAAAAAACAAACTAAATAATATTCCATCCCTCCTTGATAAAATCCACTATACATTATTGCCATTGATAATATCTGTAGAACATGACAACAAAAAGAGTAATACTTTCAAAAATAGACATTCGTTTTGGAATTTAAACTCTTCAAGAGTTTAATAATAATTTACAAATGTGGACAAAAAGTGTTATCATTATTTTATAAAACATTCATAAGTGCTTAATTAGAAATGTTATGCCAATCCATTAATGAACTGCCACTCACAAGCAGTTTGATTTTTTTCACTATTTTATGACCATGAGAACTGTAGCATGTGGTTTAATCTGAAAATCACTTCCTCTGTTTATTTTGTCAGTTACATTTCCTATAAATTAGATATGCTTTTTCTGGTATCAACTATGAACTAACCAAACTAATACTGATCTTTTTGAACTACAGTGCTTAAAAACTTTTATATTTTTTGAAAAAATTGTCAAATTATACGCATGTATATTTACTCTTCCATATAGTACAACAATTGGCTAGTCGTCTTTAATAAACTGATCATATGAACAAGGATTAAAGGGTCCATATTATGCTATTTTCTGATCTGTTATAATGTTGTTTCCTCATCAAAAACATACCTGGAGTTGAGTATAGTTTCATTCACACATGTTTAACACACAAATCCTGCATATTTAGGCTGAGTTCTTCTCTCAAACTGAAAACACTCTGCTCCACCTTGTAATGTCTTGTGGTAGTACAAGAAGTGCTCCACTGTGTTTTTAAAGTCAGTATACCTTCACTAGAATCATTTGGATAATTTCAGCCCTAGAGGTAAAAGGTAGCTGTGAACTTGAAAACAGCATTTCAAGCTTTGGAGATGAACACAGACTAATAATAATAATAGATTACTCAAACATGTGTGAATAAAACAAAATAACCCAAAACAACCGTTTCGATGAGGCATTCTATCATGTCTTAAAGCTCACAAGAGTCAATTTCACATAATGTAGGAGCTTTAAAGAGATAATACTCAAGTGAAGCTACTCTGATCAGTATTGAAATATAGGAACAGCACTGACCTCTGTGAACCGCCCACATGATGCAGAAAGCAGAGCCTCCGATCTCATCAAAAGGTTTCTTTCTGGACAGAACCTCCCACAGAATAATGCCCCAGCTGAACACGTCACACTTCTCGCTGTAGTTGCTGCCTGGAAGAGGAAATAACATTATATTACATTACAAGCCATCGATTCCGTTATTTCATATGTAGCCTTTTTTAGTAAGATGATTATCGAGTTTACTTAAAAGGTATACTGCACAACTTTTCCAGTGGAGGGTCTGCCATCTGCTTGTCTCCATGGAGATGTTATTGGTTTGTCTAGAATGTTCCATAGTATAGATTAGCCTATCTATCACGATGGAGACAAGCATGTTACAGCATTACGCCACATTACAATTCAGATTTAAGGAGAGTCGCCCCTGTTCACAGAAGGAATTACTGTATTTTAAGCAATAGAAACACGCATATTAAATAAAGTAGATGGACATGTTATATCATAATAATAATATCATATGGAACGTTCCAGGGAAAGCTTTAACATCTCCATGGAGACCAGCAGGTAATAAACCCTCCACCAGAAAAGCTGTAAAGCATCTTTGAGTAGTTTTTTCATGTGATAATTTGACATTAGTATTTTTTGCTCCAGTATTTGAACTTACATTTAAGTAACAAAATTGAGTACTTCTTCCACCACTGCTTAATATAGACTTCTACAGATAATTTAATAAACAGTGGAAATCTCTACAGTCTGTTCTGTTCATTATTACATATTAATATTGGTTCTTCTCAAGTCTTATTACTACAGTATACAGTACTACAGTGTATTTTGTGTACTTACTATCTGCAGCTCTTATACATTATACTATGTTGTATTTATGTTATGTAAATACAAAGTTTAAATATCTTTTCAAATTCAAAGATTAAACTGCATGTTTTATTTTTAATCAGGTCTATTGAGGTTTGTTTGGTTAGGTTTTATTCATTATCAGTGGGTTTCACAATATCATTCTATCTTTTGAATGGTGATGATATCTCCAAGTGTGAGGTATAAACAGGAAGCTGAAACCCATGTAATTTTTCATATCTCTGAAACACCCACTACGAAATACCCAAACCCCGAATTTTAACATCAACGATAAAGGATTTTTACTGACAAAAATGTACAGAGGTGAGGTATGGCAACAAAATGAGGACAATGAAGACTACAGATGGACTAATATGTTTTTTTTTTTTCCATGGTCAATGCCAATACCAATATTTTTGGGCCAGTATGTAAATTGGAAATTTCAAATTGATAATTTTCCCCATAAATATATGATTTGAAATGAATACTAGCATAAATATTGTCTATAACTTTTATTCCTCTGCATAACTTAACTATAATAAGTAAAAATTATCTCAATAGACAATTAGTTTTAGACATCTGCAACTGTTTTTACTACTAACCCATAAAGAGCTGTGTGTAATCATATTTTGTGCATTCCATTACCGAATTAAGTGTTAAAATAAAGCTTTATGTAGCAATTGGTGATCCCAAACTAGATATCGGCCTAGGCAAGAGGTTTAAGGCCAATAGCCAATACGCAAAAAGTGCAAATAGCAGCCATAAAGTGTGTATCGGAGATAATGAGGACTTTTAATTCATCAATACAGAGTGGCTTGTATCTCATCTGAATTCAAATAGGCTGAAGTCACTTTTCAGTAGAAGAATCAATAAAAAGTCATTGCTCTGTCTTAAACAAATTAATGGTGATAGTTCAAATTCACCTTCAAAAACCTCTGGTGCCATCCACGCTGCGCTGCCTTTATTATTGGTCATATAAGTTTGAATGTCACAGGCTGTACCAAAATCACAGATCTTCAGAACTGTCCCGCGATTCACGAGCAGGAGACTGAAACAGAACAAAAAGTATAAGAGAAAACAACAGCAGCCAACTAAGCACTTAAATGAATATAAACCAGATATGTTCTATTAGTGTAAAGCATATGCTAGTTTCATATAGACTCAGCTAACTGACGTCAAAGCTAGATTTTACAGGTTTTGCAAAGGTTTTAGTCTACTTAAAAAATGTGGATATAACAAATGAATTATAAAGCTGTACTGTGTAACTTTCCAGAAGGAGGGTCCGCCATCTGCTTGTCTCTGTGAATATTCCACAGTATGGCATTTACCATTTCCATCTTACGTTCATTCAATTAAAATTGTTTTTAATGGCATGAAAATACCTTGAAATACATGCACTCTTACTGTGAGTGGGATCATCTCTCCATAGATGTGGCCTGTAACTTAGCTCAGTCGTGTTACATGCTTGTTTTTATAGAAATGGCCATGTCTAATATCATAACAGATAAGTAGTGAGTGGAACCTACACCAGAAAAGTTACACAGTGCATCTTTAAAGTCATAGCATAGCATAAAAAATAAAAAAAAGTTCTTGAATTTTATTATATAACTGGAAGTTCAGTTGCCTGGTGTCATTACATAGCTATGGTAATTAGTTCTGATAATGATAATTTTGTAGATGACAGCAATGTTTTTTGATTAGTCACCTAGTCAAACAGTTACGAATATTTTTTAATTCAGTGTTAACTGCCAGTTTGTCACAAAAAAATCTGCTTATAATTGCTGCTCTAAAGCTAATTAAACCAAATGAATGAAAGTAAATTAAGGATTTCACTTGTTTTTTGGTCCTTGGCATTAAAAAGCTAGACATTTGTAAGCAGTTTTTTTTTCACACAAGAAATCTCTCCTCTCATTCACACTTCAGACTCTTACTTGAGTGGTTTGAGGTCTCGGTGGATCAGAGCCTTTGGTTTCATAGCGTGCAGATATGCCACCCCCTGTGCACACTGCAGACACCAGCTCATGGCGTGGGCCGCTGTGTAGTGAGGCTGAGGATCTGCACTGTGCAAGACTGAAGAGAGAAACAAAGATACTTCAACACAGGCTTTTACAGATCTTTGAATGAACAGTGGAAACATCTACAGCCTGTTGTGTTCATTAAAATGGATCACATATTCCTTTAGGTTCTTCTCAAGTCTTTTTTATTAATGTGTATTCTCTGTTTATTTTTTGACAAAATGTGAATATGCAGCTTTCTTATGTAATTGCAGCAAAATACTCTAGTGCATAAGTTTGTTACAAAATTAACAAAATATCAATATACATAATATATAATATACATTAATATATTATAATATTTCTAAACAGTTGGTATCGTCATGACCGCATCGGCCATGACAAAACCCATACTGACCAATCTCTATTACAGAGGCAGTATCATACTACCACCAAGTATGGGGTGTGAATAAAAATGTGATGAAATTATGAGTCAATAGGGAAGTGCTTTATAAGATAAAGACAACAAGAAACCATTTACCATGTTTTAAAAACTATTTGTAAAATCACTTACGGTTGTGTAATGAGCCGCATTCTGCATACTCCATCACCAGACACACCTAGAAATAAATAAATACAAAACAAAATAATTATGATAATCCGAGTATTACAAACTACAAGATTTAAGGTTACTTGCCTAATAGTGGTCATTGCGTTATGTGTATGATAAGAACCCTATCTACAATTGCATGCAGCCTGTTTAGTAATCAAATAGGAAATAATATCACTAAATTATAATAATAAATTAAAGGTCCTATATTACATAAAATTAAATTCACACATTTCATTTGCACAGCCTGTATTACCACATGACATTACAAAGTGGAACAGAGTTTATTGAGTTTGAGAGAAGAACTCAGTCTAAATATGCAGGGTTTGAGTGTTAAAAGTGTATGAATGAAACAAAACACAACTCCAGGTATGTTTTTGATGAGGAAACAACATTATAAAAGAGATCAGAAAATAGTGCAAAGCAAAAAAAAAAAAAAAAAACTCACTGGGTTATTACAGGAGCCGTAGAGTTTTACAATATTGGGGTGATTCACTCTGGAAAGCTGCCGAAGCTGGAAAAATATTACAGACAGTTAACAGTTCGTGCAAAATTGTTGACAATATATGGACAAATAGACTCATATAAAGTGTACCTCAACCAGGAAGGCATTCTTCTCATTTTCGCTCTCTATTGTTTTGATAGCGACATCTTTGCCTTTCCACACAGCTTTAAAAACCACCCCGAAGGTCCCTCTGCCGACAACCTGGAGGCAACACAGCAATAAAAGTGATTTATAACGGAAAATACTCAACAAATAAACAACAGATGGTTCTTATAGTAACCACAGTGACCAGTGATTAACTACAACTGTTGCTATCTGCTATCTTGTTAAACTCAATAGCCTATGAGAACTGTATTGGAAGGCGTTCATTACTTAGATCATTGTTGGCATAGCCACTAATTTTAAACAGGCAGAAGCAGATCACTGGAAAACTTGAGCAATCAAACGTACCAATGAGGTTTTATAAATATATCCAATTTACTCTCTACAAAGACAATGTTATGCAGATGTTGACACTATGACTATTATTTAAAAGGTGCCCCATGTAACTTTTTGGTTGGGGGTCCGTCACCTCCTTGTTTCTATGAATATGCCGCTGCCCTGCCAGGAATGTTCCACAGTATGAAATTAAACAGCACTAACTTTGTTTACTCAATTACAGGTGGTTTTATAGCTCAAAAATACCTAAAAAAAACAGGCATTCTGACTGTGAGTGGGGTTGCCTTTCCACAGACCTGACCTGTAACTTGGTCTGGTTTGGTTTCCATGATGATAGAAAGGTCTAATACCATACTGTGAAACATTCCAGATAAAGCAATAGCATCTTTATGAAGAATGTATGTATGTATGTATGTATGTATGTATGTATGTATATGTATATATATATATATATATATATATATATATATATATATATATATATAATATATATATATATAAATAAATAAATATATATATATATGACGACCCCTCCACCAGAAAAGTTACACGATGCATCTTTAAAATAGGTGAATTCTGAAATCCAGTCATTGCATATTTTGTCAAGCAGATCACCGAAAAAAAAAAAAAAAAAAATAAAAATCCGAAAAGGTTTTATAATACTTAGCCCTATTTTACTCACAATAAAGTCAATGTAATTACGAGTCTGATTATGTAATATGTAGATCCTGACATTAAAACTATTATTTAATATAGGCAAATCTGAAATCTAGTAGTTGTATATTTGACAAACTATGGCTTAAAAGTAGCCAAAGAACTACATATTGCGGTTTGAGATGAATAGGTTACTATAACTAGCCCAGACAGTCTGTGTTGTGATATATTACAGGACCATAATAATCTGGTGTCCCAGTTTTCCTAGAAATGGGGGTCGAGTGGAAACAACGCTTAGGGCAGGGCTGTATCTGGGGTTCCCCAAAACAAAAACACACCGCAGAGTTTTCGAGAAGGAGGCCAAAAGATTTAAGCTATTTGCATTGTGTTATGTTAAATGTTATGTTAAATCAAGCACAAAATAGCATGCCCCATAATAACTTGTTTATGCGTTCATAAGTTTACCGCCTCCACTTGGATATCTTCATACTGGATATCTTCGAACAGACAGGCAGCTGCGGGCTCCACCATGTCAACACCGCGGCCCGCTGCTCCTTAAAGCCGACGGCGGTGCAGGTAAAAGCCGGGGCTTCTCTGGCGTCGGTCCGGACAAAGGGATGCGGAGAGACGCTGGTTTCTTCCTCATAAACAGCCGTTTCTCATCTGTTGCTGTGAAATCAGGAAGTAGCAACCGGAGAGCTACAGCTGCGTCTTTACGCACGGGCTACGTAGGGGACGCAGACCACCCCTGTCACGACGCCAAACACAGTAATAAAATTATAACTTTGAAAACATTACTGTAACTGGGAAGATTGTTTGTACAACATGATTAAAGATAAATTATATAGTAAGGCTTCAGATCAACGAGTATAGCCGCCTTGAATGCAGTTGTCTTGATTTGGGCCGCCACATGGGGGCGACAACTCACTGGTCACAATAGGCTGTAGGCTGTCTACTCAACAACATCATACATTGTTTCAGATAAGATGCTCAAGCCAAGTTTTGAGTTTCACTATGACCTACTGTAGGCTGAATACTTTTGTATAATTTGAAGTGATTATTTAATTTACTTTACAAATTTTTGTTTTGTTTACTTAGGTCAAATTGGATGCACGTTCCTTTGTATCCAAGGCTCTCTTCATCTCTTCAGCCCTCTTTTGTTCATGTTAACAAAGCCTTAAAGTAAACAATGCCATTCATAAGTTGTTTGTTTTAGCATCTCAGTGACACTCCCCTACAATATTCTTTACAAACAGAGTTTATATATTAAAATCCAGAATAGAGTTGTCATCATACTAAAGTTTCGAGCTCAATATCTATACTAAGGAATTCACTCAGTATGGGATGCCAAAACCACAATGAAAAAAAAAGCACTTTGTAATAATGGTTGTATGTAATTTTCATATATAAAATAATAGTACTGTCTTTATCCTAGCATGAGGTCTTATATTCGTTCTAATAAAGCTCAAAATCACACTGAAACTTGTTAGTGTGATTTTGTGCAGTACCGGGACTTGCTTAAATGAGTATATTGGTTTTACTTTCGATTAATATCCAATTTTCAATACTTTTGACAACCCTACTCCAGAACATAGCATTAGTGCAACCCTTTGTCCTGACATGTCAATAATATGCTTTATTCTTTCCTTCTTCAAATGTAATCCTTTTTATTTTCTGACTCACAGCTTTGAACACTGGCAGTAGTTGAAAATAAATACATACAGAACATAATTACAACATTTTATAGTAACATTAAAGGTCCTATATTAGGCAAAATTGACCCTTGTGAGTTTTAAGCCATGTTATAATGTTGTTACCTCCTGAAAAACAAACCCAGAGTTGAGTTTTTATTAAATTCACACATATTTGAGTAATCCTTTATTATTCATCTGTCTATCTCCAAAGCTCAAAATGTTCTGTTCCACGCTGTGATGTAGCAGTGATGAAGCAATAGATTTCAAGCAAACAGCTACCCTTTACCTTTTATTCACTACAGATTGGAAACTGGACATTAAAAACACAGTGTAGCTTTTTCTGTATCGTTTTCTGCTTGAGAGACAAACTCAGTCTAAACATGCAGGGTTTGTGTGTTAAATATGTGTGAATGAAACAAAACACAACTCCAGGTATGTTTGTGATGAGAAAACATTATAACACAGATCAGAAAATAGCATAATATGGGCCCTTAAAATCTTGCAGCAGCAGCATTTTCAGCAGCATTTGGTCCAGTGCTCTATAGTAGTCCAATAGAGTCATTTAAAAATTCATATCCAGTGTCCATAAAGTGCATGTTTACTCCTTTAGTTTAGTGGCAGGCCTCTCTCGGCTCGTCTCAAACTGGTTTACTTTTCTCTGTTTCCTCCGATTCATTTTGGACATATCTTTATCAAACACCTCTCCAGATCTCAGGGCGGACACCAGATCGTCAAAGTCCCCGCTCCGCTGACCATCCTCGTTAGCTTTGGCTTTCTTCTCTCTTTCTTTCTTTAGCTAAAAAAATATGAAAAAAGGAAATTTATTAGCATAGTGCAGCTGATTATGTTAATATTATGTTCTTTATAACATGACGCTCAAGTGTATCATCACTTCAGGTAAACATCACTACAGAGAAATACAAAGTAGTGAGATGATACTGTGGTTATATATTTAACCACTGCTATGTTAAAGTTGCATTGTGTAACTTTTCTGGTGGAGAGCCTGTCAAATGCTTTTCTCTATGGAGATGTTATTGGTTTATCTGGAATGTTTCACAGTTTGTTATTAAACGTTTCTATCTTCATGGAGACCAAGCCAGGTTAAGTTATAGGTCAGATTTGTGGAGAAGCAGCCCTGTTCACACTCAGAATGTTTGTTTCTCTAGGTATTTTTGAGCTTTAAAACCACCTATAATTGAATAAATATAAGGAACAGCTGTTTAATGTCATACTGTGGAACATTCCAGGCAGAGCAATGACGTATCCATAGAAACAAGCAGGTACTTACAATGTTTACATTTAGAGTGTTGTTTCACTGTAGGATATATACAAGTTCATCACCGTGGCAACGAGTTAGAGAGAGTTACATCTTGGTTTTATAATATTACTGTATTTATTTATTTATTTATATATTTTTTTATTATTACTTACACTGTTATTGTATCATTGTTGTTCAGCACTTTGTTAAGCTTTTTTGAATGCGCTTTATAAATAAATAGCTATAGATTTGATATTATTCAAGTTTTAATTGAAATTTTATTGCTACAAAAAATATTTAAAAAAATAAGTGACTGACTTGTAAACCTCTGTCTCTACTAGAGAGTCAGGAATAATTGGAGAAACATGTGGAGCAGGTTAAAACATATTACGAGAAAACTGACAGGACTATTGTGAGGTAATTAGTTTTCAGAACAAGAGGTTAAACTAGTTATGTAACATATAGTTTGGAGCTAGAGTGTCAAACAAGCCTGGCAGGTGAAGAGAAAATAATTTATCTCTAAAGAGTAGCTGACTATTCAATTTTGAAACACTTAGGGAATCTTAAAGGTGCATTATGTAACTTTTCTGGTGGAGGGTCCCTCAAATGCTTTTCTCCATGAAGATAGTATTACCGGTACTTTGTCTGGAATGTTTCACAGTATAAATGTATTAAACCTTTTTATCTTCATGGAGACCAAACCAGACCAATTTACAGGTCAGATCTGCGGCGATGTATCCCCCGTTCACTGTCGGAATGCCTATTTTTCTAGGTATTTTTGAGCTATAAAAAGTTGGGTAATTGAATCAGTCTAAGGTTTAATGTCATATTGTGGAACATTCCAGACAGAGCAATGACATACCCAAAGAAACAAGCAGGTGACGGACCCCCAACCAAAAATGTGCATACTAAACCTTTAAAGCATGTTTTTAGAAATGATTTGATAAGTATATTTTGTTACCGTTGCCTCCATCAGAGCTCGTCTCTCTTCCTCTTCTTTGCGTTTGATCATATTCAGGTTGTCTTGTTTTGCGTCTGAGAATGACGTCATGAAAGAGTCAAAAATCCCAAAAAACTCATCGGGCTGCAGGGCGTCCTCTCCAAAGTGCCTCAGCGCCTTATCAAACTGAAAGAAAAAAAGGTTCAGTTAATATTGTAATGAAGCTAAATCAAACCAGCTTCTAAATGAAGACAATCTTGTCAATCAGTCACAGCCATAGTCCAGTTTTAATCATTTATTTCTAACTGTCAGTTATATTGTGGGGTCTTTAATTATGCAAAATTAACAGCTATCTCTTCAAAAACATACCTGGAGTAGTGTTTTGTTTCGTTTACACATTATTAGTCTGTCTGCATCCCCAGATCAAAATTCTCTTCTTACACCTTGTGATGTTATGAAACAGTAGTTCAAGTTAAGTGCTACCTTTTAGCTTTTGTTCAGTAGAGTTTGCCAATTCCAGGGCTGAAGTCATCTAAATGATAGTGAAGGTGTGTGGAGTTTAAAAACACAGTGGAGGACTTCCTGTATTACCACATGACATCACAAGGTGGAGTTCAGTCTGGGAGACGAACTATGTATATGTATATGTATATGCAGGGCTTGCGTGTTAAACGTGTGAATGAAACAAAACACAACATTATTAGATAATTCAGAAAATAGAACAAATTGGCCCTTTAATCTGGATTTTTACAGCCATCCTCTGCCAGTAAAAGTATGAGGTTTGGAGCAAAATGTTACAAAATATTTGAAGTTTTCCTTATACAGTTCTGGTTCTTGTATCCTCTCAAAATTTAAAACCACTTGTATTGCCCATCACTAAGCAGTAGAAGTGACAGACCACAAACAGAAGTAACAGTTTTATCATCTGACCCTTGCAATTAACATTTCTCCATTGTCAAATTTACTCAAATGCGTCACCTTGCTAATTACTCCCTTCTTTTTCTTACTTCCTTCTGCTTCTTACTCATGACAAAATGGTTTACTTGGACAATCAGATGCCACCTATAAAGACATTTATCTAGGTGTGGATCATGTCACTGTAAGGCTGTAAGCTTGGGAAGGTCTGCATTATTTTCACATGTCACACACTTGCATAGCATTAAAGAATGAGCTGGTGTCCCATACAGTCCAGTTTTATCAGAGCAGCCTACAGACAATACAGTATACTCATTTGCTACTGTACTGTTTGAATTCATCCCACTTTTTGAACTAAGCCTGATCCTTTACTGTTTGCTCAATATTTTAATTTAATAATTATAATTTCTTGGTGAAAGTGATGGTTAAAAAAACATGTTGCCATACCGGCTTGTCAAAGTCTGATCCTGTCAGATCTCAGAAACTAAGCAAGGCCGGACCTGGTTAGTACTTGGATGGGAGACCACTGGGAAAATCAGGTGCCACAGTGGGGCACCAGTAGCAAAAACTGTTGTTGTGTCCTTAGGCAAGACTCACCCACATTGCCTCTAGTATGAACAATGAACTGTAAAGTGCTTTTGGAATCTTGACAGCCGCTATATAAATGCAATGATAATTAATAAAAAAAAAAAAAACAATACACACCAGCAGAACTTTGCTTCATATTAGTGCGCTGCAATAGTACTTCAAAATGTGAAAGGCAGACAAACTAGAGATAACTGAACCCTCCTTATGGTTAGAGGTAGGATTCTGTCCAATGCTCCACCTACAAGCCTACATCACCCATGCCTCCACATGACAATTCTCCACATATATACAAAAGCAAGATACAAAACTGTACACTACAGCTTCACAAACCTGATGCGATGTGCTGTAGTTTCGTTAGTGGTGTGGGCGCTGATTGTGTTGTGATTGTGCTCTGAAGGGGGACTGACTTAGCGTGGAGAGTAAAGGGAGGGGGGATCCAGCGTGTTAAAGGTAATATGGTGATCTAAGAAATGTGTTACCTACCCCCAACCCCCCTCTCTCCCATCTCCCCCTTCTCTCTCTATTCCTTCCCCCTTTCGGCTCTTCCCTCTCTTTCTCTCCTCCTCCCAAGTCTCACTTCCTCTCTCCTTTTCTCTCTCTTACCCCTCTCACCCCCCAACTCTCCCTCTCTTTTCCCCTTATGATTTGATTTGAATGAGATTGTTTCTTTTGTTTTTTTTTGTTTTTTTGTCCAGCACTACCTCTCATCCAGTCATATGGTACATCAATCAATCAATCAATTAATCGATCTCACCAGTTCTTTGGCCTCACTGAGAGACTCCTCCACCTCTGAGAAGCTAAAGGTTGCCACGGTGATGAACTGGCTGACCACAGGGATAAACTTGTCCACGGGGCCCTGGGAGGACTGAGACTGCCGGTGCTGGAGCTCCTGTAATAATGAGAAACATACAGAAAATTACTATCTGCAAATCTTAAAAAATCTTTAACAGTGTTTGGCTCTTATGTGGGAATTTCATACCGATTCAACAAGCTTCAGACCAGATCTTAGGCTCCCAATCTCCTTTTCCAGCTCAGTCATACTAGAGAGAAAAAGATGTTAAATGTACCTTATACATACGATTTAATAAACATGGGAAATAAGTAATACAGATGCTTTCAATTTATAGAAAATAAAAATGATAATATTTGAAAGAAAACTTTGACATTAGAGAGTTATTTTTTTTATTGATTGACCTTTATTTAACCATGAATGTCCTAGAGATTCAGAATATGTTTTCAGATGCACATGTTTTCAGTATAACATGACTAAAATATAAGTATTAATGGGAAATGTTAATGCTTGTATTATTTGGAAATGATTACATCTAATATAACAAAACCACAGAGATAATGCTCTCCAAACTAACATAGAGCCATATGGTCCCTAAACAGTTTCAAAGGTTTAAAGACTTACTTGACTTTAGCGGCTTCTGGCACATTTTTTAGATCCTCAGTGAATGTCATCACTTTTGGATATTTCTGCTCCAACACAGTGATCAGGTAATGGAGGAGAGTAACGCTCCTGTGAAACAAAACAGTTAGATTTACTAAATTGGTCAGTTATTAATGATTAGATAAATTTAAGTCCAAGTTAGCTCTCAAAAGATGTGTTCAAACTTCCACATACAAAACTGAAACAGAGACAGATATATGAGGACTAAACTCAAAACTAAAGCAGCAAAAGATCATGACTAAACCACGATTAGAAATGGGCAAAACCAATTTTGCAGTATATCTAGACCAAAATCAAAGGTGCATTGTGTGATTTTTCTGGTACAGGGTTGGCCACCTGCTTGTTTCCATGGATATAGACAAGTTTAATGCCATACTGTGGAATATTCAAGCAAAGCCCTCTACGAGAAATGTTACACAGTGCACCTTAAAGTCTAAACTTGGGCAAAAACTGGATAAAAATTTTGAAAGACTCCTGTTCTAGTCCTGGTTTAGTGTTTTTCTGGTTTAGTTAACACCAGTTAAATTAAAATCCATGTATATATTAAACAACATGACACAAAACTACAAATGATCGTACGTACTTGTCTATGCTGGACTTGGTGTCTGCAATCTTGTTGAGGCTGTTGATCCTAAATCCATACGCATTCCCTCTTTGTCCTTTGTTCATGTAGTTTCCAAAAGCCAAAACTATCTCTAAAAGATGTCGTAGTGAACCACTCCTCGTCACCTCCCGAGACGCTAGACTCAGAGCTGGAATACACAAAAAAAAAAAAAAAAGTCTCTTTATGGTGGCTCAGTTGCACTAAGATTCATCATAATAAAGACCAAATAGGTAATAGAATAATGAAAATAATAATAATAATATGTAACTGGATAAGTACATGCACACATCTATAGGAATATAGAGCTTATGTTTAAATGTGTATTAACTAAATGCACACTGTTCAAAACATTATGTAAGATTCTAAATATATGAATGACGGACCAATAACATGGAAATACAGAGATGTTGTATAGTGGTGGTAATAGTAGTAGTAGTAGTATTAGTAGTAGTGGTAGTAGTAGTAGTAATAGTAGTAGTATAGAAATGTGTTATATTGAGTCCATAATATGTTTTAACTATTTTACTTATTCTATACCTTGGATTCTAGGCTTGACCTCTTCCAGTCTTTCTGTAAATTTCTTCTTAAAGTGAAGGGACTGTAGCCTCTGCTGGTAGTGGTTTATTCTAAAGAGAGAGAGAAAGTACAGTTAATTCATAGGTGAAAATATTGAAAGTTAATATACTATGTAGCAGTTCTTTTTAATACTTTCATTGTGCTCTTCTGTCATTTAAGAATTCACAGTTTAGTTTAGATTAGTTTAATTGACCACTTTGGGATGACTGTACGTTGGCGGTCCACACCTTTTTTTGTTGAACTGTCTGAAGCTGTGCACACGCCTGAACAGTTTTTTCATTAGTACTGTCAATGCGCCAAATGGGTTAGTAGGAGTAGTACTAGTAGCCCAACAATGGATAGGGTAGATTTACTTTGGGCTATAGCTTCTCTTTTCATTGTTTGAAAAATCAGGTACCCCATTTTAACTTAGTTTACTTAAAGGTGCACTGTGTAACTTTTCTGGTAGAAGGCCTGCCAGTTACCTCCAATATTCCAAAGTATGGAATTAAAATATTCATTCGCCATAGAAACAAGCAGGAGACACCACCACGCCAATTTATATGTGAGATCTGTGAAAGGTGACCCCACTCACAGTCAGAATGTTTGTTTTTAAAGGAATTTTTGAGCAATAAAAATACCCATAATTGAATACATTAAAAACATAAAAAAACAAAATTATTAAAAAAATAAATAAATAATAGTCTCTCCATGAAAAGTACGCAGTCCACCTTTATATTTGTACCTGCTCATGTCGTATAGGAAGCGATCAGCTTTGGCCATTCGGTCCAGTTCATTCTTGTGCTCCTCCAAAAGCTCAATGTCACTTTTTTCTGGGACAAACTTCAGGAGCTGCAAGAAATAGACAAAAAGAGAGAATTAAATATTGATTTAATATTATTGCTTTAGATTAAAGTAACAGCTATTTTAACAAACTGTACTTTAGTATTTTTATTTGAAGCTACAGCACTTTAATCAGTTAGAATTCTGAATGTAAGTTTACCAATTTTACAGTCACAAAGTGCTATGATAAAGTGAAAGATAGATAGATAGATAGAGTGATAGATTAAGTTCATTTAGCTCCATGGAGACAAGTGCAGGCAAACCAAGTCACAGGTCGAATCTATGGAGAGGTGATTGTAAAAAGTTTGAAGATGTTTTCGAGAAATAAAAACACCTTTATTGAGTAAATGTAAGATGCATTATTGCCCTACTGTGGAACATTGAAATCAAAATCTCCATGGAGACAGAGTAAAAGTTAGTGCTTGGTGCTTCAAATAATACCTGCTCGAGCATGTCTTTGGGTAAGTCCTCCTGTTCGTCCATGGTCAGGATCGCATGACTAATCTCCTCATTGGTCAGTTTCAGTCTGTAGAGTCAAAATAGAGTCAAATTTCCAAATAAAAATTACTTTATTTTTTACATCAGATGAAGCAGAAAACAGACATCAAATCTACTATGTAGTTTCCATTTTTTCTCACAGACCTTGAGAGCAAAATGTTGCAGTTTTGAGCTCGTCGACCATCAATAACTGACAGCTCCTTCACCTTCTTCACCTCGCCCTCTGTATCTTTCTATAAACACAAATGGACAGGGATTGGCCTAACTAGTATGTGCTTATATTGTATGCTATTGTTATGTGTTGGTGAATGTACCTGTGGTCTCTGATAGGCTGAGAAGGTTTTCTGAAACTCCTCAAGATCCAGAGTTTTGAACACTTTGAGGTCATCTATGTCTTCCCAGATAGTGCCGTTCACTTTATTCTGAAAAGATAGTGATTATGTGGAATTATAGTCAGCTTCTAAAATATGAACTGACTCAAAAATGTGAGTGATCAGAGCTTTGCTGTATCTCCTAGCCGTAGCACGGATGAATGATGAACAAACTACCCACCTTTGAGCTACTGTTAAATATTCTAGGCTTGGGTCTATTGATATTTTGCAGTGACGTCATGCTAGGGGGGTCCTACATGTGTCTAACTGTTCAGCAGTTACCATGGAGACAGTGCACACATTACCAAATACAGACAAAACATTTTTAAGATTGTCTGAAACTTAAGAAAAAAATAAATAAATAAAATACAATATGGATTTTAAATTAACTTTCAGGAGCCTGTGATCAGGACAAACGTTCATGGTCCAGTTTAGATGTTTGAAAACCTGTCTTGACTTGTTTAAAAGCACAAATCATCTCACCTGTTGTAGAGCTCTTATTTCAGATTGTGTTAAAATAAAACTCAGATTATGTTTTACGTGAGTAACAGAGCATCTAACAGAGTAGTGCTTTTGGTTAGCATCACACCCTTAGGGAATGTTGATGACATTAGCTGCAACGTATCAATAATAGCAGTAGTTCTAGTTCTTCCAAAATCACTAAACTGAAATAATCCTCATGTCATTGTATTGTACCGGTGGCAGTTTGCTCCAGTTGAATGACTTCATTGGGTTATCAGGTTTGGGGACGTTCTTCTCTTTCACTTGTCCCATGGGTGCTCCCGGAGGCGGTGGAGGGGGCGGGATGAACCCAAACCCTGGAGGTCCGCCGGGGGGAGGAGGGGGTGGGAGGGGGAGGGGCAGGGGGAGAGAGGCCAGACAGGACAGGAGCAAGGCCACCAGAAGTGGAGGAGGGAAGAGGAGGTCCACCAGGAATATTAGAGCTCTATAAATGAAAAAAACAAACTGAGAATTAAGGGTCAAAGGCGCACTGTGTAACTTTTCTGATCGAGGGTCCGCCACCTGCTTGACTCCATGACGATGTTATTTTTTTGTCTGGAGTTTCCCAGTATGGCACTAAACCTATCCATCTTACATTTACTCAGTAACATGAGTTTTATTGACCTAACTGCCTTCTTACTGTGAGTGGGCTTGCCTCTGCACAGACAGGGCATGTTAGGGCCCTGTGGTGTCACCTGCTCTTTTCAGAGATAATATGTGTAATGCCACAGTGTGGAACATTCAAGGCAATGCAGAGAAGCAGGTGATGGATTCTCCACCAGGAAAGTTATACAGTGTTACACCTTAAATAGATCAATATTAACCAATGTATTGAAATGTACTAATTATTATTTTTTATTTTTTTATTAATTAGTTCCCACAACATGCAAAAGTTTCCAAAAGTAGTCCCTAGCTAGTTTTGCGTTGAATTTAGTATAGACTACTTATTTCACAGATAACATAACTATATTCAAGATTTAAAATTTTAAAACTTAATCTAGGGTTGGACAATGAATCAAATTTGAATCGAGATTATGATCCAGTCTTTTCTGATTGTGAATGAGAGCCTGGTTCAGCAACCAATCCTCTGTCACTAAAATGTGGTCTGGAGCAGAGTTCAGACTTTCAAGGAAAAAATATTTTGAGAAATTGAAAATCAAGATTCATATCATCTGATAACTGGAAAGCTCACTTCTTCCTCATAGCGTAACCCCCACAAATGACTGCTTCTTCATTACTTGTTTTTGTTTGTCCTGTTCTTGTTTTGTGTTAAACTATTGTGAAATGTTGTGAAGTTACAGAGGAAAGCGCTATATAAAACCAATCTTATTATTATTAGGATATTTGCTGTGATCTGAACAATATTTTTTTCAGCTTTTATATCTATAACATTTTCACATATTTAAACCTACACTGCTGAGTTGCTGTAGTCTCGCTGACAGTTCGGCCATTTGCTGTTTGGTCTGTCTCAGTTCATTTGTCTCTCGCTCCAGTTTGTCCTTCATCTTGTTCAGCATCTCCAGCATGTCCTCCTTCTCTTTGTTCTTGGCCTCACACTCACGCTCTTTACGCTCAAACCTCTGCTGCAAATTCTGATGCTCTGAAAACAAAACAAAAGAAAATGAGTTTATAATCTATAAACAATGTAAATTATTGATTACTGGCAAGGAACACCTATTTTTGTTGCTTATATGTATTTGTCATTTTTTATTAAAGGCTGATTCATGTGTCAGTTGGTAGTTTTCAGATTATAGAACTAACAATATTTCAACAATATTCAGGATTTACATAATGCATACTCTGCATTTAAACAATATTAATTTGATCTACGGTAAATATTATTGATCTATAGAAATAGTTGTGATGTCATCTGAACTCCAGCAACAGTTATTATTAAAAAATGAATTAATACTACACATGTGAATGAAGGACATATAGTCATATATAATGTTTTCACATCCAAAATCAGCAAATACCTTTTCTCATTTTGTCTGCTTGTTCTTTCCATTGTTTGACCTCATCTTCTTTGACCAGCCTAGACACAAAAATATAATTAAACATAAACAATAAACCTTTTCCTATAGTTTAGACCTTTACAAAATGAAAAGCATGAGATGCTAGTGTTAGATTGGCAGTTCCTATTTCACTCAATTGTTAGTGCTGCTGGTTTTAAGATATATCCTCAAATATTGTTTATTTGTAAAACAAAAAACATAAATGTAATCACAATATTTGTCAGAGAAATACCAGATTGATATTTTGCACAATCATTAATCCGTGTTTTGAGTTAAACTGCCCTTACATTCGGATGATGTTTTTCACATTGAAGTCTTCTAATGGGGCAACATCAGGGTTTTCTCCTTTCTCCGTCTGAAGAACGATCTGTTGGATGATTCTGTCCAGTAACACCCAGTACTGCCGAGAGGTGCTGCCCTGTTTGACTGTAAAAACAACACATGCTTCATATTCAATAACAACAAAAGTACTAAACCTGTATAACTGTATGATATTAATAAATTAACATGATTTCTGCCTTTTTTTTTTCTTTTGACTGTGTGAATGAAAGTGAACATATTAGTTAACTATTTAGTGGTAGTTCTTATTTATACAGAGAGAGAGAGAGAGAGAGATACAGAGAGGGAGTATACAGGTGTGCACAGGTCTTACAGGGCATCATGAGGCAGTGCTGCAGCACAGAGAGAAAGTGTGGGTACAGCTCTGTGTGGCTCAGCTTCTTCCTCAAGACCTCAAACATCCCATTGGCACTTTTGGTGTCTACATGCACCTGAAGAAACACACATTTTAAACAGTCATTTTATGTTATCTGTTCATTTTATGTTATCTATTCAAATAATATGTAGACAACCAAGGTGTACCACAAGGTTCAGTACGCGCCCCCCTCATGTTTTAGATATCCATAGTTGTATATAAGCCTCTTCAAACAAATCCATTATCATTATCCATTCATCAACCTTGAAGCAGTCATTATTAGAGAAATGAAATAGAGATGCATGATATGATACTGGTGACAGATCAAAATTTTGATCAGATCTCAGTGCCAATATATTGATTCAGTTGAGCAACTCATTTTGGTTTATAAACTGGTGTGATAAGATAAGATTTACTGGGCAAAGTTGTTATGTAGTTATGTGAATCATTTTTACCATTAGATATTTGTGTTTAAAGGAAATAAATAATATTTTCAGTCTCTGCTGTGGTATTGGTTGACATCAGGTATCGGCAGATATCGGTGGCAGTATCAAAACTGAAAAAGCTTAATCGGTGCATCTCTAGTCATTTTCATAACTCCTCTGTTTAAACTACTTACAGAGTCAAAGCGTTTGCTGAGTTGGAGTTCATCTTCATTTCGGAGCATCTCAAAGTAGTCAAGATGTCTGAACAGAGAAGAGACGGAGTCATGGTTAGATTTGGTTCACACACTATTTGGTTTATGGCAGTGTTTTACCGTACACGTCTAAAGTGGCATTTTCATGTGAGCGCAGTTTGTCAATCACCGGCTGAATGCCCAACATCAGAAACTCATATCGCAGGTGGATCCGAAACTCAAGACTGGTCTGGAGAAAGAGTAATGCAAGTTAATTATATTTTAAATATTCACTATGTTTAGCATGCCTTCCCCACGTAGTCAAAAACCTTGTAAAACTTGTAGATAGGTAAGTTTTTTGTAAATTATTTGCAATGAAAATTCTTTCACACTAACAACTGGTATCTATTACTGACTCAAAGTACCCTGCACAGTTGATTACAAGCATGCTTTCTACAGATCAATATTGTGTAGAGAAGAAAACCCTTTTAGGCCATCCAAATGACCTTGAACCCCACTTTGGAAATCACATTAAGTAAATGAGTTATACTGACCTCTCCAGCTCCTTTCCCAAGCACAGCGTTAATAAAACTCATGATTGTCGTCTTTAAATTCACTTCATCTCTGTAACGACCAGTGGATCTATCCAGGTCATACACCAGACTCTGCCAACAAAGCATCAAATAATTATAATCATAACAATATTACAATCGAGTATTGACCTATATGGTAATATGGATATAGGTATCCAAACCTGAAAACGTGTCCTCTCTGCTGCGAATGTCTGGTAATGTGTCATGGCCTCCAGCACTTTCTTATGTCCCCCTGGCACCAGGCAAACTGCCCCGAGGATCTCCAACACTGACACCTGAAAATGTGTATTTTAATTAATATTATAAACTTTAACTTTCTCTTTTAATTTAATGAGTACATTGTGTTTTACTCCCCAAAGTATTGCAATATATCTAGCAGAAAGCAATTTTGGGTATACTAAAAATAATCGCTATAGAAACTTTTAGGAGTATTTTAATAATGCCCAGTTATCAAAACATTTTTATAGATACTTTAACATATTATTTGTCAGTTGAGTACCTTAGTCTTGATGTTTTCTGTGGCCAAACTCTGTGCGATGATGTTGATGCTCTCAGGGTGTCCCAGGACATGTGCGCGCCCTTGGGTGCTGTTCATGAGCGCATTGATACACCCAATCAGAGACGTGTGGACGCTCGACTCTGATGTCTCATAGTCCATCTTCTTCAGGAAGTTCAGGAGACAAGACAAACCGTCCAGCTCAATGAACCGCGTCACAAACCTGCACAATGGTAGCTTTAGTTACAGGTTAAATAGAACAGGAATACCATATATAGTGATGTCATTTGGTTGTGTTGGACTTTAAAAAACATATTATGTTACTATAACATATGTAGATCATTATTTTACACTTTGATCATTGTAAACCATATTATTGATCTAAAATGGATTAATAAGAGAGACTGGTTTTCTAACTAATTTCAGAACTCCATAACAGGAGCTCCTCTGCGTTCAGAGATAACTGTCACAATATGTGACTACACAGATATCTTATAGGTCTGTGATAGAAAAGGGCCAGGTGTGAGTTTGTAGTAAATTTTAAATGCCAACATCAGTACTACATAAAACATATTAACAGACCTTATTGGCCACCGGTTGCTCTGGATTCTAAACAATCGGCATTAGCCATGAAAAAAAAACACATCGGTTGATCCTTAGTGTCCAACAATCGTGTTTTTATTGTTTCGATTACGCAACATTTTTAACTCTTGTTTAAGTTATGCAACACTTTGACTCCACATGACGTATGACCTAGAGTTTGTGAGTAATCAATCAAGTAATTACAGAGCAGCAGGTGGAGTTAGGGTGGAGAACTTCAGCCTGGACAATGCAGGATTACTGTATGGATCACTCAAAATATACAAGTCTTTGTCAGTTAATGAGCAGTTTGCCTGAATTCAACCTATTGACAATGCTATGCGTAATTTTTGCCTGCTTTATATATTACGCAAAATTTATTCTAGTGAGCTTAACGTCATGTTAGAATGTTGTTACCTCATCAGAAACATACCTGGAGATATGTTTTGTTTCATTCATATGTTTGAGTAATCCTTTATTATAGGTCGGTCTACACACAACTCCAGGTATGGGTTTGATGAGGAAAACAACATTATGACAGAGATAAAAAATAGCAATATGGGCCCTTTAAACAGTGATGTACCTCATTGGTTGTGTCCTCAGTGCAGTCTTCAGACCCTCCACAAGTTTGTGCCTGCTATTGTCATCGTCTCCATCCAGAGCCACAAACGTCCTCCCCTAAATAATACAGGTATAAGTTTCCCTTTGTAATCACCAGTATATTGTACAGTATCAGAATGGATCACTTTTGACTCACCGCAGTCATATTTAGACGGTCAATGTAATGATCAGGCCAACGAGTGGCTCCATTGTTCTCCTCTGCTTCCTATAAAACACACTAGAGTTTAGCACGCCAAATGTGTCCATCCTGAAACTCTTATAAAATGCACATTCAATTTAAAAGGCCTATATTAAGTAAAACTGACTCTTAGCCATGTTATAAGGTTGTCCTCAAAAACTTACCTGGAGTTGTGTATTGTTTCAGTAATGCTGCATTAGTGGTGCATTAGTCTGTCTACATCTCCAAAACTCAAAATGCTCTGTTCCAATTTGTGATGTCATGCAGTGGCAGTTTTCAACTTAACAGCTACCATTTACCTTAACTTGAGTAGAGATCAGTCAGTTTCAGATCTGAAATTATCCAAGTCATTATAATGAAGGTGTATGGAGTTTAAAAGCACAGTGGAGGACTTTCTGTATTACCACATGACATCACAAGGTGGAACATAGTGTTTTCCATTTGAGTGAAGAGCTTATCCTAGGATTTGTGTCTTAAACATATGTGAATGAAACACAACTCCAGGTATGTTTGTGATGAGGAAACAACATTACAACGTGGATTAGAAAATAGTGTAATAGTGTAGTTGACCATACAGTTTGCCAATGCCTAAAATTGTCTCATCTCAGAAGCTAAGTAGGGATGGGCCTGGTTAGTACTTCGATTGGAGACTGTTGGGCAAGACCAGTGGTTAGAACATTGGCACATAAAGGTTGGCAACTCAGCTCAGAGCTGTTGTTGTGTCCATGAGCAGAGACTTGTTATTATATATAAATTCAAAAATCTCACCATTCTTTTACTGCAATAAATATGCCATTTCTTCTCTGCTGGCAGTGCAAACATGCGTGCTCTGTGCTCCTCAGTGAGATCCAACTCATCCTAAAAACAAAAAAATCAAACATTTACTGTGCCACTATGTACGTATGTACTGATATCTTGCAACTGATGTCATCAACATTCCCTGGGGGTGTGAAGCTAACTGAAAGCACTACTTTGTTAGAAGCTCTCTTACTCAAGTTAGACTAAATCTGATGTTTATTTTAACCACAGACTGTATAAAGAAGTGGACTAAGCGAGTGTGACGTCATCCATAGCGTTCAGCTCCACTCAAATGAGGCTCGCGAACCTCAAGGTTACAGGAGTAAATCTGGGGCCAGGCTTTATGTTATGAATAGGATTTTTTGATGGACAAAATAGCGAAAAAAAAATCAGGATCATGTAGAGCAGGTTAATACAAATATTTTAAGATCAAAATGACGAGGCTCACTGCAGCAGTTACAGAGAGAGGAGTGACAAGCGCATAATGTAAGTCAATAGAAACCAGGGACAGAAGGAACCGGAAGAGCCTCCTGGCAAACTTCCTATTTGGAACCTGGTGGCTAAGGCGTTAGCTATGTCCCTATATATATATATATATATATATATATATATATATATATATATATATACCTGAAACTCACCACCAGCTCTGTGAAGCGGGCGTCCAGCTCTTGTTCGGGGGGCATGGGCAGAGCGGGCTCCAGTCCCGCGAACAGGTTATGGTTGTCATGGCGATAGGTGATCTCCGGTTGCTGCGGCTCCCGGTCTTTGAAACAGCAGGAAAATATGGAGTAAAACGTACTCTCCTGATGAGGCTTCTCATCGGACGCCATTGTCACACCTGCCTCCTTCAAACACACAGAGAGGGACAGTTAGAGACTTGTGCTATTCAGGCTACAGGTGCAAGGCAGGGTCAGTCTGAGGTGGAAAGACAAATGGCATGCAGACGTTGCCTACTTCTGCTTGCCATAGAGTTTCTTGTGAAAAATTACAAATAAAAAAATATCTACAAACTGGGTTATCTTCAATCCGAGGCCTCATTGTAAAATATGTGGCTCTGAAGTAGAATTGTACATATGCAGGGTAAAGTGCCCCCTGCAAACCTACTTAAGTTCTATGGATGACTAAAAATTTAACTTTTCTGGTGGGGGTTTGGGATATTCGCTTGTTTCCATGGAGATGATTTTGCTCTGCCTAAAATGTTCCATACTATCTGTGCATCAAACTTTAAAACTAATATTAACAGTGTTTTTATTGCTCAAAAACCCTTTCAAAAACATGCATTCTTATAGTGAGCAGGATCACTTCTCCACAGGTCTTAGCTGTAACTTGGCCTGGTGGTGTCACCTACTTGTCTCCATGCAAATAATTGCAAATTATGCAATACTGTGGAGCACTCCAGGGATTGCTAATAGTTTATCCTCTCCATAGAGACAAGCAGGTCATGTAGCCCCCACCAAAAAAGTAACACATTACACCTCTATTTCGTGACAGTACTACAGTTATGTTGCCTGTTTAGAGAAAGGAAAGTTGTTTATGCAATACATTTGTTATATCCACTGTTTTGATCATTAAAATGGGTGTATTTCATAATATGAGAACCATGTATTGTACCTAATCGTGAGGAATCCCTGTAAATCCCAGCCTCAATTCAAAGTCACATAGATCCTCCAAAACACATTTCCTTGTTTAGATTTTTTAATACATTTAGCACATCATAGATCCAGTTAAAATAAGATGATAGAGATTTCTTATGACATTTAAGTTGGCTGCAGACTTGATAGACAGGTTGGTCTGGACACACCCCCTGCAGAAATAAATCAGTGTTGTTAAAGAGGAGAACACGGTGACCTGTGGTTTCTGTTGACGTGGTTTCTCCATTGTAAATAACTTTTGCATTCTTGACTTGAGGAAAGAGTTATCCCAAAATCTCACTCGAAGCATGTGCCAAAGCTGGATCAGTGACATAGTTAGTTAATATTTTACAACCAGTTAAGTATACGCTATCTCAGAGTGGTAAATCTACATGACTACTGTTGGTCTGATAAGGCGAGAAAGAAAACTAAATAAGGGCCAGTAGATCATGTGGGTTAATACTTTGTAGCTGATGACGTCAACATTCCCTGAGGATGTAACTGAAAGCACTGTTCTGTCTGAAGCTCTATTACTCTGACCATAAAGATCTGGCTTGGTTGGAACTACACCAGCTGATTTGTGCAGGTAAACAAGTCTCAAAAATTTAAACTTACAGTCACTCTCACTTTTTTGTTGAAAATCAAACACCTAAACAGGACGATGAACACTCGTATTGATCGCAGGCTCCTGAAAATCCGTTTTGTATTTTCAGATAATAAAACATTTTGGCAATTTTTGCTAATGTGTGCATTGTGTCACCGTGGTAACTAATGGACATTTAGTTTAGTCTTGGTTTAGTTCCATTTTAGTCCAGGTTTACATCTGGTTTAATCCTTTTACCTACATGTAAATTTTTGGCTTTCCCTGGTCCTATAAGTTATGAGTTTCTTAAAAGATTGTAACTGGGTCAGTGGCTCCTCGCTCTTTGCTTTGAGACTGAATAAAGCAGGTTAGAATTTGGCAGTTTTGGAGCATGCTATCCTAATTTGGGGTTCAGATTTAGAAGAAATAAGATACTGTCTTCCCAGATTCCCAACAGTCACACACAGAAACATGACCCACATTTAAAGCTGCACTATGTAACTTTTCTAGAGTCCACTGAGAGTACTGCTTTGCCTGATGTTCCACAATATAGCATTACAAGTATACATCTGTTTGATTGCATTCAGTGTGAGCAGGGTCACCACTCCACAGATCTGCCCTGTAACTTGGACAGGTTTGTCTCTATGCCGTATTGTGGGATTTTCCAGACACAGCAATAAGAACATTTACTTCCCTTCTATTTACTGTCATATATGCTACTAATACCTCTACTTGCCAGGCACAAAATATTTATATTCTTGATATATTTTAAGGTTACTTATCAGGTTTGTTGTTTGTTGTAGCAAATGTTATGACTGATTTTGACATTACATAGTCGCCCACTAACTGTATGGTCACTGGTTTAAACATTGCTAGACAAGCTCATTTACAACAGGAAGGGCATCTGGCATAAAAGCAAGTCAAATTATAATGTCAGTCAACCACGAAGAAAATGGAGCACTAACTAATGCTTACTTAATCATCTCCATTCTAAGTAACTGTCACTTCTGTCATTGAATCTACAAAGACTCACTTTGTCGTTTTGTATGGTCCCTCTTATTGAGCGAAGTATATTAACAATATTAAAGCACTGACATGTGTTTATTTAAAGACCTCATTCGCTCTGGTCCAGTCAATACTTTTACATAACCACAGGTCAGTTAAATCGATGTGATGGACGAACGCTGCTGGACCTGAACAGTAATCGGTCTCATGTGTCCAGAGCTGTCAGATGAGACCTGGTTTAGTGCTGGTTTAGTGTCGTTTAGTCCTGGTTTAGCCTTGGTTTATTTTCTAAATTGAGATTTAGATCTTGCATAATCCTGGTTTAGTCCCGGTTAAGTTCTGGTTTATTTTCAAGTTTGAGGTTTAAATCTTGCTTAATCTTGGCTTAGTCCTGGTTTAGTTCTGATTTATTCCTGCTTATTACTGGTTTATTTTCTAAATTGAGGTTTAGAGCTTGCATAATCCTGGTTCAGTCCTAGTTGAGACCTGATTTAGTCCCTGTCCACACAATATTCAATTTCATTTAATTGGCAAAGCAAATTCATGATTTACAAATTTGTTTTTTAGCAATGGTAATAAAACATTTCAAAATCACAAAAGGTTTTGATTGTAATCTAATTTTATGTGTAATAGTCACAATTTCATTATTAGCTTAATTTCTATAAGTGTGCATGTTTTTTCATGTTTTGTGTATATTGCTGGATTTCAATTTAACATCCTATTTAGCAATGAAAGGTTCAATATTAAGCAAAATTTACTCTTGTTTTAAGCCATGTTAGACTGTTGTTTCCTCCTCAAAAGCATACCTGGAGTTTGTGTTTTGTTTCATTCACACATTTGAGTAATCTTGCATTATTAGTCTGTCTACTTCTCCAAATCTCAAAATGCTCAGTTTCACCTTGTGATGTCATGAAGCGGTAGTCTTCACGTTAACAACTGCCTTTTGCCTTTAGATGTATGGAGTTTTAAAACATAGTGAGGCACTTCCTGTATTACCACATGACATTACAAGCTGAAACAGAGTGTTTTATCTGAGAGAAAAATTCAGCAGGGTTTGTGTGTTAAACATGTGAATGAAACGAAACACAACTCCATGTGATGAGGAAACAACATTACAACGTAACAGTGTAATATAGTCCCTTTAAAACACACACAAAAACTGGTGTACGATTTGGGAGAGTGACATCACCTCTTTGGAATTATATAAACATCAGATACATGGATTGTTGTGGTGACGTTTTCTCACAGTCATTGATGTTTCCCATGTCCTCGAGCTTAAAGCTGAAGGTCAAAGGTCAGTATCAGTGGTACAACAGTGAAGCAGATTCATCAAGGACAGCAAATATTTGTAAATGTGTGATTTTCACTGGTAAAAACAAATCTATAAGAGGGCTGTATCAGGAACACAGGCAGTAGACTATAACTGTGTTAATTAAAAAACCTATAATTGAACTAGTGCTAATGCAAATCATCAAATTCTGATTATGATTACTGCTTCTCTAATCGATTACAAAAACTGAGGAACTGATTCATCAAGATTATTATTATTAACTCTTAAGTGCCGTCATATTTCCTTTGTACTTTCTTGTACAGTACTTTCATTTAATTTCCTCTCTGCATTTTAGGTGCGCTGATGATTCACCTTTTCTCTAAGCAAGTACCGGTAATCATTTGAATAATTGTGATTTCATTATCATTATCATTTAAATAATTAGGATTATTATTGTTTCCATAATGGGGCAGACTTAATGTAGGTTAATAATTTAGCCTACATTTTCCTTTAATGTAATCCTCAAATTTAATGGTGACAATTAAGGCTGTACAAATTCGTGATCACTGCAGTTTTATCTACCTTGGTTCACAAAACATGCATTTACGGACAATATAATACTAAACTCAAGGACTTGTGTTTCAAGATGAGCCTGTATGAACACACTTTACTCTTGCTGCCATCACATTTCCATTTTGACCTGATCTAACCCTGTTCTTGTTTTCATATAGCTGCATTTATCCATGTCTTCTTCCACAACATCCACAAACCTTCTCTTTTTTCTACTTTGGCCTTGTGGTCATAGTTAAATTCAAAATGAAAGTCATTTAGCAGGTGTGACTCAATTGAAACATAATGATCAATGTTACAATTATAAAACTGAAAGACAATCCAAGCATGTTTCTCTTCCCGCAGTCTCTTGTTAAGAAGGTCTCTCTCTTTTTTGCAATTATAATTCTTTAATATTAATATAATATTTTTATATCATACAATAATAATAATAATAATAACAATAATAATTTAAAAAGTGTAAATAGAGTGTTTATTATCATTGTGGTCACAAAAAATAAATAAACATAACAACATAATTGAGCATGTACTGCACTCCAGTGTTGATAAGTAGCTGGTCCACACCTTGCCCTAAACACAGGTGTGAACCAGATTTCTCAACATCGAAACACAACACTGTGATTAATGAACACGCCTCTGGACTGTTTCCCCAACAGCCTCATGTGTGTACAGACTCTGAACTTTGAATAGACACAATTGAATACTTGAAATTGACACAACTCTGCACTTAAAGGTACACTGTGTAATTTTTTGGCTGGTTTATGGTTCCATAATGTGACATTAACCAGTTCTACCTTACATTTATTCAATTAAAGGTGGTTTTATAGCTCAAAAATACCTAGAAAAACAGGCATTCTGAGTGTGAGTGGGGTTGCCTCTCCACAGATCTGACCTGTAACTTGGTCTGGTTTGGTCTCCATGAAAATAGAAATGTTTAACGTCATACTGTGAAACATTCCAGACAAAGCAATAACATCTCCATGGAGACAAGCAACTGACTGACCCTTCACCAGAAAAGTTACACAATGCACCTTTAAGCAAACCACCTATTGTCTGGGAATTAGCGAATTGATTACCTAATAGATTGCAAACAATAAGAGTGGGAGGCTGACCTGTTGAAATTATACACAAGTAATTCTGCAAAGAACCTCCCAACACCCAAAACTATGGCTCAATCAGTCAAATTTGATTTCTAAACAGTTTCCTGGCATTGCATTGTCACTTAAAGGTGCACTGCGTAACATTTCTAGCAGAGGGTCTGCCACTTGCTCCTGCTGTCTCTATTGCTTTGTCTAGAATGTTCCACAGTATCGATTAAATCTATTGATCACAAGTGACAAGCAGGTCACAGCGTCACACGACATAACAACTCAGATCTGTGGAGCCCCTATTCACAGAAGGAATTCTTGTATTTTTGAGCAATAGAAACACCCGTTCTGAATAAATTCTAAATGGTTATGTTTAATGTCATACCATGGAGCATTTCAAGCAAAGCAATAACATCTCCATGGAGACAAGAAGGTAGCGAACCCTCCATCATTTTGCATATGGAAGAGGCCAAGTCATAGCCCACTGAATTTGGCAGAGTTACAGTTACAGTTGGACAAATCAAAGTAGATGTATAAGTCTGTTACATAGACAACAGGTTTGATAGGATGAGAAAAAGTAATACAACTCTTATCAGTAGCTGCAGTTGGCCCTGATATGCGTCATTTTGGATTTTTGATCTGGCCGATGTTTGACTTTTTGTATTTGAACTGTGCCATGGCCAACTGAACATTAACCTCCAAGGTCAACCGACGATACAAAAGGCAAGAAAATATTTGTGGACAAAGTTTCACTCAGTGCTACATTCTATATATGTGTCCCACAATGCATATGGGGTCGGGGGGGTTGTGATAACCTGAATCTGAATACAGTGTTTTGTTTCTGTGTATTGTTTTATACTGAAATAACAAATAAACTGCGATTTGGATATATAATGTAATGTGGTATACTTTCAAAATGTACTTATTGCCTAAATTCATTTCAGCATTGCAGTCCAGACTAACACTAACTTTCGATGTTGCAACCATTTAAATCCTGCTAATATGATCAGTATAAAATCTTCATGTCATATATTTCTATACATTAAATGCAATAGAATAAATTAGATTTGTAATAGTTGTAGTAGATTATTGTAATGTAGTCTGTAATCTGATGATAAGAATTTAATAAGGAGCACTTTTGAGTTTTGGCTCTTTGGACACTTAATTACCTTAATCAACCACAAACAAAGTCTTAACCCTTAATTAAATCATTATTAAGTCTGAATCTTTCTTAGTCAACAATTTGTTAATTCTTTGCTCATGCTTTATTAAAGATGCACTGTGTAACTTTTTTGGTTACCAGCATTTTTCTATGGATATGTCATTGCTCTGATTCAAATGTTCCACAGTATTACACAGATCTGCCTTACATTTATTGAGTTACAGGTGGTTTTATAGCTCAAAAATACCTAGAAAAACTGGCATTCTGACTGTGAGCGGGGTTGTCTCTCCGCAGATCTGACCTTCAAATTGGTCAGGTTTGGTCTCCATGAATATAGAAAGATTTAATGGCATTCTGTGAAACATTCCAGACAAATCAATAACATCTCCATGGAGAAAAGCATTTGACAGACCCTCTAAGTAACACAATGCACCTTTAACACTAGTAATGGTGTAGCTATTATAAAGTGGAACCAGATTTCGTAGTTAAATATAATTACAGCAACAATTCTAATAACAATTATTTATATATATTAAAAAAAATAATACAAATATTAGAGTTTTGAATCTTACCTGTCTTGTATTGTCCCAGGTTATGTTATGCAGTGTGAGGCCATTATGAGATGTTTGAATGAAGCGCTCATGTCAACAAAGAGGTAAAACCATTAGTTGTCTTTCAAACATTATAACAGCTGAAAATCACAGGGAGGGACTGTGTGCTCCCTCTTCAGCTTGTCTTGTCATGTTGTCTATAATCCCACTGTTTGACGAGCAATCAAAAACGTAACTCCCGGTATAATAAAGTTAATTTGAATCTTCAGGCAGCCACCCCAACAGTCGCAGCAGTAACCAAAAATCTGTTAAAAATCCTTCAAATCTGATCCGCTTCAGTGTTATCCACAGATTAGCAGGTAGAATTGGAGTCTATAGTACTAATAGCTTTGAATGTTGGAAGATACTGTCAGTACTGCTTTGGTAGGAGTGTGAAGTACTGAAAACACACACTACTGCATTCCTATGGCAGCAGTCACACCCCAACCTCACCCTTGCAACTCTGTGTGTGTGTGTGCGTATGCGACAGAGGCTCATTAGATAATCACTAGAAACCAGCTAACTCTTATATAAGTCATAGGAGTTACGTTTACTTTGTTTTTATTTGAATAATAATAATAACAGTAGATTATAGGTAAGATTTATGTAGTTTAAAAGGTGGCAGAGGTATTGGTTCTGCATATGTCCTGTTATGGTAAAATAGCACTCTGGTCTAAGCTGGTCAGTATGAATTAAAGGGGTACAGTGTAACTTTTCTGGTGGAATGTCTGCCATCTGCTTGTCACCATGGAGATGTTAATGCTCTGTCTGGAATCTGCTACAGTAGGGAAGTGGTGGATGAAGTACTCAATGTTATCGAAGTAAAAGTACAAATACTGGGGCAAAAGATTACATGAAAATATCTAAGTAAAAGAATTGAAATACCTTTTTAAAATGTACTTTAAGAGTAAAAAAGTATTATGCGGTGATTTTTATCATAATTAAATGCAGTGATTTTGATAAAGAAGCACATTCAGTTGGTTTCTCATTTTTTTAAAGCTGTTTTTGTGTATTTGTTTAGCATAAAGTTGGGATGTCAACTCAAATTAAATGTGCTAAAAATAAGTTTCAGCCATTTCAGTAGAGCTCAAACCATAAAGAAAAGTAACTTTTTACTTTTCAGTCCTTGCAAAAAATGTAGTGGGGTAGAAAGTGCAGACACCTGCTCTCAAATGTAGTGAAGTAAAAGTAAAAAGTATTCACTCTAAAATGTACTTAAGTAAAGTACAGATACCTAAAAATAGTAGGGTATAAAACTTATGTACCATTTATTCAATTACAAATGGTCAGGTTTAATACCTTGAAAATCATGCATGCTTACTGTGTGGGGCCACCTCTCCACAGATCTGACCTGGTGGTAGAGTAACCTGTTTTTCTTTACTGACAAAGTTTAATGCCATACTGTGGGACATTCCAGGCAAAGCAGTAAAATATAGATGCTGTTACTGCAAGGGGCAGCACTATCCACCACAAAAGTTACATAGTGCATCTTTAACTTTACCTGTATGGTAAATTGGCACAGTAGCTGGTACTTTTACCCCATAACAAGAAGGTTTCTGGTTCAAATCACAGGCTAAACAGTTTTTGGTTCCTCCAGTTTCTCTCACCGTGACTTATATAGCTTTGGGTCCCCTTCTCAAATCAGGACTCCCTCATTATTCTGAAATTCACTTTGACAAAGAATAAATTACCAAAGGGGAAAAAAATCAATAAAGTTTTACAAAGGTACTTATTTGTGTCTTTACTTCCAATTTGTGGCTTGCCTTATCTGACAATGACAGGAAAGTCTTGAAAAGTAATGTTTGGGATCCTATGTCTCTCCCTTACTCATTAGACCCATTATAATTTAGTTACACTAATTGTGAAATGTACTGAGAAGAAAATATCAAATAAAAATGAACTTTTTGCACATTGCAACAGGCTATGTTCTTACATACTGTTCCACCTTGTAGTGTCATGAGGTAATAGATGAAGTGCTCCACTGTGTTTTTATATTCCATCACACTTTCATTAAAATTTTTTTGGATAATTTCAGCACTGGAGCTACCAGTCTCTATTGAACAAAAGGTAAAAGTTGTTAACTTGAAGACTACATGACCTCACAAGGTGGAACAGAGCATTTTGAGCTTTGGAGATGTAGACAGACTAACAATAAAGGATTACTCAAACAAAACACAACTCCAGGTATGTTTTTGATGAGATAACAACATTATAACATGGCTTAAAGCTTAAAGAAACACAAGATACTACTGACTTAAATTTCTAATGCTCTAACTGAATGAATAATATAGAGTAACAGCGGAAGTGAAAATTAAAGATTAGATTTGACTCAATGCCTCACTTGAAAAGCACCTGAAATGTCACAGGACTGTAGTGGAAAACTGCCAGAGATAAGACAATCATCTTTTCTGATAACATTTAGAAACTGGTTGAGGTTGCAGGTGCATGATTGATTTTCATATTTCTAAAACATGAAAAACAGAGGTGGTTCATTTTAAATAGTTTGTTATTCCTCACTTACTTTATCCATTCAGAGCACCCTAATTATTCACTGAGATGAGTTTCACACTAATTGCTAACGACAATTGATTATGGGAACACTTTATATTTAGATGCAGACAGTACATAGACTTATTTTGACCTCTAGGGTGGCTTATACAGTATATATGTGTTTTGGAGCAAGACTAATTTTGCTCTAATGCATGGGAGTAAACTGGGTATAGAGACTTAAAAAGCAAGTTTGAATCTGCTTTAAAGTACAGATGCTCATTTGAACCATCGGACGGCATGTTTCTGAATGTCTTATGTCGCTAGTGCAAGTGTTGCCACATGGTTCTGATCCGACAGTGTCTTTGAATGAATAAAATTGAGAAGTAACAGATGTGCATGAACCAAATATTTTTTCACACCTTGCTTTTTTGGCTGGACACAAAACAGTGTGATAGTATTCTATTCTGAAGTAGGACTCAAAATCACAATGAATGCAGAGTCAGACATGTTTCCCTGTATAGTGTGTGCAAGTTGCTAGAATCATTTGGATGATTTCAGCTTTGGAATTGCAAATCTCTGCTGAACTTAAGGTAAAAAGTAGCTGGCAGCAAACTTGAAAACTACCACTTCATAGCATCACAAGGTGGAACAGAGCATTTTAAGATTTGGAGATTAGACAGACTAATACTCAAACATTTGTGAATTTGTGAAACAAAACACAACTCCAGGTATGTTTTTGATGAGGTAACAGCATTCTAACAGAGCTCACAAGAGTAAATGTGTTATACAGGATTTTTTCATCTTTCTAATGTTCTTTATATGTTTAAGTTTTGGATGTCATAAATAGTATGCATATATTTCTATACACACAAAGTTCTTTAGTAAAAACAAAAGACTATTATAACATTTAGCCTGCAGTTTTGAAAATGTTTTGCGTCAGGTGTAATTAGCCAGTGCCTCTCAGACAGACAGAGCAGATAGTGATGAGTGCCCTGTATCCAATTATATGTTATTAAAGGGAGGATGGGTTTATCTGAAATGGGTGTAGCCTCTGTTCTGTCTGTCAGGACTCACTCCTCACAATTACAGGGCAACCAAGAAGATAACTAACAACATGGGGAGTATCAATTATCATTTATGTGTTCATTTCATTATTGTTTTAATTGCATGATAAAAAACATGTACAGTTAATGGATCGGGGTTAATTCTAACGCTACGTCTGAGTCCTGATCGTGAACCATGAATTTCAGCTTGTGTCATTTTGGGGACAGTTGACCATTCGAAGAGATATAATATTTTGAATTGTTAATTTCTATGTTTCATTATCAAAAAAACATACCTGAAGTTGTGTTTTGTTTCATTCACACATACACACAGACCTTCTCAAAGCTGTACCACCTTGTGATGCCATGTGGTAATGCAGAAAGTGCTCCACTGTGTTTTTACACTCCATACACCTTCACTAGGATCATTTGGATAATTTCAGCTCTGGAATTACCAATTTTCGGCCTAATTAAAGGTAAAAACTAGCTGTTAACTTGAAAACTGCCGATTGATGACATTAGAAGGTGGAACAGAGCATTTTGAGTTTTGGAGATGTATTATCTAATAATAAAGGATTACTCAAAAACAAAACACAACATTAGATATGTTTAAAAACATTCTAACATGGCTTAAAGCTCACAAGAGTAAATTTTGCGTAATATAGTCAAATCAACCACGTCATTCAGACTGAAAATAGTGAGAAATTATATGATACCAGCCGTTATCAAAAGCTCTCATTCAGTGATCTAGGGCGATATTCTTAAGGTGTGTTTGATCACGGTTTGAGATGATAAAAACAACAGGTGGTGCATGGGTAGATCTGAAAAATAGTCACACATTTTTGTACCTAGCACTTAAAAAGGAAATTAAAATATCACTCAATCAAATGTTTAAGAATTGTTTTTATATTGTAAGAAGGATACCCTGTAAAGACATATTTAGGGGACCGTTACACATAATAATTAACGTATTAACAACCATACAGACAAAATAATACAATCTAAAAATTTGACCACAAACTAACAATGGACATAAATGGGTTTATCTAAATAAACTAATCAAATTTTTGTATTTTTAAAAACAATTTTGGCTTTTGTAAAAACAGACATGACCCATATCGGCAGAACATCAACATTTACATCACATAATTGCTTTTTGGCACTGCTCTTTATTTCATCCATTCCCCACATGCTTCACCACTTATAAAAAAGTTTTTTAAATTATTGTTTAAAATTTTATGGGAATTATTTTGACACAGTTCACATCATTAAGTAAGGATACCTGTGCTATTTCAGTAGTAATACTTTTGGTCTCTATTTAAAATAAATATACATTTCATTATTATTGTAATATATTATTGGATCGTTCACTCTGCTCTTTGTTCATCACATACAGCTTATACCCCAATTGTTGCGTAGCATATTTTAGATATGGATATGTGCTTTTGTTATACCTACATTGAGTGAGAGGAGCTCTGCATGTTTGTAGTATTTCTACATGTATAAACTATTTAAAATCTACCAAAATAAAATAATTCTCAAAAGATAATTAAATTTATTTACCAATGGCGAATTTAATTTTTTGCTAGATTAATGAAAAACATGGCTACTGTAGTAAAACTTCTCATCTTTGCACTAACTAGTTATTTTTCTTCACAGCCCTGTTCACCTTCATCCATACACTTCTTAAAGGTGGAATCTGTAACTTTATCTGGAGGATGATGCACTTTCTGCTTGTCTCTATGGAGATGATATTGCTTCATCTAGAATATTCTACAGTAGGGCATTAAACACATCAGTCTCTATGGAGACAAGTAGATCATGCCATATAGAATTAGTGCTAGCCATGTAACGTACTCCACATAATTAATGAAAGATAAAGACATTTAATTCCTTACTGTGGAACATTCCAGCCAAGCAATCTCCAGGGATCCTCCAACAAAAAAGTTAAATAATGCACCTTTAAACTTTGGGAAAAGATGCCCAGGATGGCCTCCCTGATACAATTCTTCCGTTTATCTGGTCGTATGGCATAAGAGCACAGTGGCTCGGCTAATGTATTTAAAATAATGACAGATATTATTAATAACTGTTACATAATAAAAACACTCTATAAAAAGTACTTTCTTTAATAAGTGTGTTGTTGTTAGAAGTGTTACCAAATGTCCATATAACTTTAAAATGGAGACTTCAACACAAAAACACAAACTCCATTCTTCCTAAAGTATCTTCACAGGGTATGCATCTCTCTGAATGTCACAGAGAAGTGTCGGCGGTCTTGTTCTTGGGACCGCTCACAGAGTTGGCCACAGTGGCGGTGTCAGGCTGAGCGTCTCTACAGAAAAACACAGCAGGGTTCTTACACGCCCACATCGCCACCTCTCCTCCACCTCCTCCTCCTCCCTTCCCTGGACTAGAATTGGACAAACGACTATTGTTGTTCACTCCAACTCTGCTAACATATCTGTCTCTTATTCTCTCTGCTTGATTTAACCTGATCTCTCTGTTCTGGTTGTGGCTTGATAAATACGCCGCTATATTTCTGGTCCGATATCCCTCCTCTCTGCTTCTTCCAAGTAACATTGAAATATTTGGATTTCTCAAAGCGTAAATTAGTGGGTTTATAGCTCCGTTTGCCCACGCTAGCCAAATCGCGACTGTGTCCATTGCTGGGTTGAAAGTATAATTCCCCATCGCGGTGACAAGTCCCATCAAACAATATGGCCCCCAACAGAAAATTATAAAAACGATCATGATCAAAACTGTAGTAGCTGTTCGCATCTCACTGTAAAAACGCAACAAGTATGCATAAGTAGTAACAGGTCGAACGCGAATTTCAGAAAGTCGGACTGTCTTGCAAATGTTATAATGGCAAAAACACATAAGAGAAAAAGGTAGTAGATAGCAGATTACTATAAGACTGATGCTGTAGGCTGTCCCCATTCGCGAAGTCCCAGAGTGGAAAACATACATACAATGGTAGAAACCTCTTTTGTGGATTTCAGTTGGAGTTCGAACAAGCAAATACCAAGGTAGAGAAAATATTACCGCAGTTAACCAAACCGCTATGAGGAGCTGAGTTGCTTTTTGTCTTCCGATTTTAGCTTGAGGCTGCCTCACGATGGCGTAGTATCTATCAAAAGATATTAAAGTCATTGTAAGAGTAGAAATGATACCAAAACACGTGTTGAAAAACCCATTGGCGACGCAAAATCGGTCCCCAAACATCCAAATGCCATCTTTACTGAAAAGCATAACGAAGGAAAAGGGTAGGCATAGTACAGCGGTGAGGAAATCCGATAAAGAAAGTGACATTATGAACGCGTTGGTTACTGTGCGGAGTTGCCTGTGTTTGATGATGACGATGACCACGGCGGAGTTTCCCAGACTGGACAGGAGGAAGATGGAGAGAAGGATGAGGGCCTGCGCTGCTACGGCGATTCCCCGGAGGATGGAGTTGGTTTCGGCGGCGCTCAGGGGGGTGAAGGGTGTGGGAGGGAGGCGGGCATGGTTCAGGTCGCTCAGGTCAGACTGGTTGCCCCGGGTCACTGCTGTGCCCTCTGTGGTGGCTGTGACCAGGCTGGTAACTATGGAGACCACCCTGAACACAAGAAAGTAAAAAAAATAAATGCTGTGTAAAAAAGAGTGTTTTGAACTGTCAAAATGGAAACGCTTGACTTGGTTTATTGTTTATAATCTCTTTCTCTTTCTCTTTCTGATCATCAAAAACATACCTTGAGTTGCGCGCATGTTTAACACACAAACCCTGCATATTTAGGCTGGGTTTGTTTCTCAAACAGAAAACACTCTGTTCCACCTTGTGATGTCATGTGGTAAAACAAGACGTACTCTACTGTATTTTTATACTACACACCTTCGCTAGAATCAGTTGTATCCTTTTAGCCCTGAAATTGCCAATCTCTACTCAACTACAGGTAAAAGGTAGCAGTTAACCTGAAAACTAAGACTACATGGCATTACAAGGTGGAACAGAGCATTTTGAGCTTTGGAGATGTAGACAGCATAATAATAAAGGATTATTCAAACGTGTGAATGAAACAAATCACAACTTTAGGTATGTTTTTGAGGAGTTAACAGAATTACTAGTATACTGTAATATGACTAAAAGCTCGCAAGAGTCAAACTCCGTTATAAAGGACCTTTAAACCGGCACAAAATGGAACAATTTCTCAGCCAGCATAATACAAAATCATTAAGTCCCATTGGTTGGTTACACAATAATCATTTGTGTTTGTGAGAAATTACCTCACTTCATAATATCATTTGCAAAGGACCATTGTATTCTTATACGCCTTCAAATCATAAATTATTACTAAAGATATGACCCGGACTTTTCTTTCAACAACTCTTGTTTTCCAGCAATTTCCCAATGTCATTGTGAAACAACATGAGAGCTCTAGAGATGTAACTGTGTAATGTGATTATTGGCAAAGTTTCTTCTCAAAAGAGATTGATGAGGACTAAAATGGATTATCCAAACAAACTATCCAGAAGGTTTTGTTTTTTATCAGTAAAAAGAAAAATTGTAATTTAATTATTCCCCAAAGTAAGGACCTTAAGCTGCAAATTAATTATATGGTTCAAAATGTATATATATTTTTAAATTTAGTTCAGAAACAGTTAATCTTCCACAGAGTTAAGCCCCTGCCCTCCATCACCTGTTGGTGGCATCTGGTACCAGTATAGTATATAGTAAGTATATGAGTACCAGATTTTTTTCTTATGTCTTTGAGCAAAATTAGTCTTGCCCCAGTACAGTTATATTTTATATACTATGGTCAAAATAACTCCACTGTGGACTGTCAGCATCTACTTCTAAACCGCTTTATTTCCTGTTAGCATGCTAGTTACTGGTAGCCTTACCGTAATGACAAAACTCTGCTCTGATCTCTGGGAGTTATGAAACGCTCTCATAATCTCATCACAGTGAATAATTAGAATAACTTTGGACCACTGCAAACTGTTTGAAATTAACAACACTGTTTTTTCATGGTTTTTAAGCAAGTATGTCAGGTAAAGCCCTTTTAAATCCATGTCACCTGGGTAGGAGAGGTGAGAGGGTGCTGGGGTGGTGGTGAGTGCCATTGGCCTGCAGGGCTGTAGTAACAGACTGGTCCATCACGACAGCTCAGAGACCACACAGTCAAACTCATCCCGGATTCACGCGCGTTCATTAAGACCTGAGTCAAGCACAAACACGAGCGTCCTACATCCAGACACAACTGCACACAACTCCCCTTCATCCACGTCTTTTTCAGAATCCTGGAAAATAAGAGAAAAATACAGAAAAATTAGGTTTAAAGACGCACCATGTAACTTTTCTTGTTTTGGTTCTCTACCTGTTATTTGTTTATTTATTTTTAAATTTATATAGCGCATGGCAGCTGCGCTTATAAAGCACAGCTGCCATGCCAAAAGGCACCATCGGTCCCTCAGACCACCACCATCACTCACGCACGCACACACCACTTTCATACTAGGCAATGTGGGTGAAATGCCTTGCTTAAGGACACAAAAACATTTTTTTTTGTGACTGGCAGCCCACTGTGGCACCTGATTTTCCCAGTGGTCTCCCATCCAAGTACTTATCCAGTCCGACCCTGCTTAGCTTCTGAGATCTCACGGGGTCAGGATTTGAAAAGCCGGTATGGCCACTACTACTATCTTGCTTTTATTCATGCTCAAATATATTAGAGATTAGGGTAGTCAAGTATTGAAAATCAGAAGATACTAAAACTAGTACCGAAACTCATTTGAGCAGGTATTAATACTAAAAAAGTCACATTCACAGGACAGAAATGAACCTTTCTTGAATAGATCTTGAGTTGTATTAGAACAAGTATAAGTAATTTCTGACCTATAACTTTGGCCTTAGGGAGTCACCTGATTGTCGTCACAGATAGATAAGATAGATAAGTTTAATGCTATACTGTGGAACAGTTAAGCCGAAGCAATAACATCTCCATGGAGACGAGCTGGTGGCACCCTAAAACTATTCAGGAAAGGTCCAGTTTTGTCCTGTAAATGTATGTTTTCTGTATCAATACTTCAAATGAATCTAATTTAGATATTAGTTTTAGTAGCAATTAGTATAGGGATATTAATTTTTCACAGCCCCAATTGTTATAAACTTTGCCACAAAAGATATGAAAAATACAAATTATAATGACTTCAAAATGTGCTTATTTGTGATATTGACACAAAAGGGATCAATAGCCTAGCCCAATTATATAGGCTTGTCTCCTTTAAGTGGGGTTTTGTATGGGGGTTTGTATAAATGAGTCAATATATAAAACAAAGGCACACAATTTCCTGAAGACCTGTTGGTGGTCATTGAGAGGTCACTGGTCATGACATATTGATGTCTGTGAGTGAACCAGTCATAAAACATTCACTCGTATAGATTCCTTAAACCAGCCATGTAAGCCGATTTCAAGCTATAGGAAGATTTTAGCAAAGCTTGACCACCTGTTGTCCGGCCATATAACATAATTAAAGTATATAACAAAGACTAGAATAGACACTAAGACTGTCATGATAATTACTGTATAGACTTATCGTTCAACATATGTGAAAGCTGGAACACTACATTTTGGGGCTCAATATTTTGCATGTGTGCATTTTCTTTGCAATAATGGGAAGATTTTTATGTAATAAGGTAAGATTTGAGCAGTAGAGAGTAGAATAAATAACTTAAAACTAATTATCGGTTCATTATACTATTGATTAGTTGCCGCTCAGGCTTTTTAATGATACTGTCTATTAAAAATTGTTTATGGAGATTATCCTGCTTTGTGTTAGAAGCTTAAAGTAGTGTCAATATTATTGTTTATCGTAACACTTATCTGGCCTAAGAGAAAACATGTTAAGTAAATTATGATAAACTTAACTAATATGATTAATTTATGTGTGTAGTATTGTCATAAACAAGACATAACTATATTTAATCTGTAATCAGTTACTTTTTGATCAGTAGGCGATAAGCAAATATGATAAAATGTATACTCATCAATTGCATCAAAGGTAAGTTTTCAGTTGGGGGTCCATTATCTTCTTGTTTTTATGGAAATGCCATTGCTCTGCTTTGTATGTTCCACAATATGACATTAAACAGATCTACCTTGTAATCAATGTATTCAATTACAGGTGGTGTATTGCTCAAAAATACCTAGAAAAACATGCATTCTGATTAGGAGTGGGGTTGCCTTACCACACATCTGACCTGTAATTTGGCCTGGTTTGGGCTCCATAATGATATAAATGTTTAATGCCATATTATGAAACATTTCAGACAAAGCAATAACATCTCCATTTAGAAAAGCAGGTGGCGGACCCTCCACTAGAAAAATCATACAGTGCAGCTTTAAATTAAATGTTTCAAATATGGATTGCTTGAGCCACCATAGACTGAATATAAAACCATACAAAACACTATGCATTTACATAAAAATATACCTCCCCCTCAGTTAATAATACATAAATAATAATAAAACAGGTAATGATAAAATAATGGCTACTTTTGGGCAATTTTGCACGAATTTCTATCTTAATTATTTATTAATAAGGCTGTAAGATTGTAGTTTTGACCCATTTTTCTGGATTATCTAACAAGTGTAGCATTCATGTTGGTCTTTAGATATTTGTGCATGCTTTTTACCTACCACTTTGATAGATTTGAACCAGGCCCAGTCAACACTGAGAGAACAACACCAGCTGTGACTGTTATGCTAGCATTTTGTTTCAATCGGTTCAATTTTGTCTTGATTTTAGCTGTGTTATCCACATCTGTTTTTTTGATGTACATACAGCTAGTACTTTCGCATGTACTGTAGTCAAAAACCTGCATGGAAAATCTGCATGGCCTTTTCTTTTAATCCATCGTGAGAAAACAAGAAATAACTCTTCTTTACCATTAGCGCTGCTCAGTGACGCAAAAGGAGGAAAACAGCGGCGGATCGTGGACGTGGTGGACAGCCGATCGAGAGGGGATGTTTGCAGTAAAAAACATCTCGTCTTTGCCCCGTGGTTATTTCTCCATTCACGTGTTTTGCGCAAAGTCCCAGGTGTGAACAAGAATGTGCCCAAATCGTCCTGTTTTGAGGCTCCTCTGTCTGATGCCGGGGGCGGGACGTGCCTCTGTGAAAGGAGCACGCCTCCCGTTTCATGGCGCTGACGTTTGAGGCTGTTGCTATGGTAACTCGTGATGGAGACTAGAGAAATATTATGAAAAGTAGCCTATTTAATTAGTATTATTGCTCTTATTTTATTATTATTTATAACACTGTAATTTGTATATCTTAATCTGTGTTATGAAACACCAGAAATAAGTTTATAGCCAAATTAACAAAATTAATTACTTTTTTCAAACAATTAATTCATGACTAGAGTCAGGCTGTCACTCAGGATGGAACTTGAAGTTAGGTCTTGCGCCCTCTGCTGGCAACAGTGAAAGTTTGTAGGTAAAAATATTAGCTGTTGTGCTTTTCTCTTTTCTAGCCAAATGCAGAATAGCCATGTTATTTCAAAGTGTTACAGTCGTTTAATAAACAGATACAAAGACAATAAGTTGTAAACAGCCTATAGTCAAGCTCAAATTTATTTTTAAAAGAAATATATCCTGCAATGCTGAAGCAACTGTCATGAGATGACTATATAGTTCTCATGACAGTTGCTTCAGATTTTGCACAGTATCCAGTACCCTTACAATCCATTTCTCACAATAAAATAAGGCTGTAGTCTGTTTAAAATTTTTGAACTAAAAACATGCACCACAAAGCAAACAAGTGACAAAAAGGCAAGGCCCTCACATAAGATTGCATGTTCAATAACAAAAGCTACTAGTACTAAAAATGTTATTTATCAGTAAAAAAGCATAATAAACAAACTCCAACTAATAGTCCAATGAGATTCATTTGATCTTCCGATATTCTATGTTATTAGGTTCTTTTTTTCAGACCCAGAGTGTCCAATTAACTAATTTTGTGTGGAGTGAGATATGTACCTTCTCTGTTGTGCTGTGGTCCATATAAATCTCCACAAAATAATTTGTCGACTAATCAAATACCTACAGTCACAGACATAAATAGGAGCCTGCACCAAAGCTGAGGCAACCATAAAACACACACACCTATACAACCAATAGCCTGAATATAGAGCATTGTTCCAACGCCATGTGTTAAGTACATATTCACATATTTAAAATTTAGGAAAACTACTTGATTAGAAGCATTTCTGGTGGATGACTCTGGGACCACACTCATCATACTCCTGCTTGCTCATGCACATTTTCTGGAAGGTGGACAGAGAGGCCAGGACGGAGCCTCCGAGCCATGCAGCGTACCCTCTCTCTGGGGGAGCCACAATGTGTGAAAGGGAAGGTACAACTATTTTAGAACGAGAATAAAAACCTAATCAAAGAAGTTATAGTAAAGGAGAAGTGTTTCCTGTGCTTTGTGTTATGCACCAGATGTGTCAGCATATTAATGTATAGAGCCCACAGGCTGAAATGTATAGATGGCATGAATATGTCTGCTGATGAAATTGCATTTTGTTATAGAATACTGAATACCTGCATTAAAATACAATAACATATTCCATGGCCCAATCAGAGAATTCTGTTCCAAATACTTAGAATATTTTATTAAAGCATTACCAATGCAACATACAATTAAAACAACTTAATCACATGATCATGTATCTTCAGGAATTACACCTGTTCTAGAACTTCATTCTGCATACCAGCAAATTCTGCCAGAATAAATAGTAAATAAAGATTAGTATTGTAAAGACATACTTTCAGTAGGCATTTAGATCCCAGCACTACAGTAAATGTCTACAAAGGAGTGCAGTGTCTGTTTAATTATATTCTTTAAATCTGAAACAACACAGCAGTATCAAGAGAATAATAATGATCTGGGAGGTCTTAAATACATTTTTTTCCCCAGATGTAAGGGTACTGATTTTAGTAATCATACGGGCAGCAAAGCCAGAGCACAGGGTGGTACCTCCAGACAACACTATGTTGGCCCACATGTCTTTTTGGATGTCCTTGTGGACTTTCATGACAGAGCTGAAAGTGATTTCAGGGATGCTACTGGACTCAACACCTAAAAAGACAGAATTGAGTCATTAGATTGTAACAAGTCTTTGCCTTGTTGGGGGTATTTACTATTAAACTGTAACACATGACATATAGATCCCCACTTCAGATTTTGTTCATTGTGAACGATTGTTTACGTATGTAAACACGGTTCTATGAATGAAAGTGAACCTGTAACCACGTGACTACAACCCTCGGGTCAGGAGCATTATGCCAAATTAAACACACCTGTGGGTGCGCGCTACACCTATATGAATGACGCACGTGCACACACTCACCCTCTTTCTGACAACTGGGCGTAACCAGCCAGCCAATCACCGACATGTGACCAGGACGGTTACAGGTTCACTTTTCATAGAATCGTGTTTACATACGTAAACAATCGTTCTATTTCATTTCAGTGAACCTGTAACCACGTGACAACAGTATGCCAAATCAGTCACAGGGAAGGTGAGGTGGAACCCACAAGGACACACCATCTGATAAATAAGTAAGCACATCAACCACAAGTGCAAGTGCATGAGCAGCTTTATTGCAAACAGAGCAATCTCATAATAACAAACACAAAGTGTCACCCATCCACCACAGCCCCTAAAACAGCAGAGGGGATGGTGGAAGCAGGCAAATTCAGCCTGTAAAACTTGGCAAAGGTAGAGGAGGATGCCCAACCAGCAGCACTACACACCTCCTCCAAAGGTGCACCTCTGAACAGTGCCCAAGATGCAGCCATTCCCCGTGTAGAACGAGCAACCACTCCATGCGGGGGAGGCTTCCCTGCGTGATTATAAGCCATCGCAATGAGATCAACTATCCAGTGGGCCAGCCGCTGTTTTGTAACAGGCCTGCCCAACGCGGATGTGCCATAGCTCACAAAAAGGTTATACACTGAGCGAAGCAAGCTGGTACGAGCCACATAAACCTTTAGGGCCCTTACGGGGCAAAGTGCATGCAGCCTCTCAGCATCCTCAGAAGAGTGTGGTGGAGGATAGAAGGACTCCAAGACCAAAGGCTTAGCCACATAATTCCTAGGCAACACCTTGGGTAGGAAGGTGGGGTTCGGCAGGAGATGTACCACCTCATTCTCGTCCCCAAAACGCAGGCACCCTGTCCCAACGGAAAGAGCAGCAAGCTCCCCCACTCTCTTAGCCGATATGGCAAGCGTTTTCAAACTCAGGACCCGCAGGTCCAGGTCAGACAAAGGCTCAAAAGGAGGCAGGCAAAGTGCCCCGAGGACTACCTGCAGATCCCAAGATGGGAGCAAACGACGTCTGGAAGGGCAACGCCTCCCAACACCCTTCAAAAACTGTGTTGCAAGGGGATGCGACCCAGGGGTGAGCCCATCACACCGCTCATGAGCCGTAGAAATGGCAGCAAGATATCCACGTAAAGTGGATTCCGAGCGCCCCTGATCCAAAAGGTGCTGAAGGAAGGACAACACCACAGTCATGTCACAGGACACAGGGTCTACACCAGTCCTGTGGCACCACCCAGCAAACACGCTCCACCTACACCCGTAGAGGCGTTGGGTGGACTGTGCCCGTGCGGCCTGTAAGGTGTCAACAACAGCCCTGCTCAGCCCAAGAGCATGCCAGCGCTGCCGTTCAAGGGCCATACATGAAGCTTCAGGACTTCGGGCCAAGGGTGCCAGATCTTGCCCCGTCCCAGGGACAGCAAGTCCTTTCTGGTTGGGAGGCGCCACGGTTCCCCGTCCAGCATCTCGTACACCTCGGACATCCAGGGTCTCTGCGGCCAGTTCGGTGCCACTAAGAGAACTCGTGCCTGGAACAACCTCACCCTGCCAAGCAGAGCTGGAAGGAGAGGCAGTGGAGGAAAAGCATAAAGCACCCCTGGAGGCCAGTTCTGGCTCAGGGCATCTACCCCCAGGGGTCCTGGTAGGCCATTCATCGAAAACCACAGGGGACAATGAGTGTTGTCCTCTGTCGCAAATAGATCCACTGAGGCCTGACCGAAGTGGCACCATATCTGATCCACCACCTGGGGGTGTAAGCGCCACTCGCCGGGATGAGGAGCGCCTCTGGACAGCAGATCTGCTGCAACATTGAGGAGGCCGGGAAGGTAGAAGGCTCTCAGAGACATGTCCTCTGACTGGGCCCACAGAAGGAGCTGGCATGCTCTGGCATGCAAAGACAGAGACTTCAGACCGCCCTGCTGATTGATGTAAGACACCACTGCAGTGTTGTCCGTTCGTACCATCACCTGCTTGCCCCTCACCACTGGGAGGAAGTGCTGCAGTGCCAAACGAACAGCCTCCATCTCGAGGAGATTGATGTGCCAACTCTGTCGTACAGAGTCCCAAGTCCCTCGGCAGTCCTGCCTTCGCACACAGCTCCCCAACCCATCTGGGATGCATCTGCAGTTATAGTGACCCAGGCTGCCCCAAAGCCTAGGGGGAACCCCGTCTGCGACAGCTCTGGAACCCATCCACCATGTGAGGGTCTTGAGGCACGTGCGGGACAGGGTTACCTTCCTCAACCTGTCCCTGGGCATGGAGAGCCTTTGGCACACAAACCACCTCTGAAGTGGTCGTGTGTGCAGTAGACCCAGAGGCACTGCCTGGGAACCTGCTGTCAAAAGACCTAGCAGCCTCTGGCATTGCAGAGCAGTCACAGTGCACCGAGCAAGGCAACTTGCTATGCACTCCCTGATGGCCGTCACCCGCTTTGGTGTCAGGCAGGCAGTCATTGTGATTGAGTTCAGGACCAGCCCCAAATATTCCATCGAAGTGCTCGGGACAAGGCGGCTCTTCTCTGCATTGAGGTGAAGACCTAAGGAAGTTAGACGGTCGAGAACGACTGTAGTGTGCTCGCGAGCCATGCTTGGGGACGGAGTGCATACCAGCCAATCGTCCAAATAGTTCAGCACTCTGATACCCCTCCTCCGGAGTGGGGAGAGTGCGGCATCGATGCACTTTGTTAAAGTTCGAGGAGACAGTGACAGGCCAAACGGGAGCACATTGTACTCGTAAGCTACACCTCGGAATGCAAACCGCAGGTAGCGACGATGACCCGGATGAATGGGCACATGAAAATAGGCATCGCGTAGGTCCACAGTTGTGAACCAGTCGCCTTCTCGAATGGCCTGAAATAATGCCGTCAGTTTGAGCATTCTGAACGGAAGAACCTTGAGGTACTTGTTTAACCTTCTCAGGTCGAGAATGGGGCGGAAACCACCTGTGCGCTTTGGGACAAGGAAATACGGGGAGTAAATGGTAAATGGTCAAATTTTTTCTATAGCGCTTTTCCACCTTCAAGGCACTCAAAGCGCTTTACAACAAGGAACCACTCACCCATTCACACACACATTCACACACCAGTGTACGCAGACACTGTGGGCAAGGTGGGTTAAGTGTCTTGCCCAAGGACACAACAGCAGCATTCATCTGTGGGAGCTGGAATCACACCAGCCAACCTGTGGGTCAGTGGATCTAACCGCTCAACCTGTGATGTTTATGTCGAGAGCTGGATTCAAACCGCCAACCTTTAGATCAGTGGGCGAATGCTCTACCAACTGAGCTACTGCCATAGAACCCCTGATTTTCCTCCTGTGGATCCAGTAGACGTATAGCCTTTTTGGAGAGTAAGGCAGAGATCTCGCTGGCAAGCACTCCTGAAAGAGACTTGTCTCCCACCTTTGTCCATAAAATGCCCCGAAAGCGTGGAGCGTGGAGGCGGAATTGCAGACGGTAGCCGCACTCCAGGGTCTTTAGCACCCATGGGCATGAAGTGCACTGGCGCCAAGCACTGAGATGGGTGCTCAAGCACTTGACGCCAGCCGAAGTGTATAGTCAGGAGCGCTGGGCAGACTTGGGCGGACCCCGTGCACCGCGCTCCCGAGAATGAGTACAGACCCTGTCGGCCCATTCGGGGAACAAAGGCCTGTCTACCACCTCCAGAATCCTGTGAGGAACCCTGACCCACTGACTGAGGTCTTTGTGGGCCAATACGTCTCTCTGGGGCCATCCGAGGACGTGACCTCAAGAGCCCCTGAATGCGCATGGTTCGACTGCGCATTCGCACCTTTTGGGCTTCATCCAAGGCTGCCTCTGCAGCCGCACCAAACACATGACCAGGCGAAATGCTGGCTCCCAAAACAGCAGCATGTTCCGCCTCTGACAAGGCCGTCTGGCTCAACCAAATGTGGCGCCTGGCCATGGTGAGATGGGCCAAGGAGTTACCCAGGACCTTGGTGTAGCAGCCATGGTGTCCATGGTCTTACGCATAACCTCCAGTTGTTTCTGGAGATGATCCACCCTGGGGTCATAAACGTGGTCATGTGCCCGTTTACCACCAGACTTCCACGTCGCTTTACGGGGGGGAGGGGAGTCCACCTCCTGACCAGGTGGCAGCGTCTCCATAACAGTAACACAGTCCATGTGGTCACTATCCACCCCCGAAGCCATTTCGACACAAGAGATTCACACTAGGAGAATGAAGTCCCCTGTAGCACAAACAAATGAAAAAGAAGTTTATGTGCATGTATATTATATCATAATATTATAATATAGAAAAATACAAGCACTAAGGAGAGCAGACCTCAGCAGAAAGCTGCAATACCTCTCCAAGCCAGGAGGCGGCGAAGCGCGACCTCACGGCACTACAAACAGAGCTAAGTTAGCATAACAAATGCACAAGCCGGCTAGATAGCAAAGTTTGCAGCCGGCACACGGGAGCGATACACTCACCAAACTGCAACAAAATTGACACGGAACGCCAGGGGGGTACTACAACAAGGAGCAGCCCAAATCAGCGATGATCCGTGAACAAAACGGCGAAAATCTCAAGCCGCGCGGCATAAGCTCTCAACGACCAGGAGGATAGAAAGAGGGTGAGTGTGTGCACGCGCGTCATTCATATAGGTGTAGCGCACACCCACAGGTGTGTTTAATTTGGCATAATGCTCCAGAGTCACGTGGTTATAGGTTCACTGAAATGAAATAGAACTGCAATATTGATCTCAATGGATTAATAAAATGTGTTTATTGTTGAAAATGGCTGCGAGACATTTTTGAACTTGGTGTGTATATGAACCAGAGTCTTGTTTGAATTTTTTAGGAATGCTGCAATGCTGTTTTCAGTCTCTGCACTGGTATCGTCTGATATTGAGCATTAGCAGAGCTATAGTATCGAAAATCGGTATTGAAACTGAAAAAGCGGGATCAGTGCATCTCTGATAATAACATGCTAAAAGTTCATTAAAAAGTCAACTGTGGTCATGTGTCGTTGACTTACCAAGCAAAGAAGGTTGGAAGAGGGATCCTGGGCATCTGAACCTTTCTTCTCCGATCATGATGGACTGTCCATCAGGCAACTTGTAACTCTTAACCAGAGATGAGGAGTGATGAGCGGCGGTGAACAGTTCTTTCCCAAAGTCTGGGGCCACGTAGCACAGTTTCTCCTGCGGCAAGACCAGCTTTACACAGTCCAGATCCACTGTCAACAACAGTAGTTGTTGATAGTAGTGTTATAATTTAATAAGGTTTCTGAAGGTCAAATTTTATGGTTCCTATGTAGGTTTCACTGAGATGCTGTTGTTATTGTTCAGACCTACCGTTTTTATTGTCATTTGTGTTACATTTCTTTGGTCAACTATTTGGCCATGTTAGGCTAATTGTACTTTTCCTACAAATCAATATATAAATAAATAAAATGTTTCTGTTTCACCGCACATGTGGGATTTACAAATGCGAAATAGCGTCATTTTAATTTTAGTAGCTTTAAGTTGGAGCCTCCAACTGCAAATACAGTAGGCCTGCAGACTTTTATTTTTTTGCTTTTTGTGAACAAGCAAACAGCGTTGATGTTGGTCTCACTTTTTTTTTTAAATCTTTGATGCTATTAAGCTATAAGTACGACATAAAACATAAAAAACTATACGAAATCTGACGTGAATGTGACGACATAAATTGGTTCACTGTAGTGTCACTATAGATTACAAAGATCAGCTGTATTAATAATGCATAATATGGATAAAACAGACAAATTTGCCTGTTTTGTTATTTTTTGGTGATATGGAGTAAAAACCATTAGCTAATAAATATGGTAAAGTCGCTATGTTTTGTGGAATAAAACCAAAATAGTGTATTTGTGCTCGTTTTCTAGACTCTGACAGGAGGCGGCGGTGTAATGTTTTTGTGTCCGTTACCGCGCGTTAAAGGTCACGAGAAGAAGACCGGGTACACCCAAATGAAATGAAAACATTACATTTCTGACTCGGGAAACCTGGATTTCCACCTTTATCTGGCTCAAAATGTGTAAGACAACTTTGAAATGTATCTATTTTGACTGTTTCAAGTTGTAGATTTGTCATTTGTTTTGTTTTGTGCTGGATTGGTGTCTCGATGCTAACATTACTGCTAGCTGTTAGCCGAGCTGTTTGAGAGCAGAGGTTTTAAAGGGCAGATATGGTTTATTAAGGGTAGATTAATGGTCCCTCGAGTTCTCCATGTCCAAATTTCTTGTCCTGTAACGACGATTATTTGTTTTTGCATGGCTACTTGTTGTACCAGCTAGCATGTGTCTTACTACTAATGAATGGTGGTAAATTTCAGTTTTGTGATGCCTTTTAATAGTATATATGGTTTATATATTTTTGCATCATTTGGCAGGATTAATAAATAATTTTACATCATTAAAGTTAAAAATATTTGTGTTATCATGTTGAATGCTTTTGGTGCAAATGTGTAAGGGAAAATCGTGTGTTTTGACTGTTGCAGATTTGTTATTTTTAGTTCTCTCTCATTTGTAAACTTAAGTGATATTGAACTAAAGCTTTTTCACAGCTGTAGCCATGACCCTGACGTGCCCAGGCCTGTACTGTGGCAGGAGACTCATCAATGGATCAGTGGATGAAGAGTGTGGAGTAAGTATAATTGCTTAGACAGTTTCTCACTTAAACATCTAGGACGAGGTGAAGTTTTTCATTTGCTCTATACAGATTATTTACCTCTAAATATGTTTATGGTCTTTCAGGTTTGTCCTCGGGGTGAGCGGACTAATGAGCAAAAAGTGTGTGAGCGCTGCACAGAGTCTCCTGAGCTCTACGACTGGCTCTATTTGGGCTTCATGGCCATGTTGCCTCTAGTCCTGCACTGGTTCTTCATTGAGTGGTATTCAGGAAAGAAAAGGTTAACACAATTGACAATGTTATTTATCAATGTCATGTGACCTCCAAATTACATCAGATCAGATCAAAAAAATAAATACAAAATCAGAAAAATTGTTAGATTAATTGTTTTTGCCCCACAATAATTATTTCCTCAACACACAGACTCAGAAACATCTTATTTAAGTGTAGAAAAGCTACAGTGTCCCTATAGTTAAACTGTTAAATGTTTTTACTACTGCTCACCTGATTTACTTGCTTTAACTATGAGGTACAAATTAAATATTTTGTTTTATATTTGTTATTAGACTGTAGCAGCTCTTTCATATTCTAGATATGTCTTAAGCTTTTACAAAAGAAAATGTCATTACTCATCACTGATACTCTCTGCAAATTATGCTAAGATAAAAAAAAAGTAAGATAAGGCAATGGACTGCTTTGAGGCACTGTGAGCTAGCTAGCATGTTGCAGTGCACAGAGCCTATAACACTGAAATAATTTCCAAAAAAAATCCACATAACTACATAACATAACACAATGTTTCCTAAATCACCAGATAGTTTTATCAGAAATGTCCTGGTAAGTTTAAGGCAGTGTGTGACTTTGTTTTCATTTTCTCTTACATTTTATTCTGCTTTAGTTCCAGTGCTCTGCTCCAGCACATCACGGCCATGTTGGAGTGCAGTGTGTCAGCGGTGGTCACTCTCCTGGTCACTGAGCCTGTGGGGAAGCTCAGTATTCGCTCGTGCAGGGTCCAGATGCTTTCAGACTGGTACACAATGCTCTACAACCCCAGCCCAGACTATGTCAATACTCTACACTGCACCCAGGAGGCCGTCTACCCACTGTAAGTACAACATGGCAGTGTGAGTGGATAGTCCTGTTCTTTTTTACTTAATTAATCAAAAATGAGAATTATCTTGTTTTATTTTCTTAAGTATCACCATGGAATTTTTTATATTAGATGTGGAAATACTGAATTCTCCAAATTGCTTTTTTTCATTATGGCTTATAACTTATGGAATATAACTTCTAGTGGAGGGTACAGTTAGGCCTGTCATAGTGACAACACATTCTGAAGTATGTTATACAGACGTACACTACAGAGATATACCACGATACATGATAATATTGAAACAAGTGTAACTGACACAAAGCAGGATAATCCCAGTAAACCAAATGTAAAATATACTGTTAAAAGGTGCGAGCCACAGCAAATAAACAGCAGAATGAACCAATAATTAGCTTTAACAGTTAGCTATTCAACCCTCTACAGCTCAACTTACATAAAAAAGGCAATAATTTGGCAAATTGCAAAGAAATTATAGCCATGACAAATATTGAGCCTGGCTACCTGGCTTTCACACTGAGCACATTTTTAAACTTTTTGTATTTTGAGTTCAGTTTTTAACACCCTGTCATGTAATTTTAATCAACTAAGAAGTGCAGCATGTGCAGTTCATAAGACACAAGTAAGGGACTGTTGGATTTTGTGAAATGAGCTGTTTGTTTTTCCTGTACCCATGGAGACCATGCAAGAGGCTAGCTAGGGAGCTAGCTATGGACATTTGAGTTCCTACAGATATTTTACACCATATGTGGCACTAAATGTGGTAGAAGACCTTCAGAGGAAAAACTTTGAGCGAATCCACACAAGGGACTTTTGGATTGTGTGAAATTTACTTTTTTTTTTTTTTTTCTCATATCCATGGAGACTGTGCAAGAGGCTAGCTAAGCAGCTAGCTATGGACATTTGAGTTGATTCAGGATTTTTATACCATATATAATAACAAATGTGGCAGAATCACTTTGAGGGAATGGCCCATTTCATCATTAGTCCATATAATAATTGTCGTGACGGGCATAGGCACAGTACTTGTAAATATGTATGTGTGTTATATGTATATGAATTGCTTTGCATGCATGGGATGTTTCATGGTATGGTATCACACTTTTCAAGCCAAATTGCAGGTCAGACCTGTCAAGAGGTGAGCTCATTCTCAGCAGGAAAGCATGTTTTTCAATGTGGTCTTAGCAATAAAAACAGCTGTAATTTAATAACTGCCAGATTCAGAGCTCTAATCCCATACTGTGGAGCATTCCCACCATCCCCATGGGGACAAGCAGGTAGCAGACCTCTGAGAAAAAGTTACATAGTGTAACTTCAAAATCTTAAACCTTAAACTTAAAAGTCTACATGTATTTGGCTTTTGTTTTTAGTACTTGTAATTTTTATATTCTTCAATCCCTTTCTCTGTCCCTCAGATATACCATAGTGTTGATCTACTACGCCTTTTGTTTGGTGATGATGATGCTGCTGCGGCCTCTGCTGGTGAAGAAGATCGCCTGTGGTTTGGGAAAATCTGATCGGTTCAAAAGCATCTACGCAGCGCTGTACTTCTTCCCTATTCTCACAGTGCTCCAGGCCGTGGGAGGAGGACTGCTCTGTGAGTGTTGCACAAGAACACTAAACTTGAATTAAAATATAAAATAAGTATGTAACTTTATGAATATCTGTTTGCAGTTCTGTTTCTTTTCCATTACCTTGTGTTCCTTTTTTATAGTCTTTAATGAAAATGCAAGGCTTTTCACTTAATTTTACATTATGTTTGTTCAGTTACGTTATACTAAAACTAAATGGCGTAGAAATGTCACATACTTCTTTGTTTTTACTTACCCTTTCTGTTCTGCAGATTACGCATTTCCTTACATCATTCTGGTCCTTTCGCTGGTGACTCTGGCTGTTTACATGTCAGCCTCTGAGATTCAGGTATCTGCACTTTTGGTTTGTTTTGGTTTAAATATTAACACGATATTTAGCCCAAGGGACACATAATTTGTAGCCACCTTTTGTAAATTATTACAGTCAATGGATGTTTGAAATTTACATTGAAAGTACAATGTATAACTTTCTGAGTGGAGGGTCCGTCACCATGGAGATGCTGTTGCTTTGTCTGGAATTTTTCACAGTATGGTATTAAATTTATCTATTTCCATGGAGACAAGCTTCAAGCCAATTTACAGGTTTGATTTGTGGAAATATAGGCTGATTACAGTAAAATGCATATTTTTCAAACTGTTGTTTTATTGCAAAAAAACAAAAACAAAGCTACTATAGTAAAATAATAAGCAAGTTTCATGCTATACTGTAGGGCATTCTAGCAAAAGCAATCTCCATGAACACAGCCAGGTGCTGGACTCTTACCAGAAGTTATATAGTGTTCACTGAAGTCATATGTCAAGGTTAAATAATACTGTTGTGTCTTTAAAAAAAATACACAAACTTTACTTCTCCTTTAGTTTCGTAGCTGATTTTGATCTTTGTCTTACCTTTTAAAATATGTTGTAAAGATAAGTAACCATTTTATACAACTTGGGGCATGACTCATATTTAGAGAGGTCGTAAATATGTCAGCAATAGAGTAAAGAAATTCTAGTTTGAGAAGTTACATAATTTATTATCTTGGAGTCTGATATCTATGGGAAAAAACACTGATGGTAAAATTGAACCACTGCCAATGTCAGTTAACCGTTCTACAAAAATATCCTATCTTCTGAATGGTCAGAGTCCTCAAAATGAGATATAACTGGGAACTAAAACCCATGAATACTCACTACTGTCCTTGGGTTTTAGAATTATTTAGAAAAACGGGACTGTTACCATAGCAATTAACAATTCACAACAAAATATATCTTCTGAAGTATCAAAAGCTCTCAAAATGGTGTTCATAATTTTCAACTAAAACCCATGAATACTCACGTTGCGTGTTTCAGAATGATGTAAAGTTAGAACTGTTGTCATTAGCAATTAACAATTTAAAACAAAAATGGCATCAGTCACTCGAAACTGACACTGATTTCTTACTGTATACCATATCCCAAACTTTTCTCTTCTTCATTTTCAGTCTTTCAAGAGTCTGGGAGCCAAGAAGAAGCGCCTGGTTGTGCTATTTAGCCACTGGCTGCTCCATGCGTATGGGATCATCTCCATCTCTCGTCTGGACAAACTGGAGCAGGACCTGCCACTGCTGGTTCTGGTCCCGGGACCAGCCTTGTTTTACATCGCCACGGCAAAATTCACTGAGCCCAGCCGCATCCTGTCTGAAGGAGGCAATGGACACTAAAAAGACCACCCATTCACCTTCATGAAGCGCTGCTATTAAAGGTGTATTATGGAACTTTTCTTGTGGAAGGTACAGCCCCTGTTCTGCATAGAGATGTGATTGCTTTGCCTAGAGTAACCCGCAGAATGGCATTAACTTAATTTTCTAAAGACAACCCATTAGTGCAACAGGCCAAGTCAAATCTATGGGGAGGCGAGCCTACTCACTGAAACAATGCATTTTTAAAAAAAGATATTTTTACTTTTTTAAGTACTAAAGACAACCAAATGAATAAATGCAAGATGTTTAAGTTTAATGCCATACTGCAGAACATTTCAGTTAAAGGAATACCATCTCCACGGAGACAAAAGTGCATACACCCACCAAAAAGGTTATATTGTGCACCTTTAAATATGATGTGTCAAATTAAATACTATTGATTGTATTGTGTTTTAATTACGGTTTTGAGCAGTGTGTTGACTATTTTTACTATTAAAAACCTGTACTCATTAAAGTGCATGCCATTGCCAAAGGCTCTAAGTTGCACAACAAAGAAGGCAGTTCTAATAATAAACTGGGTCCCTGTATCCTGCCCCCTTTACTCCCACCAAACTGAAAGTAAAAACATGCTCACTTCCTTGATGTAAATTTACTGTTCTGAAATGTAAGAAGTGTTTTACAGCTGGCTGTATTTACTTAACTGTTAAAACAATGACATTATGAATTCCTTTTGTAACATGTCCCTTTTATAAGTGCATTATATGTGAGTTGAGACGCTAAAATGTTTTTCTTTTTGTTGTTGAGATAAAAGGTTATTTTTTTTGTAAATATATACTGTACAAAATGATATTTCTTTTTATTTATTGTTTAAGGTGCATTTTTTCTGGTAGAGGATGCGGCACATGCTTGTCTTCACTGAGATGTTCTTGATTTGCCTTGAATGTTCCATCTCCATAGAGACTAGCCAAATTACCAGGCTGTGTGGAAGTGACCCTGCTCACTATAAGAATACATGCTTATCAAGGTTAATAAAAACATGTAAAAAAATGTGTAACATCTCCATGGAGATGAGCAGAAAGCAGACCCTCCACTAGAAAAGTTACACAATGCACCTTTAAACATCTTGTGGAGTGTGCAAACTGTAAATGTGTCCAGTGATGCGAGTTTCTCATCTTCGTGTAAATAAAGTGTAAAGTGCTTCTCTGCTTTTAGCTGTACAAAAGGTCTTAAAGGGGAAGTCCTTCCTATGCATAAAATAAAATCCATAGTTTCACCTTTTAACCTGTTAAAATTAGCTCCTATTATTTGCCAAACAAACACAGTTATCTGTTATGAGGGGAAACTCAGTGACGCAAATGTTTTATCTTTTGTTTTAGATAAGATGATAAAATTTTGAATATATGCATGACTCAATTGTAAATATTATAAATAAAAGTATAAAACTGTATTATGTATCATTATCATAGGTGTGTGTGAAATTTTAGCTTATTCACAAAACTGCACAGCTTCTTGTTTGATATATTATATTCAAAGTAAAATCAGCCAGCCAAAATTAGAATTTTAAGGCTTACTTTTAATTAATGACATATCTTTAACATTTGTCAGAGGAAATTCCTTGAATACAATCAAGTTTCTGTTCTGCAGCATAAAAACACTGGTTATACCAAGATGGCCACTGCCTGCATCAATTCTTCAGTAGTAACACATTCAAGCAAAACATACAGCTACATAAAGAGGATAAAAACAAAGAGCTATTTCCAGGTTCAACGTTAACTTAAAGGTCGTATATTATGCAAAACTGACTCTTGTGAGCTTTTAGCCATGTTAAAATGATGTCACCTCATCAAAAACGTAACTGGAGTTGTGTTTTGTTTTGCTCACGTTTTGAGTAATCCTTTATTGTTAATCTGTCTACATCTCCAAAGCCAAGTTAACCTTTTAGCTACCTTTTACCTTTTGTTCAGTAAAGATTGGCAATTCTAGGGCTGAAATTATCCAAACGATCTAGTGAAGGTTATGAAGTTATGAAAGCAACACCCATATCTCTGTAGTGAAAAGGAAGTCATGCATAAAGCGGAGGAAGAGTTAAACTACTTTTACTGCGCACCTGCAAGATTTCCTGCCTATTCATATCAACAGTGTTTTTAGTATGCTTAAATTATATTGAAACAAGGCCTGTCACTATAATCACAATATTTATTTAGTGTACGATATATGACATTTAAAAAGCAAAAACTCTATTGGGCGTGCCTTATATTTCACTAATGAGGACATTTTTCAAGTGTTTCATTGTGGTTTACTAGTATGTATGATATGGTCCATTAAGAAAACTGTTGACTGGGATTATCTAGCTTTAGGGTTTTTGTGTCAGTGGCAGTAAAAATGGTCATTTATTGTAATATTTTCTGATGTAATGTTTTTTGTTTTTTTAATTTGCTTTTGAGACAGGCTTACTCTTAGGCAAGATGATCAGAAGGGCATCTGACATGAAAACAGATCAAATTAGCATGCAACTGATTCAGTGAGGTCTTACTGAGAAGATGAGAGAATTTGAAAGATTAAAATAGTACATGTGTACTTAGCAACACATTTCTTCCTGTGCATCTGGAAAACTACATGAATGAACACTTCCTCTCTGGGCTCGCAAACAAAGGGCCATATTTTAGACAATTAAAAACCACATTAAATAGACTCTAAAGTTCAAAGCATTGGCTCTTGAAAAGGGATAATATTGTACATGCATTTATAGTTTGCAGAAATTTATCTAACAATTATATTTTTTTCAATTAAAATGTTTTAAACCATAGTTAAAGGCATGTTTTAAACTATAGTTAAAGACATTCATGCAGAGTTTAAAGCTAAGATCAAACCAAAATGTTGTGCGCTTTAGAAACAGTGCTGAAAAGGTGTTTTTGGTTTTTAAAATAATTCAGTTAAAAAGGCCTCTTCTCTTTACCCTTTCAGTTTGGTGGAGTTAACATAAAAACACACCACTTCCCATTCTTAAAGTATGACGGAAATATAAGATGCCTGGTTTGACAGTGAAACCAACAAGTGAAAATAAAATGTGTGACAATTCTGTTATTCAGTAATTTTGGGTCTCTAAAAGTGTTATTGGATAGATATTTTGAATATATTGCATTATGTTCAGATCAATTTTGACACAGTTTGTATAACTGAAAAACAAAAAGATGTATTTTTAAAAACCTATGAGCAAAACAGGAACAAATATAAAGGCTTTCTGAAAATCATGTTTAAAAGTTGATTCTGAACATTTTAAAACACCAAATTTAAAGATTATGATGTAATATTTTCAGTTTCTTGATATGGATATTACGGTAAGTCATCTGATATCACCATGACGATATTTATCAATAGCCCTAGTTACAATCATCTCCCATAGCAACCATATTGACAACAAGTATTAAAAATTCTTGAGCCACTTCCATTCAGATTGTCTTTCAGTGTCAGACATTCTTCCAAACTTTAGGCATCTCTGATCTTTCTAGTCCTGGATGTAGATGATAATTAAGCATAGAGTTCCCACAAGTCCGAGTGCTTGAAATCCCAGAAACCACAGCAGTATCCAAAAGACCATAATGACGACCGGCTCTACTATTTTGTCCCCAAAGTACATCTGACTGAAGCCCACGCCTCGTAGACATTTGTTGATCATCCCAAACAGAGTCCCCATCCTCTCGCAGTCGTCCAGCTCGGGCTGCCTGGTCGTGGGGTCATCCATCTCTGGCCACTGGGCGCGTGTGAAGCCCTGTGGAGCTGTCTGTCTCCTGTGGTCCTGTAAAGAAAAGAGAGGGAATTAGATAAGAAGCACAACATGTACTATTCTTGTTTTGTTTTCTTGTACCTACAAAAAAGTCATACAAATGCATATAAAAATGTGTAAGCCTTCTGTGTATGTTTTCTGGTGGAGGGTCTGTTAAATGCTTTTCTTCATGGAGATGTTACTGCCTGGAATGTTTCACAGTATGGTATTAAACCTTTCTATCTTCATAGAGACCAAACCAGACCATGTTACAGGTCAGATCTGATTCTGTGGAGAAGTGACCCCACTCATAGTCACAATGCCTATTTTTCTAGGTATTTTTGAGCTATAAAACCACCTGTAATTGAACAAAATGTAAGACAGAGCTGTTTAATGTCATACTGAGGAGCATTCTGAGCAAAGCAATAACATATAAATAGACACAAGCAGGTGACAGACCTCCAACTGAAAACAGCAACGGTAGCAATGGTTAAAAACATGAGCTGAAATAAAAAAAAATAACAGCATGCAATATTTAAGTATTTTGTATCTATAATGAATCCAATCCTGTACAACTCAAATCCAATGACGATATATATTAATAGCTCTAATTACAATCATCTCCTGTAGCAAACACATTGACAACACTTTGTCTTTTAGTGTCAAAAATCAAAATTTCTCAGTAGGGCAGAAAAAAAAACATAAATAAAAACATTTTTGATTCCAAATTACTGTTCCATCTGTCAAGTATTGAACGATAAATCAATATAGTATTTATTTTAACAGGCCTAGATGCACAGTGTAACTTTTCTGCTGAAAGATATGCCAGCTGTTTGTCTCCATGGCGATGCTATTGCTTTCCTGGGAATGTTCAACAATATGGTATCTATCTTTATGGAGACAAACAGGTGATGCCATATAACACAGTTACTAGTAGAATAAAACCAGTTATGAGAAATACAGTAAGTTTAAAGCTATACTAAGGAACCTCTCTGGCAATTAATAAAAGTTTTACTAATTTGAACTAATGCTTACTTTTTTATGGCTCTATCTTGTTCTTTTTGTATGGTCTATTTAGCCCCTAACACGACAGCAAAGGCAATGCTGGAAATATTCAAATTCATCATGTAGCACCCTCAAGGGTTGGCAATAGCATGGGACAAATGCAAATAAAAGTACTATGTTTTGAATAATAATTTTCACTGTAGACACATTACTAATGTTTCTACTGAATGCTTTTAATTGTATAATAATAATAATGAGTATGGTGGTCCTGCAAATTCAATGTTTTTTATTTAATTTTCAAAAAAAAGACCTCACAGTAAAAAAAAAAAAAAAAATCATCATAAACATTTTTTTCATTATTATTATTATTATTATTATTATTATTATTGTCATTCTCTATATTTCTACTATTATGAATATTTTGTCTGTGTTTTGAAAATTACAGAAATAAACAGTTATGCCCACTACACTACATTTTAGTGTCTAAAAATAAATTGTGTATTGTGATGTGTGACACTGCATTTCCTTGTCTCAGATCTACTTACTCAGGACTCAGGAGATCCTCACACAGATAACCTAACATTAAAACTGGAAAATCTTGATGTTCTTACAGCTAGAAACAGCTGACTGCATGACAACATTTGCATACAATTACAAAAGTCTCTCGTAAGACCTGTGGCTCAACCAAATCACAGGTTTCATGAATGATGAGGTGTTGCGATCTGCTAAGTGGTATGTTTTTAAATGGGACACACTGGCCTTTTTGGCAGTGAAATGGTTAATAGTGTAACTAATACTTCAATGTGTGTATTGACAAAACAAGTCAGACAACAATAATTATTTTCTGGGAATGTCTGAGCAAGTTCTGATGAAGTCCTTACAAAACAGTTGTGAGAACTGTAACAAAACAAATCTGAAGGTGTATTCTGTTTTAGAAGAGTTAACTGTACTACATTACACAAACTGGATTCTTGTGAGCTTTAAGCCATGTTATAATATTGTTGCCTCATCAAAAACATACCCAGAGTTGTGTTTTGTTTCATTCACACAAGTTTGAGAAAGTCTTTATTATCAGACCGTCTGAATTTTCAACGCTCAAAATGCTCTGGTACACCTTGTGATGTCATGTAGTGGTATTTTTAAGTTAACAGTGATTTTTTTTACCTTTAGTTCAGTTGTGATTGGCAATTGCAGGGCTGAAATGTCCCAAATGATTTTAGTAAAGGTGTATAGAGTTAAAAACACGACTAGACGAGCAGGGGTTCTTAACCTTTTCAATCTTAGAGCAAGATGTTTTCTGAAGAAAGTAACCTGGGGCCCTAATGCAATATAATGCATTAAATGCATTATATTGTACTGATTGTGGGGCCCCCACGGAGGTGGTCCCCGCCCTACTTTGGGCCCTGGTCTTATGGTTAAGAATCACTGCACTAGAGCACTTCTGGTATTACAACATGACATCAAAAGGTGGAACAGTGCGGTTTCTGTTTGAGAGAAGATGCCAGCCTGAATATGCAGAGTGGGTGTGTTAAATGTATGTGAATGAAATGAAACCCAATTAGATATATTTTTGATGAGGTGACAACATTATGACATAGTTCAGAAAATAGTAGTACGAGCTCTTTAAATAAACTTTTTGACTTACAATTTGTGCATTTTTTCTGTTTCATTACAGATACACAGATACACAATGACGTTAACTTTGAGAATCTATAGGAAGAAAGATTGCAAAAGTTGTCAAATAAATCAGTGTGGTTCAGTGCTGCTGTCTGTAGAAAATGCGACTTAACTTGTTAAAGAATGTTAAACCAAGTTTATCAAACATGTCAACAAACCCAGGTACCTCTTGTTCTTTGTTTAAATATGACTTGATGTAATAGATTACTACTTTACAACAATTCATTAGTAATGCCCCACAGTTGTCACTTTATGATGTTACCTTTGAACTGTGGATTGACAACAGAGGGCTTATAATGGACATAAGCAGCTGTTGCCTGGATAAGTTTAACCCTGAAAACACTGGGATACTCGCCAATAAATATACAACGTGGTATAGTCTTATTATTACAGTCAAACATTACAGAAAGTAATGGGAATCAATAATAGTTTGTGTTGTTTCATTATTGACATTTGTTGCAAGTTAGTGCATAATAGGTTTGTGTTATTGGGTTTAGCATGCTTTTTGCTCTTTTTCCCGTATATTTGATTGTGATTGAGTCCTTTCACCCCTTATAACTATGTAACAAAGGTTAATATGTCTGTATTTTTGTTGTGATTGCATACAATTCTCAATCAAATGCCTAGTAAAAAGTTATTAGAATGATAACTTAGCTAAGTAAATGTAACGTTTTGATACCTCTATGTAATTTTGATTTGCATGTTTGCTAAAGCTATGTTATATGTTAATAAACGCAAACGATGTCATTAATAGAAAAGTCTCAAAGTAATTTTTATATGGATTATGTTATGATCACGTCTATAATTTTGAACAACTGACGCCCATGATACAGACTGATACATAAGCAGCTTTCTCTGGCCAAAGCTTATCACTGACACCAGACCTCCGTTATAAATACAGAGTTGTTTATGCGACAATATGATAAGATTAGTATCCGTATGATCTAATAATAGTAAATACAAGAGCTAGCTAAGTAAAAAGTACTTTTGCATTACCCGATCTGAAGTGTACGGAGTAGCCCCATGTACGGGTTCTCCCATATGCCATCTTCTTATGTTTTCTGTCGGTAGATTCAATAAATCTCGACGATGAATGACATGATTTTCGTTTAACGGTGGTGAAACAGCGGACATTTTCAAGACTGTCCGCTAATAGTAACTTCTAAAAAATAAAAACATACGAGAGACGAAATATTTCACAATCTGGTGCTACGGTGCTGTGCCTCAAGAGGTGCGTTCATAGCTCTCAAATGCAACGCTAATTCTGACGCTCTAGGTTGCCAGATTACAAATGCAAACTTCAGCCAGACAGCAAACAAAATAATACGATAAGGGCAAAAGACGACAAAGGAAAACTACGAAATTAATAATAATGACAATGGAAAAGAGTAAGATTCAGTTTTGGCTTTATAGTAGTTAATAGTAACACAACAAGTAGCTACAAATTAGCTTGCTACAAATTAGTTTTTTAGGTTTAGGTTTGATTTAGGTTGCCAAATCAAAAATGTGTGACACACCGCCAAAAAAATAAATGAATTAATAAATTAAAAAAAGAAGTCTATCAAGATGCAAATACATATTTTTCTGTAATATTAGGATGATAGGATGATAAGTGATTATATATATATTGTCAATACTAATTAATGCATTTGGTTCTAGTTTAACTTGCAGCCCACCAACTTGGAGATGCTTTTTCCTCCACCATCATTTAACATAATTTTAACATTTACATGAGTTTTTATTGCTCAAAATAACAGTGAAAACAGATATACTTACTGTAAGCAGGGTCTGGCCTCTCTCCATCTGAACAGTAACTTGGCCTTGTTGGGTCACCTGCTTGCATCCACGGAGACAGAAGTTTAAAGCCATATTGTGGAACATTCAGGCAAGGCAATGACATTTCCAAGTAGTGTACTCTCCTCCACCCACCCTTGCTATTTTTGCTACTTATTTTAAATGTGTTATTAACATTTGTATTACTGCTCTTTGTTATTATAAAACAGTATGATATGTCAGCTCCTATACCCAAATAATCACATCACTACACCGAAGTTCCTGTTTCAGTCGTGCTTTAGTCACACTTCCCCTTTTTTTTTTTTTTTTTTTTTTTTTTTTTTTTGGTAATGCAATGATTAAGATTAAGAAGATAAAAAAAACATGTTACTTAATGTGATGTGGCGGTGTGGTATAGTGGTCAGTTCTTGTTTAAACTGTGCTTTAGTCACTCTTCCCTCTTTTTTGCACTGTAACAATTATATAGCACTATAATAAACTAAACTATGTCACTTCTATGGTGGATTGTCAGCTACTAGCTTGTCTCCATGGAGATGCTATTTCTTTGCCTGGAATATTCCAGGCAAATAATTGATTTATAGCTCAAAAATACCTTAAAAAGCAAAGATTCTTACCATGTGCAGGCTTGCTTCTCCATAGATCTGACCATTACCCTGTCTCCATTGTGATTACCAAGTTTATTTCCATACTGTGGAATAAGCAAGGCAAAACAGTAATATCTCCATGGATGCAAGCAGGTGGCAGACCCTCCAATTTACACAGTGCCCCTTTAAATAACTGTGATAATAATCCAACCATATCATTTTACCTGTTTGTGAAGCTGATATGTTGCAGTGATCAGTTCCTGTTTAAAATGTACTTAAGTCACTCTCCCCTCTTTTTTTTTTTTTTTTTTTTTTTTTTTTGCACTGTTTTAATTAAAGGTGCATTGTGTAACGTTTCTGGTGAAAGCTCTGTCAATTCTTTCTACTATGGAGATGTTATTGCTTCATCTGGAATGTTTCACAGCATGGTATTAAACCTTTCTATCTTCATGGAGACCTAACCAGACCAAGTTACATGTCAGATCTGTGGAGAGACGACCTCGCTCAGAGTCAGAATGCCTGTTTATCTAGGTTTTTTTGAGCTATAACACCTATATTTTAATAAATGGAAGGTAGAGTTGTTTAATATCACACTGTGGAAGATTCCAGGCAGAGTAATGACATATCCATAGAAACAAACATGTGACAGACCCCCAAAACCAAAAAGTTACACAGTGCACCTTTAAATAGCACTATAATAATTAAAGAGCAGTGATAATATAATCTAACCATAGAGCATGTTACCTCTGTTTGTGCAGTGTGGCGCAGTGGTCAGTTCTCGGGCCGACCGGACGGTGGCGCGCTCTGCTCTCCTCCCGCTTTGTTTTCGCTGATGCTGCTCTTCGCTTCAAAGCAGAGGAAAGTCGCTCCGTGTGTGTCAACATCCAGCTCTCCCCGGGGAAACGTCGCTTTAACCTTATCCAAAACCCGATGAACCTTTTTACAACACTCTTTTTTATTTGGTCACCCTCGGACTCATCGGTTTACATCACTCCGAAGCAAAGAAAAGCATCTTTGTTGATTGTAGCTCAGAGTTTAGCTAACGATTGAAAGCATGACATAGTACAAAGTGGAAATACAGTCTCCAATTTATACAAAATATCTGGGGACCTGTTAGCTTAGCCATCTAGCCTTATTTTTCAGTCGGACCGGAGGAAAAAAGAAGATCTAGCCTGCTGACATGATGTTTCCTCAATCTAGACACTCGGTAAGTTTGTTTTTAGTAGAATTAAGTTGTGTGAGTGTCAAAGTTAGCAGTGAGCCGCAACGAGCTAACAGGCTACGGTCAGACAGCTGATAGCGGAGCTGCTCTAGCTGTCATTAGACCCAATCTATTAATGCATTTGCACCTAGCATCTTTGCCTTAGCAGGGTAGCAAGGGTTATTATAACAAAGTCAATATGTACGCGGGGTGCTAATGTGTTGCTACGTCTCCTAGGCCACAGTTTTGCAAGGGTTTTCAATAAAGAGACAGTTCAAGATCCCTTTTTGTGGCCTTAAGAAGATTTTTTTTTCCTTTGTTGTCAGCTGTAGTCATTATTACCTATTAAGATTTGATTTACTGCGTGCAAATCAAATTAAAATGTAGATTATTACAAATTGAAAATGAAAATCAAAGTTATACAATCTATAAAATAACATCTGGCTTTTCCTGTTGTGCACACATTTTATTTTTAACAGAAGTATGATTAAATGCTTAAATCCAATACATACATATTCTAACCTGTTTATTGTAGAAACAGGGAATTTACCATCTGTGGACATGGACTCGCCAATATGAGCTGGTGAAATCCTTTTGTCTCTTTGTAGTACTCCAATCAGAGCTTTATAATGTTGAGAATGCATTGTCTTGTGGGGCCAATTTGTTCATCTTAGAGGGGAAACGCAATCACCAGGTCCATTTAAACTAATTGATTAGGCTTTATCTGCTATAGACTGATTGACTTAACTGTTATATGGCTACACCAATCCTTTATGGCTCACTTCTTAAAACTAGATTAGTGGTGTACTAATGGTGTTTGCAGTTTTGGGGGTAGCCAATTTTAGTGTAATAGTTGTTTTTAGTTTAATTAAAAAAATATATAGTATATTAGAAATGTAAAATTTGCATTTTCCCCTTTGTGGGACACTTAAAGTTCTCTTATATCATTTGCGATTCTTCACATCTGATTACAACCCACTGGGTGGCAATATTTCATCCATTACTAAGGGGTCAGTAAGTTTATATTTTGACTTTGTTGTTTTTGTGCAATGCCATGCGCATCACCTTGTATTTACTACACTCTCTGGAGGAGCTGGAGGAAGTGTTGGGGGTGAGGGAAGTCTGAGAGAAGGCCTGTCATAACATATAAAGATGCTATTGAAACTGACACAATAAACTAAATGATATATAATCATAGAAAACTGTTTTAAATGTACAGTATGGTTAAAAGACACAAGCTGCAACAAATAAATAGCAGAATGAACCAATAATTAGCCATAGAAGTTACTTATTCCACCATCTACTGCTCTAATTATTTGGCCAAAATATATTGTTCCAGCTGTTATTTATAGACAATAAGTGGATATCGTAATTATTGTGACAACATATATCTGAGGGTCCTTAGTTTGACATACGAGATTGTAAAAGTACTATATCTTAAAGTTAAAACCTTACAACAACAATTTAAATCCACCATGTTTATTTAGGGAAATTCCCCACTAGTTCTAATAGTTTAGTTACACTTATACAGCAGATTAATGGACTAATTGTTTGAGAGTAGATGCTGAGTTCTGACCTTTCCGTCATCCCCTCTGCTTACCCATAATCCCGCTGGAAAACACTTGTCCTCTTGCCATTTATTTAGACATTAATAAGGTTTAGGGCACACGAGGATTACTGATGAGACTGGTGGTTTAACTGTTGTCTGGCTGCATATAACTGGAGTTGGATCACGTATGTTTCGCGTGGGCTCACTTAATCTTCTGTAAACACTTTCCTCAACTCTCTGTCCCCAATCAATTTGTCCGCAACATCTGTCCAGGAAAAGTCAATATAAAGTATAAAGTTTATTACTAGGCTTAAAATAAACCTCACTGGACTTTCCCTGACTAAATTGCAGTTTTGTTCAGATAGTTCAAATCTGTAATATGCGGACTTCTCTTATGGGTTAAGCTGATGTTACTAAACAAACACAAACTCATTAAAACAAGACTTTATTTGGACAACATTTTGGACATTATTTTATTTTATTTTTGTGCTTTTTGTTTTTTTGATTAGTAATTTATTGTTTTCATCTTTAACATGTCAGAATGGAAAATTACTTTTGTACATAACACACACACACAAATAAATAATATTGATTAATATGTATAAAAAATAAATAAATACAATTGCCAACATGCCTTTTATGTTTTGACAGGTAAAGGGTTCTGTGATGCTGTACTTTAAAGGAATTACTAGAACAATAATCTAGTAATAATAATAACTATATGATCAGTCTATAAACTGAAAACCTTAACATTTTTCACCTTGATAGCAAAGTGGTTAAAGGTGCTTTCACTACCTGCTTGTCTCCATGGATATATTTAGTTTATTTTGTACTTTTATGTTTAAACCTCAGTTTGTGTAGCACAGGGGTCCATTAAAAGGCCCATATTATGCTGTTTTCTGATCTCTGTTATAATGTTGTTTCCTCATCAAAAACATACCTGGAATTGTGTTTTGTTTCATTCTCACATGTTTAACACACAAACCCTGCATAGTTCTATTCTCAAACAGAAAACACTCTGTTCTACCCTGTGATGTCATGGAGTAATACAGGTCACAGCTCCACTGTGTTTTTAAACTCCATACACTTTCACTAGAGCCATTTTGATTAATACAGTTACATGACATTGCACAGTGGAACAGAGCAGTCTGAGCTTTGAAAATGTAGACAGACAAAAAAAAAATCCAGGGTTACTCAAACATATGTGAATGAAACAAAACACAACTCAATGATTTTGAGGATTTGACAATATTATAACAGAAGAGTAAATACTGTGTAATACAGGACCTTTCAACTGTAACCGTTCGTTTTATAGACAAGAAACCGCTGAGTTTGTGTGATGTTGTTTCTCCGCAGGCGTCCTCGCAGTCAGGCCAAGCTCTGAAGTTCACCACATCTGACTCCTGCGACCGCATCAAGGACGAGTTTCAGTTCCTCCAGGCTCAGTACCACAGGTTAAACTCCCACATCTGATCGCTATGTCCTTATTTTTGTATGTGAAAAAAAACATGCTGACTGTTGCTTTTTTTGCAGTTTGAAGTTAGAGTGTGACAAATTAGCCTCAGAAAAGTCAGAGATGCAGCGTCACTACATCATGGTAAGAATGACATTGTTGTCCTATTTTGTTGGTCGGATGAAGATGTTTTGAAAGAATATTTCATAAATATAGGCTTATATTATGTGTGTTACAATTTAAAAATATACTTAAAATTCTGTATAGCATGGTTTTAACTGTATCTTCTTTGTCCACAGTACTATGAAATGTCCTATGGGCTAAACATTGAAATGCACAAACAGGTAAGCAGACATCCTGATTTTTATTTTTTTTTTCCTTTTTAGAGTATGCTTTTTTAAAATTCTGAAACTATGACTGCACAATACACTACAGTTATACTGAATTGCAGTGTGAGTTATCAAATTATCAAATCACAAAGATTACAAGTATTTAGATATTAAATGTTTCTCAACACAGAGCAAGAATTTCTTTTTACAAAAATCCTGTACACATAGTTTAGACCTCTACAAACTCAGAACAGAATCCTACTTTTTAGTTAAATACAAATATAAATAGATAAATAGATAGAAGAAGATAGATAGATACTTTATTGGTCTCAAAGGAAATTCAAAGTATAGCAGTATCAATATAGAAAGGACTTTAAACACATATCTCAAATCACAATCATATTTTCTTTCAAGAGCAGCCCTGTTTTGAGCCAACTAATATATTTATCTCATATGTGTCTTTATTGCAGGCTGAAATAGTCAAAAGACTGAATGGGATCTGTGCTCAGGTGCTGCCTTATCTGTCACAGGAGGTAAGAGACACTAGATGGGTTTATATGCAGTGCAATTTAAATTAAAGTGGATGTATTATGTAATATTGTCTTTTAAGTTTTAAAATTGTCTTTAATTGTCTGTTCTGTTGTATAAATGTGAAATCCTTTATTTTGATCTTGACAATGTTGCGTTTATACTTCAGCATCAGCAGCAGGTCATGGGAGCCATCGAGAGAGCCAAACAGGTCACACCTCCAGAGATGAACTCCATTATCCGGGTGAGCTGCTCAGTTTAAGGCAGACTTCTGTTTGTGAACATAATGTCAAAATGTTTATGTGCGTGACCAGACAGTATGGAGTCGAGCGTGTGTGTGTGTGAGAAATCATTTAAACACAGAAGGAATATAATGTCCAGACAGTAAAGTACCATACAGTTCTATAGTTCATCTCTCTAAACTGTAAATTGTATATGTAAGATAAGATAATATTTTATTGTCTCCCTTTTAGAGAAATTGGTCATGGGATTGAGACAGGGGGTGCATGCTTCTAAAAATATTACCGTAATTAAAATACTGTAATAGATCAGCAATATGATGCTCTTTATATATAAACCAGTGCAAGAAAATAGAACAAACATCTCCATTTAGGCCTTAAGAGATTACAAGAATAATAATTAAATAGTACATTTGTCTTCAACTCTCTCTTGATGTGTTGTGTTTTAGTCAGCTGTGCTAAATACCATGAAATTACTTTAAATCATTGGGGGGCTCACTGCTCCTGACAGGTTGCCCTAGTGGCATTGAAGGGTGGGTCAAATGCAGAAGCCAAATTTCCCTACAGTAACAATAAAGTGTGTCTTAACCTGAAACCTGAACCTTTGCCACTGGGATGAAAAATATTATGGCACTTTAGTCTCATGAGATCTTGCCCCCATCTCTCCCTTGAACAGTATTCACCCCCCTCTTTCTTTTGCCATAGTAAAATTGTATTGCTCTGATTGTACGTGTTCATAACTATTTCCGTTTTGTCTTTGCAGCAACAGCTCCAGGTGCAGCACTTGTCCCAGCTGCAGGGTCTGGCTCTCCCTGTGGCACCTCTGCCTCTGGGTCTGACCCCGCCCACTCTGCCTCCCACCTCCAGTGCCGGCCTCCTCTCTCTCTCCTCCATCCTCGCCAACTACTCCCACGGGGCGTCCCAGCCGGGCAAGGACGACAAGGGCCGGGACTCCGCAGAGAGACCCCCCCGAGCCGAGGATGGAGACAAGTCTGACTAATGCCACGGAGATAAACAGGAAAACCACCGTCTGGAGTAGGGATGTCAGGAAGTTCGATTTTAGTCTTAAGATTATGAGTAGAAACATTGAGGTTTTATAATTTTTTCACAACAGTCCCAAAAACAAAAAGTAAACTAATCCTATATTATTTGTTCTGAAGCTATGGCACAGTTGCACAGGCGATATGCACCTTTCTGGTTGGTAGTCGGGCGTCAAAAACCTTAGTCCTGGTTTAGGCCTGGTTTATTCCTAGTGTGCTTTTGGCTATTTTAGACCTGTTTAGTATAGACCTGGTTTAGTTCCTAGTCTAGTCCTGGTTTGGTCCTAACTACTTTAGACCCAATTTATTCCTGGTTTTGTTCTAACTAATTAAGACCGGATTTAGTCCTGGTAATGTGCTGTTTAATATGGATTTGGTTTAGTCCTGTTTGGTCCTGACTAGTTTATACTGAGTCTAGTCCTGGTTTAGTACTACAGTAGTCTTGGTATAGTCCTGGCGCAGTTAATCCTGGTATCATTCTGGTTAAGATCAAGTTTATACCTAATTTCCAAATTCAAAATAATTGAAATTTTATAATTCATAATTTTAACCTAATTTAGTTCATTTAATATGGCGCTTGCTGCAAACCAGAGTGTCATTGTCCCAAAAGATTATCATAAAGATCTTTCTTGACCAGCTTTATTAAATTTAATTTTGGAATTCACAAATGCTTATATTTTTTCCAATTGTGACAAAAAAGCGATACACATATAGGTTTCTTAATTTGGAGTATAGATTACTTTTAAATAAGATTTTATTTCTAAAAATCTTATATTGTCAAAATCATTATGTTGTGACATCTAAAATTCTTCATTCTTTGCAAAATCTATGAATCCTGACATCCCTGGTCCGAACGAAGTGAGGCATGCTGGGTAATTGAGTTCAAACCAGACCAAAAGTCCTCCGGTGAGTTGGGGTTGTTATGATGACAGGGTGGAGAGGACTGAATGAAAAATCATTTGGATCCAAAAGTAAAAGATTGCGTGTGTTTTTTATTTTGTTGTTTAGGCTCAGTTCAAGCTTTTAGACTTTAAATAGTGCATTTTTTAGTATAAATCCAGATGAAGTACAAAGCAGTCCATCTACACAGCCCTGTCTCCAATACATTGTCTTAATGTCTGATCATTTTCCTGTTTTGTTTAAAGCGGCATTTTTTAACTCTGGTTGGGGGTCCATCACCTGCTTGTTTCTATGGATATGTAATTGCTCTGCCTGGAGTGTTCCACAGTATGACATTAAAGTACCTTACATTTATTAAATTACAGGTATTTTTATAGCTCAAAAACACCTTGAAAAAAACAGTATTCTGACTGTGAACAGGGTTGTCTCTCTACAGACCTGTAACTTGGTCTGGTTAGGTCTCTGTAAAGATGGAAAGGTTCAGTGTCATACTGTGAAACATTCCAGACAAAGCAATAACATCTCCATAAAAGAAAAACATTTGACAGACCCTCCACCAGAAAAGTTACACAATGCACCTTTAAAATGTCCTACTCAATTAGATAGCTCATCCCAATCTTTATAATAATTTAAGTATTTTTGAAAACGCATTTGTAAAATCTATTGTATTCTTACATTGAAATTGCCAACCACACTCAAACATTTAGAAATGTGTCGTATCACCGACCATAGCAATCTCATATAATGGGATCATGCTATTTAAACTTATTGAACTCTGGTAGCATTTTCTGATTAGAAGTTGCTACTTTGAAAACTTAAAGATGCACTGCTTAACATTTCTAGTGGAGGGTCCGCCACATGGTGTCTCCATGGAAATGTTATTGCTTTGTCTAGAATGTTCCACAGTATTGATGAAACCTATGTATCACAAGGGAGAAAAGCAGGTTACAGCACTATGCTATATTACAGCTCTGTGGAGAGTCGTGCCAATTCACAGAAGAAGTTACTGTATTTTTAAGCAATAGAAACTTCTGTAATGGATAAATGCTAGATGGATATGTTTAATGTCATACCATGGAACATTTCAGGGAAAGCATTAACATCTCCATGAAGACAAGCAGGTCATGGACTCTCTCCAGAAAAAAATTGCGCAGTGCACTTTTAAAGCCACATAGATAAAAGATAAGTGTTACGATAATTGTTTAATTCTTAAAATTAAGCACCTTTTTTATATTTTCCTTTACCCCTGCCTGGCCCCTCCCACTGAACTGGTCTATTTCCAGAAAGACCAATTTTACCTTGACGTGCACTGTACCTCTGTAGTAGTTTAATTACACTGTATCATGCTTTAGTTAATTGCATTCACTTTCTTTGTTTATTAAAGGATTCGTGCCCTTGTGAATTCAGACGCTCTGTAAAAAAAAATCATTATCAGTTAACTCAAACTTACTTACTTAAAATCATATTGTCCCTGAATTGTAGAATATTGTTTGGTAGTTGCTATAGTGACAACAACAATTGTCATCTATGATAGTACCCAAACTAAAATTCCTACATTCTACCAAATGCCAACAAGGCATCCCAGAACAGATTTTTTTCTCTTATTTGTTACATTGACCACATTATAATATTATAGCATTACGTACCACACTGGGCCTGGTTTTCTTTGGACTTGGTTTAGTTCTGTTCTAGTCCCGGATTAGTACCAGTTTTATGTGGTGAATGCAAATGTGCGAACGCTACCTAATTCATATAAATTCATAAAAACAATATTACAGTACAGTGTACTTTCCCAAATGTCCCCTTTTGCTAAGACTATATGCTTTACGATAGATTTAAATAATATGTGCCACTGTGGTTAGACAAATTCCCTCAAAAAGTTAAAAAAAAAAAAAAAAAAAAAAAAATCCCTATAGTTTTCTTTCTAATTTTGAGTATTGAAATGTTAAAAGCTTGATCTATGAATCTTACCCATTTCTACATTTTCTATGCTTGTTTATGACAGCAGGGGGCAGTAGTGTTTTGGCTTGGACTTAAAGTGACATTGACAACCATCTTAAGAGCACATGGCTAATATTTTTATGATCATTTCAAAGGCACTTAGCTTTTTTTGCAAACAATTTTTTGGCCCAGGTAACTAGTTTAAAGATGCACTATGTAACTTTATAGTTGAGGGTGCGTCACTTGCTTGTTTCTATGGATATGTCATTGCTCTGCTTTGAATGTTTCACTGTATGACTTTAAACAGATCTACCTATTCAATTGCAGGTGGTTTTATAGCTCAAAAATACCTAGAAAAACAGGCATTGTGATTGTGAGCGGGGTTGCCTCTCCACAGATCTGACCTGTAACTTGGTCTGGTTTGGTCTCCATGATGATAAAAAGGTTCAATACCATACTGTGAAATATTCCAGACAAATATAAAGCAGGTGATGGATCCACCACCAGAAAAGTTACACAATGCACCTTTAAACCCTCGTTTTCCTTCTCTAGACATGAATAGTGTTTTATTGCTGTCAAGGGCCAATTTGTATCCATATGAATTTATCAATACATATTTTTAAAGCATTTTTGTATGTCTCAAAGCTGCTTTTTAACGTGTGTGTACAATGGACGAGTTTGGTGTTGTGTGTGTGCAGCCTAAACATTAACAAGGCACAATGTTGTAAACCATGTCTTTTTTGGCTGTTTTTTCACATTCTCAATCACTTTAGCATGTTTTTGTTTTTTTTTTTTTTTTTTGTTTTTTTAGGTTTGTATGTGTTAAATCCTTTTTGTGCTGAAAAATACTGTCTCATTCTCAAATATTTGGGGCAGGAAGTATGTAAACGACCAACTGTGTACTCTATTCAGAATGGATCAACATTTTAGCAGTAAGGAAGCTTCTCTGGTGCCTTACAAATAAACGACGTGATTGAGAGTAGTTGTCATTTGTGTGTGTTTTTTTTTTTTTTTTTTTTTTTTTTTAGATCAAGCACTGAATTTGAAAGATTATAATGTAATTTCCTACATTTAAGGCATGGACTAAATTCATGCCTCATAAATTCATGAATTTGTGATGAACACATTGCAAGTATCCCTGAAGTGCAACTCTTGTGGTGTCAGTTCTCCTGTGAGGAACAAGTGATGGGTGATAGGGTTGGCCAAAAATGTATATAGAGATTCTAAAACTAATATCACAGCTACTCATAACAATTTAAATAGGACAAATTTGGACATTTCCTGAATAGTTTTGGAATTTTCATAATCTACATTAAAGCATAAGGGTTCATACTGATCCTGTTTGAGGCCAGTTTAAAATACTACTACTACTACTAATAATAATAACTAGAAAAGCACTCAGAGAGTGCAGACCTCCGCCAAGGACTACCCCCATTTTTTATATAAATTGCGATAAAATCAGTCTTCTGGATCAGATCCGGATCAGCCTTTGGAATATGAAAGAGGATCCCATTGTCCATCCCTGAGTCAAATTTCATGGAGTTTGGTCAATAATTAACCGAGATATTGAGAAACAAAATTTTTGGCCCCATTTACCACAATGTTAACTAAAATTTCAAAGTGATCCAGAATCCAGGATTTCTTCCGGATCACCCCCAAAATGAAATCAGTTCTTCCTTTTCACATTTCCAACAAATCCTGAAAATTTCATCAAAATCGGTCCATAACTTTTTGAGTTATGTTGCTAACAGACAAACAAACAAACAAACAAACGCCGGCAAAAACATAACCTCCTTGGCGGAGGTAATAATAATAATGCATTCGTTTTATGTAACGCTTTTCCACACGCTCAAAGTCCTTTTACAATTTCGTGCATTATTGTAAGTTACAATAATGCACGAAATTGTGGGCAGACTGACAGAAGAGAGGCTGTCTATCTGCACCATCAGACCATCTAACCAAATCAGACTTTGACAGCATGGCTAGTCTAGGTTTTGTTGTTTGTTTGTTGTTGTTACCAGGTTTAGTTCCAGTTCATTCACAGTTTTAATGTGGCTTGAGAGTGAAGAGCACCGTAAGACCACACAGTATATTAAACTAACTACTAATGTGTCTTGCTTACTTTTTTACCATCATTGAGTCAAGATCATTTTGAGTACTGTTTTCTTTAGTACCAAAATGGAGATAGAACTTGTAGTTTTGTGACAGTATTACCAGTGATGCATGGCTGAAGAAAGAAGAAGAAAATTATAGTTGTGATTCAAAGGTGTCAACATATTTGCAGGTTGTTGCCTAAGGCCATCCATATTTGGCAAGTTGTACAGCCTACACATAACATTACACCCAACAATGAAACATATGGCCGCAATGTTATGCATGATCATCTCTTATAGTAAGATGTGGCATACAAATAAAACTGTGGAATTCATCTAAAATAAGTTCACATTTTGTCAATATCTATTAGCCATTCTGAATTTTTAACATTGTGATAGAAAAAAAAACTATGTTTCTGATTGGTTTACTACTTTCTTAAATCTATATCTTATATCGTTACATTTAAAATGTAAAAAGTAGAATAATACCAGTGGATAAAGTAAATTACACTTGGCAAAAATAAAACAAAAATGCCTCAACTAGCATATAATCATTTGACCAAATTTGAACAAAAAAAAATCAAAACAATACAATATGTATTTATAACTTGATACCTTTTGCTGCTATCTACAGCCTATATGCTCCACTGTGTTTTTAAACTCCATACACCTTCACAAAAATCATTTGGATAATTTCAGCCCTTGAATTACCAATCTCTACTAAACTGAAGGTAAAAGGTAGCTGTTAACTAGACAACTTGAGATGTAGACAGACTAATAATATAGGGTTATTCAAACGTGTGAATGAAACAAAACACAACTCCAGGTCTATTTTTGATGAGGAAACAACATATTAAAGGGCCAGTTTGGAATTTTGGACATAGTTGGAGATGTGTGAAGACACTTGTTTAAAAATTCCATCCAGTCCTTGTATTTGCAGAGGTCACTGGTTCTAGGCTAGTGCATGTCAATGGCCATAGTTAGCCTGCCTTTAAAAACATTCTTAACGACTCCATAAAGTGCATGAAACAAATCTATTATTACGCCAGACTATCGATGCAAATGTTTGTTGATAGAATAATGGTTGAAATAAAATTAACCTTGCATCGCATGAGTCGTCACATGTTGAGGGACTATTTTCTCATATATCAGTCCGCTGCTGCCAAGTTTTCTATCAGAAAGTACAACTCACTGCTGCTGCTCAGACATAAATCCTTCAAATGCAAGGTTGGTTTTACTTCTAAAATTATTGACATATATTATTGACACAGACAGTCTCGCATTATAATCGTTTTGCCTCGGGTGCTTTGTGGATTGCATAAAGTTGTTTTTAGTGGCAGGCTAACTATGGCCATTGACATGCACTAGCCTAGCACCAGCGACCTCTGCAAATAAAAGGACTGGATAGAATATTTTTAAAAAGAGTCTCCACACATCTCCAGCACTGTGGCTCACTAGGAAATGAGGCCCTATGTCCAAAATTCCAAACTGTCCCTTTAACGTAGATCAGTAAATACTGTAATATAAGCCCTTTAAAATTTCAAGAATAATCTACCAGTAAATGCACTCAAATAGCAGACAATATAACACGGATTTATAACTTGATACTTTTTCCTATGGAGAAATTCCATTATACTGAAGGTCAGCTCTGACCTCACTGTCACAAGACACCAACCAATACACAAATGTAACTCAAATAAAGCACTTTGTATTTACATGGAAACAATGGCTTTTGTCTAGCCAAATAAAACCAGTTGCCACTAAGTAAATGCATGGTTTTATATTGTGATTGATGAGGCAGTTTAAAGGACCCATATTATTGGATTTTCTAATCTATGTTATAATGTTGTTTCCTCATCACAACCATACCAGGAGTTGTGTTTTGTCTCATTCACACATGTGTAACACAAAAACCCTGCAAATTTAGGGTGAGTTCTTCTCTCAAACACCAAACACTTTTCCACCTTGTCATATCATGTGTCAGGAAGTGTTCTACTGTGTTTTTAAAACTCCATACCCCTTCAGTAGAATCATTTGGATAATTGTAGCCCAGGAATTGCCAATCTCTACTGAACTAAAAATAATGCATTAGTCTTATATAGAGCTTTTCCAGACACTTAAACATAATCGCCTCACAATTTGGTGCATTATTCATTCACTCCATACTAAAGGTAAAAGGTAGCAGTTAACTGGATAACTATTACTATATGACATCACAAGATGGAACAGAGCATTTCCATCATAGCTCCAGGTATGTTTTTGAGGAGGTAACAGCATTGTAACATGGCTTAAAGCTCACAAGAGTCAATTTACGTAATATAGAACCTTTCAACATACTGAACTGAATACTGAATACTGTGTCAATACAAACTTGTGAACAAAATACCTGAATACTTCACTAATAAACCGTTAATACAGAGACAAACATTCACATTTGATTTAACTACGTCTTTTCAAACATTTTAAAGTCATTAACTCACCTCTGACATGGTTCAAAAGGCCCAAACCCAGTCAGGAATCCCACAACCGCTGGGCAGGTCCAGGCACGACTCAACAGCATCCAAAGAACAGTAAGTGGAGCAGACAAAACGCACTGACGCACTAAAGCATTGATTCAGTATAGTCCATTGTGTAAAATATAGTGACAGGCATGTTACTAGACTAGTGTAATATGTCTTCCTTAGAACAATTACATAAGGTTGTCAAATGAAATGAATATCATAATAATCAGTATAAAAATGAATCTGAACAAGAATTGATACTGGAAAAAAATCACTTGAACAGGGCCAATATGGAAATTTCCTGAATTTTCAGAAGTTTTACAATGGGTAGTAGGCTATAAAACTACATGGTAATATTCAAAACTGGGTCTGGGAATCACAGGGTCCCTCACCACTCGATATGATTCACGATACATGGCTCATGATATGATATTATCACGATATGGCGATGTATTTGATAATCGATATATGTGATACTTGATACATTTAGCAGCAAAAATGTCCTTGTACCAAATAAGCAACTAAATTGTAGTACTGTTCACAAAGAAAATGTTAAAAGATATTAAATACTCTTACGGATATATAGACACAGCAACCATGATGATGATCCTGTATCTCCAAATTGAATATCAATATATATCGATATTTCAATAGTTTTGTACAGCCCTATTAAAGACATGTGGAAAATTCCATTATATTGTCTGGAGAATAATGGGTTTCATAATTATTGTGGTATCGAAATCTAGGTCAAGTATAAAGCCTTCTTAGTATTAAAATCATGTTTGAATTGTATTCCTATAACTTGACTATGACTATAACTTGACTCTAGAACTCTACATACACATTTATTGTCAGGAAAAGCATTGGTTCATTTTGCTGTAAACAGTGACAGTGCCCCACCGGTATAATATTTTTATTTTATTTTTTTAAATCACTTTAACTTTCGGGAGCCGTGTGTATATGTGTGAAAAGCTGTACTGATATAAGTAAATAACTAGGCTATTAAGGCATACTAATTCATAAATCTTAATTAATGTGAACTGGTCCCTTTCGTGTAAAACATACCAAGAGTTTGTTACTGAAATATATATATATATATATATATATATATACACACACATATACATATATATATATATATATATATATATATATATATATTATATATATATATATATTTTTTTTTTTTTTTTTCAGGAAAAATGGTGAGTCTCTGTACCCACACCATCAATTATCGCATTACTAGATCTACAAGAGAGAGAGAGATAGCCACAAAACACACATAATAAAAATGTATTGAAAAGAATGGTAACTTCACAGATATTGGTACATTCTCAAAAAGCTACACAATTTTTGAATAAAGTAGTTATATAAACAAATGACACAATATATGTTTCGTGGTGATATTGCAAAAGCAGTCTATACATGGAAAAATACATATAAAAAAGGTCCATTATGTAACTTTTGTGGTAGAGAGTCTGCCATCTGCTTGTCTCCATGGAGATAGATAATGCTATACTGTGGAATGTCTGTGTAATCCCTCAGTTGTCCAGGTAGGATCCATAGCAAAAAAAAGTAAAAATCTGTGGAATGTTCTAGGCTAAGCAATAACTTGTCATGGAGACAAGCAGGTGGCAGACCCTCTACCAGAAAAATTACAGTGTACCTTTAACAAAACAATAATGTGGAGATATTTGGCAAGAAATTGATTGAATTACAATATTGATCCAGTGTAGGTAAATTAACAGTCATATTGAGAATAAAAGTACATGATTTAAAGGTGCATTGCGTAACTTTTCTGTGGGAGGGCCTGTCTAATACTTTTCTCCATGGACATGTTATTGTGTCATCATGTTTCACAGTATGGTATTAAAGTTTTCTATCCTCATGGAGACCAAACCAGACCAAGTTACAGGTCAGATCTATGGAGAGGCAACATCACTCAGTCAGAATGTCTGTTTTTCTATGCATTTTTCAGCCACCTGTAATTGAAAATGTAAAGTAGAGCTGTTTAATGTCATGCTGTGGAACATTCCAGGCAGAAAAATGACATATCCATAAAGACAAGCAGGTGACAGGCCCCCAACCAAAAAGTTACATAGTGCACCTTTAAAGACAAAAAGGAAAAACATGAGTATTTCTTTGCAGTCTAAACAGGGATACAACCATGACAAAACATATATCAAATTGCACAGTGTCATACAACAATAAACATTTAAATCACATATTTTTGGCAGTACACACGCCCCATACTGAAAAAACGCAGGAGTAGCTTCTGTCCCAACAGGCCTCTGGGAACCTGCGAGTTTTGATAGTTGTAAAAACGCTTGTGAAATCTTCCCCCCAGTGTGAGCCCAGTCCCGCTACAGTGGTTATCGAGCTAGGGTAAAGGGTGACTATAGAGGGTATATAGCACATAATGTCCCGTGATGATAGTGGTAGACATGGCCGTATACAGACTTTGAGAATAGTGAAGTTCATTAGGTTTGAGAACTGATTTAGCTCTAGTCTAGTCATGGTGTAGTCCAGATGTTAGGATTAAAGGTCCTATGTAATGTTGTTACCTCATCAAAAACATGCCTGGAGTTGTGTTTTGTTTCATGCACACATGTTTGAGTAACCCTGCATTATTAGTCTGTGTACATCTCCAAAGATCATAATGTTCTGTTCCACCTTGTGATGTCATATAGTGGTAGTAACAGCTACATTTTACGTTTAGTTCAGTAGAGATGGGCAATTACAGGTCTGAAATGATCCAAACACTTTTAGTCAAGGTGTATGGAGTTTAAAAACACAGTGAAGTGCTTCGTGTCTTGCCACATGACATCACAAGGTGGAACAGAGTGTTTTGTGTTTGAGAGAAGAACTCAGCCTAAATATGCAGGGTTTGTGTGTTAAACATGTGTGAATGAAACAAAACACAACTCCAGGTATGTTGTGATGAAGAAACAACATTAAAACATAGATCAGAAAATAACATAATATGGGCCCTTTAAATGGTTTAGTCCTAGTCCTGGTTTAGTTGGTCTTTAAGGCCTCATTTGGGGCTTGTTAAGTTTTAACTGCTGCTGTGTACTCACTTCATGCAAAGCCTGATTTGATCCTGGTTTAGTTCCAGTTCAGTTCTAGTTTAGACTGGGCTTTGTGGTCATAGTTTAGACCCTATTAAGGCATCCACACTCCATCAGGACCTAGTTTAGATGTGATTTAATCCTGGTTTAATTTTGGTTTACACTGGGTTAAATTCTCATGGTTTAGACCCTAAATTGTAGGTGTCCACACCCCATTAGGACCTGGTTTAGACCTACTTTAGTTGAGTTGTTCTGGTTTAGTCTTGGTTTAACTGGTCTACATTGGGTTTAGCTGTTGCAGTCTATACCTCATTCAGTCCTGGGTAAATTTAGAAAGTTAGTTCTGGTTTAGTCCTAGTTTAGTCCTGTTGTAGACCCGGACCCTGTTTAGTCCTGGTTTAGTCCCAACCTAGTTTTGTCTGGGTTTAATCTGGTCATAGTCCTGGTTTATTCTTGCATTTTCAGTTCAGATATTAAATAGAATACTGTGGCGTGGCCCATATGACCTGGTGGTGTATACAGCCGTGCTGGTTCAGGAGGGAGGGGGCTCATACAGGGCCAGTGTAGTTGTAGTGGTTTCCGTGTTGAGAGTCCGGAGGTGGGGCACTGCCTTTATTGTCCAAATGTTCATCTTCGGGTGTGTCAGGAGTAGTGCACAGAGGGGGGCGCTGTTTGAAGAAGTCAGACACGTATCGCACCTGAAGAAGAGGAGAAGAAACATCATGAAAGATCTATACTGTAAATGTGAAAGATGCAAGCAAGTTAAGCGGTGAGAGACTGTACACTCTGGGCAAACATCCTTCAACAACGTGAAGGTAACATCTCCTATATTATCTTATCATCTATTATGAAGCCTCTCCAGATCTTGTTCTAGTCTTGGACTACTTCAGCTGAAGGATTTTAGCTATTGCACATGCAAACTCTGCACACAAAGACCTGAGCGACCCAGGGATCAAACCAGGAACTTTCTTTACTGTTAGGCACTCAGCCATCATGTCACCTACGTGTATATGCATGCATGTATCAATATTACTATATCTGTGAATTTCAGAATCATAAAAACTTTTTTTAATGTTGCCTATAACAAGAACCCTTTCTTTGAACAACAGAATGTTGAGATGTCTTCTGAAACCCAGCGTCAAAATCAAACAACAGGAGAATTGTCTTCCTTGTTTGTATAATTAAGATGTCATGTTAGCGTGTGCCTGCAACATGAGATTGATAAATACTTTCAGTGGAGATGGCACTGTGCCATACCACAAAAAACAACCTATAGTAATGATAAGGGAATGTGTCTGTTCATGTGTCTAGTTTCTTCCCTTTTTTCATCTTCGAAACAATTCAGAAGAATGCAATAAGCAGAAAGATATTAAGCCACAAGATTAATATAATTAATAATTATAGGCTGGTTTTTGGAGAATTCACACTTGCATACACATCTCATTGAAACAAAACTTTCACTAAACCTGGACTTAAACCCAGACTAGACCGCGACTAAACTAGGACTAGAACAGGCTCTTCATTAGGGCTAAACTGGGCTCAAACCAGGACTAAACCAGGACAAGTGTGAACGCACCCATAGTGATTTAGGACAGAAATGATCAGGCTCATCTTTTGTGGACTGTCTTAAATATAACATATTATCCATAGAGTAACAGGCCTTGAACAACATTTTAGAACAATTCTCAATAAATACTTTTTATATTTAAAGGTGCACTATGTAATTTTTCGGGAGAGGTTATATCAGCTGTTTGTCTCCATGGAGATGTTATTCCTTTGTTGGAATCTTTCCATAAACTTAACAATCTCCACAGAGACAAGTAAGTGATGCTACTTGGCTAAGTTACAGGTCAGATCTGTACAGAGGTGACCCTGCCCACAGTAAGAATGCATGTTTTTCAAGGTATTTTTCAAGTTATTTTTGGCACTCTCCAATAGTAGGTAGCTAAACAAACTAAATAAACTGGTATATACATTATGTGGATTGCAGTAATTCTCTGATTGGACTCACAATGAGGACAGCGATGAGCGCTCCCTGCAGGAATCCCACCAGCACGTCACTCCAGTGGTGTTTGTAGTCGGACACTCGAGTGTAGCCCACGTAAACCGCAAACATCACCAAGAAGAACTGAATCGTGGGTCGAACCAAACGTGTCCATTTACCCTGCATCCTGGCCTGTACGTACAACTGGGGACAAAGCAAGGATCACATTATAACATTTCTAAATTAGAAATAAATACTTACAGACTTCATTTTTTAATTTGCCCACCTTAGTATCTGTAATCTATTGTGCTATCTGGTGAAGTTACAAAAGGCTTTTACATACTGAGATCAAAAGATTAGATTAAAAATAATTGTGAGGTCATAAATCAAAATACAAACAATAAGTACCTATAAAAATTATAATATATTGGAAATAAATAAAGTTGTAGTTAATGTTTTTTATATTAATAAATGAAAGAAGATCCATAACCTCTATTCTGCTCTTACAGCTCAACCAAATGTCCAGGCAGGATGGGTGAAGTGTCTTGCCCCAGGACACGATGTCAGCATGTTATTGTGGTAAGGCAAAACTTGCATTCCCAAACTGTCTCACACTCCAGAGTGTTTTACATTGCTATGTGCTGCACTTTGGGAACTTGTTTGAATCTTGTTTATAAAATGTACTATACAAATAAAGTTGGACTGGATTGAACCAATAGAAATCAGATTAAACATTTGTGAATTTACTTTTTAGATATTTTACAGCAAAATACAATGTAATCAATAGGTCTCTTGCCCCCCATCTGGGAGTATGACATTTGAAAGCCACCATACCCGATCTTGGGAGATGACAGGACACTGGATTAGCAGACAAATGTGTAGTTGTGGTACCAAAAAGTGAGCTAACTGAAAATGCTCAAACCAAAATCCCAAACAAAATCATGCATAAAGTAAATGTAGGTCTTACTGCAGCCTAAACAGTGACAGTGTTTGGTGAAAGCGAATGAAAAGTTAAATCTGTCATCTTCCGGCCATTGTGCAGTGTGTATTTTTACAACAGTGATATTTTTAAACTAAACATTGAGCGCCGGGTCCTGTGTAAACATGGCTCCTCTCACTCACCGATAGAAAGAGCATGCAGTACATCCCGAACGAAGAGTGACCCGAGTAGAACGACAACCTGGGAACAAAACAGAATCAAAAAATAGGCTGTAGGCTCTGCTCTGTCTGAGGCTCTGTTAGACTTCAATCTGAGCTTTGTTTAAACACAATCTGACCAGAAAGAGGTGATTTACTTAGAACTAAATCAGGTGAGCTGATTTATGCTGTTAAACAAGTCCCTCACACATAAAATGAAACTCCTAAACAGGACTATGAACATTCGTATTGATCACAGGCTCCTGAAAATGTGCTGTTTAAATCCATTTAGTATTTTCTTCTTGAATTTTCAGACAATATTAAAACTTTTCTGGCAGTGTCCGCTAAAGTGTACATTGTATCTCCGTGGCGACTGCTGAACATTTCACCGCAGAGATGCATGTCGAACACCCCCAGTGTAATGTCACTGCAAAGTATCAATAGGTTGCATTCGAGTGACATTGCAATATTCAAAAATCCCTATCCATGGGTTTCAAAATGATAAAAAATTTTAACCGTTGCCATACTGACAATTTAGAACTAAATATTACATCTTTTGAAAGGTCTAAAAGCCTCAAAATGTTGGATATAACAGGAAGATGAAATCTGTGAATAGTTTAAAATTGAGCTGGAGTACAGATCAGGATTCTGTGGTGGAATTTTCTGTTTAATTCTCAGATTGCAGATTTGTTGACCGGGTTTATGATTAATACCTCTGTAATTACTGCGCCTATCCAAATGAAACAAAAACTAGTGCAAAGTTCAGCATATTAGGTGTCTGTGTATAAACAACAGTTAAATTATGTTTTAGATTCAGAAAGTGGTGTCATTATTCAACTCCAAGCCAGATTTACAGTATTTGGCAAGTTTGTGGAGCCAATCCCAAACAAATAATGATGACGTCAAGCATTTGTGGATCTTAAATGTGATACTTAAAGTGCCCATTTTAGGTACTTTTCTGACCTATATTATAATGTTTGCTCATCAAAAACATACCTGGAGTTGTGTTTAATTGCATTCACACATGCTTAACACACAAACCCTGAAAATTTAGGCTGAGTTCTTCTCTCAACACACATCTGGTAATACAGAAAGTGCTCCACTGTGTTTTTAGACTCCACAGACCTTCACTAGAATCATTTGGATCATTTCACCTTTGAAATTGCCGATCTCTACAGAACAAAAGGTAAAAGATAGCTGTTAGCTTGAACGCTACCTGCATCACAAGAACATTCTGGAGTTTGGAGATGTTGACAGACTCATACTTAAAGGTTGCTTAAACATGTGTGAATGAAACAAAGCACAGCTTAAAGGTCACAAGAATCAATTTTGCATAACAACAGTAAATCTCTCAGAGCTATATGGCTTCAAGTTTATGGCATTCACATCAACTTTTGCATTATTAACTTACAACAAAATCTTGTAAACACTACAGTAAGAAAGCCTCACCTGGACTCAGTAACATTGCGTAGATTTCCGGTGCAGTTGATTTGCAGCATGTACCCGTTACAGACAGTGGGGGCGCACACAGCTAAGAAGTTTGGTCTGGGGCGTCCGATGGTGAACTTGGCCAGATCTGTGAGGGACTGACTGACCGCTCCTCCGAACAGGAACGTGCCCACGATTTTGTACAGCGCAGACAGGTACTGATTAAACTGGGAGTTGGAGCGCAGCCTGTTGGAATAAACCAGGTACGCCTCTCCTGTGGTTATCTGAGGAAAAGATACAAAATAGTGTCAGCTGATAGACTTAGACAAACTTTATTGATCCACAAGGGAAATTACTTAGACACAGTAGCTCACATCACAATATATTTTAATAACAAAGAGCAAAAAAATACAAGAGGTACATAGAGTGTAAAATGTGGCTAAACATACATGATCTAATAATAAATAAAAGAAATGCAAAAATAAAGAAATAAATTCACTTTAACATATTACAAAACCTATCCTGACACATATGTGAAATTAATTTATGTTATCTGTGAACCTCTTTCATTTACATATAATTAAAGGTGCCCTACATAACTTTTTGCTGGAGGATACATCACTTGCTTGACACTATGGAGATGTAATTGGTTTGCCTGCATGGGATGTTCTACAGTATGGCATTAAACTAGCATCTATTTATCTATGGGTGTTTTTATTGCTAAGAAATATCTTGAAATTCATTCCTACAGAGTCTGTGTTTTGGCCTAGTGGTGATACTTGCTTGTCTCCATGGAGATAGACAAGTTAAATGCCATCCTGTGGAACATAATTGGCAAAGCAATTATGCAGATGAAGATAAAAGTCCTATATTACACAAATTTGACTCTTGTGAGCTTTAAGCCATGTTATAATGTTCTTACATCATCAAAAACATACCTGGAGCTGAGTTTTGTTTCATTCACACGTTTGAGTAATCATTTATCATCAGTCTGTCTCCATCTCCAAAGCTCAAAATGCTCTATTCCACCTTATGATGTCATGAAGAAGAGATAGTTTTCAAGTTAGCAGCTACCGTTTACCTTTTGTTCCATAGACTTTGGCAATTGCAGGGCTGAAATGATCTAAATGATTCTAGTGAAGGTGTATGGAGTTTAAAAACACAGTGTACCACTTCTTGTATTGCCATATGACATCACAAGGAGGAACAAAGCATTTTCAGTTTGAGAAAGTAAGTCAGCCAAAATATGCAGGGTTTGTGTTAAACATGTGTGAATGAAACAAAACACAACTCCAGATATATTTGTGATGAGCTAAGAAAATGTTCTTAGCTCATCACAGATCAGAAAATAGTGTAATTTGAGCCCTTTAAATGGTGGAGACACTCACAATGACAATGGAGCATGTGATGGTGACGGCGGCCATGCCTCCGTGGGAGATGGTGTCTCGTCTGTATGGGTAGCTGATGCTTTCGTCATCACAGTAGATCCCTCTCTGGTACGGAGTGAAGAGGATCGTCAAGATGGCTGACGGCAGAGCAGCTGAACAGATGAAGAAAAACACATGTCACAGGTCACAATAATTACTATATCAACTTATCATTCAATATATGAAAGATGAAACCATCATTTTTGAGCTGTAGAAGATTGAACTTCGACTCATTATAGATCCAAACTAACTATAAGTGTTTCATTAATTCTACGTTAGGTTATTGAGTGAGTTGAAAATTAGTTTCAGTATCATTGTTTATAGTCTATATTTTCTTCTGCAACATATTGTAGTTCAAAATTTGTTATTGTAACAGGCCTAAAAAATGTATTTAATTCAACTTTCTACACCTCAAATCTTATCATATAGCAAAAAATATATATATATATTCTACTATTACAATATAAATAAAAGAGTACATTCAATTTCTCGAGAATCAAAATGTCTTTATTTCTTTTAAAAAAACAACAATCAAACAAACAAAACAAATTTCTATGAGTACAAAATACTGTTGTTGCCAGCAGAACAGGAAGAGCATCTGAAAGGTAAACATGTAGAAATGATAAAAACAGAAAAGAGCATATCTTAATAAAGGGACCCACCACCTTGTGACATCAGCAGGTAGAGCAGACAGTTTTGAGATCTGGAGAAGGAGAGACTGAATATCCAGGATTACTCAAAAGACTCATGAAAGAAACAAAACACAACTCAGCTTAAAGGGCCCATATTACACTATTTTGTGGCCTATCTTGTAATGTAGTTTCCTCATTCCAAACATACCCTGAGTTGTGTTTTGTTTCATTCACACATTTAACACACAAACTCTGCATATTTAGGCTGGGTTCTTCTCTCAAACAGAAAACACTCTGTTCCACCTTGTGATGTCATGTGGTAATACAAGAAGTGCACCACTGTGTTTTTAAACTTCATACACCTTCACTAAAATAAATTGGATGATTTCAGCCCTGGAATTGTTAAACTCCAAGAACAAAAGGTAAAGGTAGATGTTAACTTGAAAGCTTCATGACATCACAAGGTGGAACAGAGCATTTTGAGTTTTGGAGTTGTAGACAGACTAATAATAAAGAATTACTCAAACATGTGTGAATGAAACTAAACACCGGCATGTTTTTGAGGAAGTAACAACATTGTAACATGGCTAAAAACCACACAAGAGTCAATTTTGGTAATGCAGGACCTTTAAGCATTGTGTAGGTTTTTGGAAAAGTTTATTTAACATAATCTAAGCCCTTTAAACATTCCTTATTTACATATGTTGGTCCTCATAATTATCTGTCAATCCAATTGTATATAATTAAATGTTTATTTAGCATGTAGTAAATGAAACAGTGACAACAACTTGGCAACTATGTGTTTATAGTTGACACATTCAAAGAGAGACCTTTGTGAGTCATGACTGACAGTGAGAGAGACAGTTAGAGGTTAAAGTCAATGACGCAGATCAGGCAGGGCTGTTAAGTTTGTTTGTTCCATGCTTTGTGCCACAGGAGAAAGAGAGAAAAAAAACAAGATCTTTATCACACCTGATCTGATTTTACAAGTAAAATTTACTGGATTATTTCAAATATTGATGAGAAAAACATCAGACATTATCATTATAGGCATATTTATTATTATTTGTATTCTACTACTACTACTACTACTACTACTACTACTACTACTACTACTACTACTACTACTACTACTACTACTACTACTACTTCTGCTACTTCTACTACTTCTACTACTTCTACTACTAACTTCTATATCTACTACAACCTCTTTAGCTACGACTATTACTGCTACATCTATTACTACTTCTTCATCTTCTGCTAATATGTCTATTATTGTTACTACTACTACTGAATCAACTAGTACTATACTGCTACTACTACTAATATTAATATATTTAATTTGTATAGCTTTTCTAAACACTCAAAGACACAATACCGCTCATTTTTTCTTGGTTTGTAACAGAGTAAACAATTGACTTTATTTAAGATTTTTTTTTTTTTTTTTTTTTTTAGTACTCTAATCTGTTGGTATATTCAAATGTTGTTTTAGCCTCTAGCCTATATACTAGGCTTTAGCCTACATACTAGGCTTTAGCCTATATACTAAGCTTTAGCCTATATACTATTTACCATGTTTCTTTATATGTTGGCGTATACGATTCCTATACCAAATATGTGAGCCTTTCTCTCTTTCAACACAAAGATCCAGGAAACAGCTAAAAACACACAGGACTGCACTCATCTCTCAGCTCTGGGTCTGTACAGTGTTCGTCATCGCTCGTACTCACATTCAACAATGATGACCCATCCTGTCACCTTGGCAACGACCCTGACCTTTGACACCAGGATATGGTTCACATAGACTCACACATACCAGCAACATGTCAGGCCATGCAAGACAAGACGGTTCATATTATGCAAATGGAAAGTTTGGAAAAGGCAAGAGCTACAATAGCCTAATTATTTGGTTACATATAAGTGGGCCAGTGAAAATATTCTTGTTTTAGTTCTGTTTTGCAATTGTAAAACAAATTTGCAAAGATTATTTTCATTCACACACAAATAAGCTTAAGTATAAAGTGGAAAATGTAGGCTACATGCATTATTCATTAATATTACTCAAACTAAACTATATGACTTGTACACTGCCACTATCAGTGTTACTTCAGTCAACTATTACTATTACTAATACTACTGCTACTACTACTACTGCTGCTGCCGCTACAGCTGCTGCTGCTACTATTACTGTCATTAGAACTACTTGTACTTGTTGTACTACAGCAATGGCATTTACTAAAACCACTACTGCCGTTGCTGCTTAGGACTAAGTAAAACTATTTAACAGGTTATTTTACAATTACACAGTAAAAACATCATACATAAAAGGGCCTATATTTTGCCATTTTCCGATCTATGTTATAATGTTGTTTCCTCATCAAAAAATGCCTGGTATTTTGTTTTGTTTCATTCACACATTTAACACTCAAACATGGTATTTATGCTGGGTTCTTCTCTGAAACAGAAACACTCTGTTGTGATGTCATGTGGTAATACAGAAAGAACTCCACTGTATTTTTAAACTCCATACACCTTAATCATTTGGATCATTTCAGCCCTGGAATTTTCAGTCTGTGCTATAAAAAATGGTTCAAAAGTAGCTGTTAACTTGAGAACTACCACTACATGACATCAAAAGGTGGAACAGAGTATTTTGAGCTTTGAAGATGTAGACAGACTAATAATAAAGAATTACTCAAACATATGTGAATGAAACAAAACACAACTCCACTTATGGTTTTAGGAGAGAACAACAGTATAACATGACTAAAAGCTCACACAAGAGTACATTTTGCGTAATACAGGACCTTTAAGTTAATTTGCTCTACCACTGTTGAGTGAGCAGGGTTGAGTTTGTAAACATCTTTGTGCATTCCTTTCGGTCACTGTTTGGTCTCAGGTGGCATTAGGCCTATACAGGGCTGGCTTACAGTTTCCTTGTGTGTAAACCTTCTTATAAAAACTCTATGTGAACACATTTAAAGGAACAGAGGACGTAAAACTGTCTCTTAAATCTGAACAAGACAATGGTCCTGAGCTTACAGCTGACTTTCAAAAACAGAGCACTGAAATAGTTTTCCTGTTTTCAAGATGCCAATCACTCATACTATAACTCAGGTTAAGACAAGCTTGGACACACTGTGGAGGAATTATAAACAATGTCATAAATACAAAATCTAATCCTACATATGTTCTTAATTTTGAGAATAGCAGGTTATATATTGATAGCTTGATTCATCAGCTGGTTTCACTTTGTAGAAACCATCTGACCTCGCAGTGTTAGAATTCATTCACTTGACGATAGATGGGTACTTTTTTCATTTAACCAATCGCTGCTATTTGGTCGTCACGTATGTAAGGTGGCGCTAAATTGGCTAACTGGTATATTAAGCTTTTCCCAAATACCGTAGGAAGAAGGGCAGTAACATCTTTCCCCTTGACCAAATTCACAAAACATTCTCTTTGTTAAAGCTTTAAATCCTCGTTGCCAACACAGAATATATGGCTCTTCGCTGATTGGCTGGTGCCTGAACTTGCACTCGCGAACTGTCTAGTGTATTCTGATTCCTGAGAAATTAAATTGAGCGGAGGCATTAGGTGGCGCCAGCCTGGCTAATATATTGAGGAATGGCTACTTGACGAGATCTTTCAAGAAACGCTACTAAATACTATGGGCAGCAGTAGCTCAGCTGGTAGAGCATTTGCCCACTGATCTGAAGGTTGGTGGTTTGAATCCAGTTCTTGACATAAAACATCACAAGTTGAGTGGTCAGATCCACTGACCCACAGGTTGGCTGGTGTGATTCCAGCTCCCACAGATGAATGCTGTCGTTGTGTCCTTGGGCAAGACTCTTAACCCACCTTGCCCACAGTGTCTGTGTACACTGGTGTATGAATGTGTGTGTGAATGGGTGAGTGGTTCCTTGTTGTAAAGTGCTTAAATGTGACCATTTACCATTTAAATACTGCTACTACTGGGGATGCACGAATCCGGCTTTTTCTGATACAGATGTTGATATTTTGGCTTACTATGTATGTACTGATCCCCAATAACAACTGATAGTACAACTAAGAATATTATTTATTTCCTTTAAACATGACAGAACAGCTATGAAAAATGACATCGACAATTTATAGACCAAAATGATATATCAGATGAACCGATATCTGATTCATCAAAAGTTTCGATATCAGATCCAATACCAGTAGCGTATCCCGAGCTACTACTACTATTGATCCTTAACACACTCACACATTGCCTTCTTGTTGCCATGTAAACTGTGTTTAATTGCCTAAAATATTCCATGGTGTCACATTAAACTGATCTGTCTCCATGGTGACAACAAGATGATGCCTCCATGCAAGTTCAGGTCAGTTCTGTGGAGTGGGAGTCCTGCTCACACTAAGAATGTATGTTTTCAAGGAGCTTTTTAGTAGTAAAAATAAATGCAAGCAAATCATTCACTAGAAATGTTACACAA